TTGTATGTCAGTAAATTTTAACTATTTCCAGACGATTTTGGCTAATTATTATTGGTTACTTCTTAATAATAATAATATTGCAAAAATTTATCAGTGACTTTAATAAAAATTTTATTTATTTTAAGTAAACAAATGAATAAACTAAAATAGTCTTAATATGTTCCATGCAAACGAACAATTCGGTACTCAATGCGTTCCAGGCGCAAGAAATCTGACGCACCATACGCTTTAAACATTAATAACTTTGTAAATATCCATATCATTTTAATAAAATTTTAGAGAAAACTTGTCCGTATCGTAATAAAAAACTTTCTCACTGAAAGTTTTTCGTACCTTGAAATTTCCTAGATAAACGAAGCGTTGAAAGTTGAAAAAAAACATTTTTTGCAATGTCTTTCGAAAAAATTAATAAACTTTTTATTAATTAAGATTTTGAAGTTTTAAAAATATAGTTGGTTTCAGGAAACCTTAATCTGTGAGTTTGTTTTTGTTTGATTACAAAATATGAAAAATCAAAAACACCAGCACGAGTTAAAGACGTAAAACATTTAAATTTTTTGGTTTTCAAAAATTTAGTTTTTTCTCATTATTTTATAAACTAAAAAAGATATAAATTTATTTCTTAAAGAAAAAAGATGCGCATTTTCATTGTGTATAAATTTATTTCATTGAATTTGAAAATTGAAAATGTTTTAAAATCACACTATTCGTCAATACTTATACGTGAGAATCCACGCGTATCCCCTTTTAGAAGCCGTCCCCTCAATTATTTTTTAAAAAAATTGAACTGTTACGCAAAGAATTTCATTACAATTTTTTGAAAATAATTTTATTCTTTAAAGAAATTTAATTAAAAATGTATTAAAAATAATACTTAAATTCTAATAAATAAATTGTAGCAAAGGTTATTAAAATAATTAAATTTCTTTGATAAATTTCAATAAAATTGTTAAGAATAATACCTTTTTTCGAGGAATTCCATTAAAATTCTATTAAAAATAATTTAAATTCAACATTGAGTTTTTATTATTTATAAAAATAATTGAATGCGTGTAAAAAAATGTTATTATTTATGAAAATAATTGAATAATATATGAAAATAATTTGTAAATAATTGAATTCCTGTGAAATTTCTATTATTTATGAAAATAATTAAATGTTTGCGTAGAATTTTATTAAAATTGTTTTTAACTAATTGAATTCGTTTAGGAATTTTTATTAAAGTAGTAGATATTAAAAATCATTGAATTGAGGAAAGTTTTTGAAAATAATAAAAATTTTTCCAAGAATTTTATTAAAATTTTTGAAAATAATTGAATTTCTGAAAAGAATTTTACTACTTTTGAAAATAATTGAATTTCTGCAATAATTTGTAATTGCTTCAAAATTCAATTTGTTTTAGTGTTTTTAACTAAAATTCTTCTATAAATCCATTATTTTTAATAATCAATTAAATATATTTATAAAAAAATTTAACTAATTTCAGAAGAAGTTTAGTTTAAAAATTTTTCTTTAAATCTAAGTTTAATTTACTAATTTATCAAAGTTTATCAAGAATAAACTTTAGAAAACAACAATTTTCCAGGATTTCGATCAAAATTCCCTGACTTTTCCAGGTTTTTTCAAGGTTTATAAAATTCCCTGACATTTCCAGGTTTTCCAGGTTTTCCAGGTTGAGTAGCAACCCTGAATACTACATTTTAAGTCTCTGCTGTTGCTAATGACGATTATCATCAGAAATCATCAGAAATCATCAGATTGGACTCTTAGACTGTAAGATTTACGCTCTATGGCGATAGAGTGGGGAAAAAATCAGCATAAGCAGAGGGTTAATCAAAAAATGAGTAATCTAATCTACCAAATGACTTAATTTTCCAAATATTCTTAGTTTGAAAAATAATGAAAGGCATATAGAACCACTAAAACCACAGGCTCACACATTTGCGATTAGGGATTCGGTGGCTCTACAGTCTACAGTGTATATATATATAAAAAAAATGTAAATCAATCTGTATAGTATTATGTAGTCGAGATGATGGAGAAAATGAATGATTTCTTTGAAAACCCCCGTTACGTTGTTACTGCGAAGTGCTACCGATTTACGTTGGCGCACGCGGGTTCGATGCCATTTCGTGAATGGCAACGTAAGACAAGCATCGGCTGGAAATTGTACGTGTACATACTACTATAGCTATAGAAGTACATGCCATCTTTTTGGTCCAGCACTCACAGATTTTAGAACTCGACTGTACACCTGGTATAACCATGAGATACGTTCAATGGCGTAATCTACCTATTTTTCTTTTTAAAAATAAAACTCGAACCTAATAGTCGCAACAAAATTAGTTCTATACAAAATTAATTCTAAATTTCACTATTTATATTATTATTATTATCATTATTATTATTATTACTATCAATTTATTAAAATTATTATGCAAATTACAAAATTTTTTATTATAAATTTTTGAATAATTTCATAATCAAAATTATTTTCAAAAAAATTTCTCGAAAGAATTCAATTATTTTCTAAAATAATAAATCCTTCAAAACAATTCAATTAATTTTATAAATAGTAAAATTTTTGGCAAAAATTCAATTATTTTCAATAAAATTTTAAAAAAGAATTCAATTATTTTCTAAAATTTTTATAAATCCTTCGAAACAATTCAATTCTTTTTATAAACAGTAAAATTCTTTGCAAAAATTCAATTATTTTCAATAGAATTTCTCGAAAGAATTCAATTATTTTTTATAATATTAATAAATCCTTCGAAAAAATTCAATTAATTTTATAAATATAGTAAAATTTTTGACAAAAATTCAATTATTTTCAATAAAATTTCTAAAAAGAATCCAATTATTTTCTAAAATTTTAATAAATCCTTCAAAACAATTCAATTATTTTTATAAATAGTAAAATCCTTTGCAAAAATTCAATTATTTCAATAAAATTTCTCGAAAGAATTCAATTATTTCCTAAAATTTTAATAAATCCTTCAAAAAAATTCAATTATTTTTAGAAATAGTAAAATCCTTGTAAATAATTCAATTATTTTTATAAATAGTAAAATCCTTTGCACAAATTATTCAATTATTTCAATATAATTTCTCGAAAGAATTCAATTATTTTCTAAAATTTTAATAAATCCTTCGAAAAAATTCCATTTTTTTTAGAAATAGTAAAATTCTTCGAAACAATTCAATTATTTTTATAAATAGTAAAATCCTTTGCAAAACTTTAATTATTTTAATAAAATTTCTAAAAAGAATTCAATTATTTTCTAAAATTTTAATAAATCCTTCGAAACAAGTCAATTTTTTTATAATTTATATAAAATTATATATTGATATAAATTATATAAATTTATATCAAATTTAATTATTTTCAAGAAATTTTAATAAAATTCAATGTATTCAATATAATCTTCAAAAGAATTAAATTATGATTTTTAAAATTTTTAATAAAATTCTTTGCAAGAATTCAATTATTTTCATAAATAGCAAAATTTTTGGCAAAAATTCAATTATTTTGAATAAAATTTCTCAAGAGAATTGAATTTTTTTCTAAAATTTTAATAATTCCTTCGAAACAATTCAATTATTTTTATAAATAGTAAAAAAATTTTGGCAAAAATTCAATTATTTTCAATACAATTTCTCGATAGAATTTAATTTTTTTCTAAAATTTTAATAAATCCTTCGAAACAATTCAATTATTTTTATAAATACTAAAATTCTTTGCAAAAATTCAATTATATTCGAAACAATTTCACGAAAGAGTTTAATTTTTATCTTAATTCGTTATTAAAAATTTTAATAGAATTCAATTATTTTCTAAAATTTTAATAAATTCTTCCAAACAATTCAATTTTATTTCTAAATAGTGAAATTCTTTGCAAAAATTTACTTATTTTAAATATAATTAAATAAAATTTCATGAAAGAATTCAATTTAAAAAAATTTTTAATAATATTTTTCGAAAAAATTCAATTATTTTTAAAAATTTTAATAAATCCTTCGAAACAATTCAAGTTTTCTTATAAGTAGTAAAATTTGGAGAAGAATTTAATTTTTTCTAAAAATTTTAATAAAAATTAATAATAAAATTTTTAATCTTCAAAAGAATTTAATTATAATTTTTAAAATTTTTAATAAAATTCTTCCTAAAAATTCAATTACATATTTTCAATAAAATTTCTCGATAGAATTCAATTTTTTTCTAAAATTGTAATAAATCCTTCGACCAATTCAATTATTTTTATAAGTGCATAGTAAAATTCATTGCAAAAATTTAATTATTTTCTATATTTTAATAAAATTCCTTGAATTCCCTTATTTTAGAAAATTGTAATAAAATTCTGTGAAGAATTTAATTATTTTCAGAAAATTTTACTAAAATTCAATAATTAAATATTTAATCTTCAAAAGAATTAAATTATGATTTTCAAAATTTTTAATAAAATTCTTCACAAGAATTAATATATTTTCATAAATAACAAAATTCTTTGAAGGAAATTGAATTATTCTCAAATTTTTTGATAAAGTTTTCTTTAACTCCTAAAGGATGGGACTTTTATAGAATCCCTTTGGGAGTTAAAATCATAACTCCTTTTTTTATAGTTTAGAATTATTATTATATATTACGATTATTATTTTATTGTAATTATTCATTCATTAATATGAAACCAGATCTACATTTCTAAGACTGTAGTTTGTTGTTAATAAAAATGAATATCAAATAAATAATATTAATTTAAAAAATATGTAATCTGATGGACAGTCATGGACCTCGTCTTATTTTCCGTAAAAAAACATAAATTAAAAAAATGCAAGTGAAACTAAAAATCATAAAAAAAAAGATTTTTTCAAGAAAAATTAAAAATAAAAATTTTCGCAAGAAATAATTTACCAAAAAAAAAAAAAAAAAATTCTCCAAAAGTGTGAGTAATTACGCCACTGGCGACATGGAACAAGCCGATGGAGAGGCCCTGAGTCCCTTGGCTATGTCAGTCGCAGTCCGGGCCCCGTTGGCGCGATACGCGCCTCATAAAACGAATTCAGTTGCCGTTTTTAAAATCAGTGGTTACAAGTTTAACGGAAATTTTCCCTTTTCGCCACTGTAGCCAACAGTGTGCGGCGGAAATTTAATTTAAACAAAAAAAAAGGTACCTAATTAAAGCAACTCGTTATACTCTTTTCTCATTTCTCTTTCACACAAAAAAAAAAAGAAGAGGACGCTGTAAAAGTGTTGGATCATTTTTAAAACCGTCGCGATGAGGATGTACACACAAAAAAAAAGACGCGCTTCTTGAGCGTATAGAGTGTCGAAAATGTGTTTCAAAAAGAAGATTATAATCTTCATTTGTAAAATAAATTCACAAATTTTAAAAAGTGTAAAAAAAAGATCCCAAAAATAAAATACAAGTTTCATGTGCTTTAATGATGTTTAATTAAAAAAAAAAATTAGTGAAAATTAAAAAGTGAAATAACATATTATTTTGGAATAACTTGGAAGAATAACGGGAATCCTTTGTTGTAGAGAACAAGCAGAATTCCATGAGTGTGAAATAATATTTTAGCAATAATTTCAAACATAAAATTTTATTAAATTTTTACAGAAAAAAAATTTTTTCTTTAATTAAAAAAAACCCCGATTTAAACCCTACAAACACGCAAATAAATTTGGATCATTAAATTCCTTATAATTATTAATTAATATTGAAACAATAATTAATATTAAGAAATTTATTAGTATTGGTATTAAAAGTTAATAATTAGTTTCAAAATAGAATATTAAAAAGTTTGAAATAATTATTATTATATAATAGAAAAAAATATTACTCCGTAACAATGAAAAGTAAAAAATATTGTTAATGGAACTGACACATATTTGCCAATCATAAAAGATCTTTTATGATCGGATCATTAAAAAAGAAATGCTATTCAATATTTCATCACATAGTAATTGATCTCAAAGAAAAATAATATTCAAAAACTCGTTCAAAAATTTCATAAAGTGAAGTAAAATTAATTCTTTTCGAAAAGTCAATTTTGCTCTAATAGACTACATCGAAAATTTAGAATAAAATATAATGCAAAAAAATTTCTATGACTGATAGCGTGAATCACAAAATTATGACCTAATCATTCTTCTCGGAAACAATGGAGATTTTAAAATCCTGCTATTTAATGGCAAAGAGATCGTTTTTACGTGAAAAAAATTCGTATTTGTAATCATTGATAGCAAATTTACGGTTTTTTTCTCGTTTTTCATTATTTGTGTAAAATAATTATTTAAACATTCGGTTAAAAGCCTTTTGCAAAAAAGGACAAGGACAGATATCTCTTCAATAAATAATTTAATAAAAGTTAAAAATAATAATAATCAATAATAATAATAATAATAATAATAATAATAATTATAATAGTAATAATAATAATAATATTAATAATAATGATAATATTAGTAACAGTAATAAATAAAGAGACTTAATAAATAATTATTAATTTACGAATTTTATTTATCATTTATTATTCCTATTGGAAGAAAAAACGGAAAAATTATATCATTAAATACTTTGATAGTAACAATAATTCATGCTGTAGAATAAAATATTTGATATTAAATTCTACTTTCACTTCCTTTAAAAGATTGTAATTTATCTAGAAAAATGTTTTAACACAAGTTTTATTTGAATAAAAATTTTCAGTCTCAACAAAAAAGTTTATACATTTTTTTTTCTAATTCTCTTTATTTATTTTAGCTATTTACGGGGGAAAAAAATACATTTACATCGAAAACAATTATTTCTTTTTTCAAAGAACCAGAAAAAAACCATAAATTCAATATTCCGATCAAAAGTGAAGATAAAATTGCAATATTCCCACGTGCTTTCTATACTGCTTGTGAAAAGAAAAAGAAAAACCTTGAATAATTTTTGCGATTCACTCATTGAGAATGCTTTGTACTCGCGAGAAAATAATCTCGACTTGATTTTTTTTTAACTTTACAGTAATATTATTTATTATTTATTTATTTATTTATTATTTATTATTTTTATTAGCAATTCTCATTGATGTATATCTATATATAGCGATAAATTTTCTGCAACAACTAATCGCCATATATATGAGATTACAAAACTCTCGGATCAAAATTCAAATCAGTTGAGTGGAAAATAATAATATACAATTATCAAATATTCGAATCGAAAAATTTTGTCTGGAGTGTAAAGTGACAAGGAAATATTATACCTTGATCACGAAAGAAGAGAAAGAGAAAAAAAATCCTTTTATAGAGAAAAAAAAAAATCAACCGCGGTAAATTAGAAACGCCAGAAGCGTCTCTTGTCCTTTCACTATATGAGCATTTATAATACAACGAAAGATCACATACACAAGTTCTTAATGCAAATTATTCACTTGCAACTCCTACAAGTATACATTTATATATACAACATATTTTATTTAAACGTATATGAAAATATGATTTACGCCCCAAGGGACTAATTGCTAATAATTACCGATTAGAATCATTCAAGTTTATATATACTTCTGATTCACTTCACTAGGCAAACATGAAATTAATATGTTTAGTAAAAAAAAAAACAAAAAAAGAACGTTAAAGTTTAAAAAAAAGAAAAATGTAAAAGTATAAAAAAAGAAAAGTAAAAGTATAAAAAAAACACTGAGAAAACTGGATAGTCAAACTTAGAGGGTTAGGTTTTGAGTGTTAAGCCTGATTCTCTGGATAACTTTTCCCTCCGAGTGAGTCAAATTAATCATCGGAGTGTCTATTTATCCCTCCGAGATTGTTACGAAAAACTTAACCTCAAATATAGTCTGTTTGTCCCTCCAGATAGTTAGTTGAATACTCCAGTTTCTCCGTGAAATGTTAAAGGTAAAAAAAAATGTAAAAGTATAAAAAAAGAAAAGTGTAAAAGTATAAAAAAAAATGTTAAAGGTAAAAAAAAATATAAAAGTATAAAAAAAGAAAACAACAGAAATAGTATAGAAAAAAGGTGGAAAAATGCAAGTAATAAAAGTAAAACGAAAAGAGAATAAAGTAGAAAATATAAACTGGAAATAAAAAAAAAATTGAAAATACAAATACAAAAAAAATCCAATAAACAAATTGTACTAAAGAAAAAATAGGAAAAAAAAATAAATTAAAAAAAGTCTAGCGAATAAAAAGAGATTTTCAAAAAATACCGGAACTCATTATTTTAGACAACATAAATATAATAGCGAGTGTGACAGTGAATAAAAATGTCAAGGAACCAATTTTGAGAAACTCCTTTGACGGAGAGTAATTCTAATAATGCTCATAATCTCGATATGTATAATCATAAGCAGAGTCTATTTGAAAACTTGTTACTTCCGGAGAACGGATTAAATAAACGACTCAACTAGACCAATCATTAATTGAGAGCACAGTGTAGAAAATACAATAGCCTCCCTGTACATAAATAATAGTCTCGATTTTCAAAGAATCATAAACAAATAAATAAATGACTCAAGATAATTATTATCACGCTGGGAAAAGAAAATGTTATGTAGAATATTTCCATATCAAAACGCCATACCAAGAAAATAATTGTGGTGTGCTAAAAAAATAAAAATAAATAAATAATAAATAAATAGTAAATAAATAATAAATAAATAAATAATAAACAAACAAATAAATAATAAATAAATAATAAATAAATAATAAATAAATAATAAATAAACAAACAAATAAATAATAAATAAATAATAAATAAAAAAATAAATTATTAATTCAAAATTTATTTATTTATTTTAATTTTTAACGGGCTTCAAGCCCTTTCATACATTGTACTAAACAAAGAAAATTAAACAAATAAAATGAATAAATAAAAAATTTTTCAAATGAAAAAAAATTTGATTCTTATTATTCATTACTTGAATATTATCAAAATTATTATATTATTTATTTGATCTGAATGATGATTTGTTTTTAATAATTATTTTACAATAAGTAAATAAAACTCTGAGCCAACTAGACTTTTTATTTGTTTCAAATAAATTTTATTTCTATAAGAATTTTATTTATGTCGAATAAAATTTTTATTTCTTTCAAATAAATAAACTATATAGTTGACTCTGAGACAAATATACTTTTATTTAACTCAAATAAATTATATTTAGTTTAAAAAAAATTTTTCTCTGGGTCATACTAGAGTAATTATTTTGTAGAAATAATTATTTGATGAAAATAAATTTTATTGAAATAATTATTTCATGAAAATAATTATTTATTTAATTATTTCATGAAAATAATTTTTATTGAAATAATTATTTCATGAAAATAATTTTTTTTGAAATAATTATTTCATGAAAATAATTTTTTTTGAAATAATTATTTTATGAAAATAATTTTTTTTGAAATAATTATTTCATGAAAATAATTTTTTTTGAAATAATTATTTGATGAAAATAATTTTTATTGAAATAATTATTTGATGAAAATAATATTTATTGAAATAATTACTTTATGAAAATAATTTTTATTAAAATAATAATTATTTTATGAAAATAAGTTTTATAGAAATAATTATTTGATGAAAATAAGTTTTACAGAAATTATTATTTCATGCAAATAATTATTTTATGTAAATAATTTTTTTCGATACAAATAAATAAATAAAATAATTTATGTAAATAATTATTTTTTTTGATATCAATAAATAAATAAATATTTAATATAGAAAGTAATCCACAATTTGAATCAAATTATTAAAAAAAACCAAATACATTAGAATACGATTAATAATTTCCAAATTTTACACCATTTTTTCTTTTTTTTTTTTTTTGCAAAAAAATTGCCACAATTTTCAATGACACCTTTTTTTCTCAGTGCATATTAATTTGAATTACAAACAAAATATATTTATTATATTGCATTTTTATATTAAAGTCCAGTTGGGTATGGAATTTCATACGTGGGTCTCAATGAGGAATCTCTTCCATTAAAGCCTTGAATTACGAAATCCAACTCGTTCAAGTTTCGTTTCATTAAATGCCTTTTATGTCCCTGATGACGATTAGTGATCGTGCAATATAGAATATCCCGGGGAAAAAAAGCTTCTACACACAATATATTATATTGAAGTCAAAGAGAAGAGAATTTGTGTTCACTGAGCATATCGCGGTTAATGCCTGTATATTTATACAAAACGAGACAAACGATGGCTGCAAAATAACAATATACAGAGTGACACCAATTACCATAGCTTATTAGATATTGCAACTTTTTTTTTTATTTCTAATCTTCCACGCACATAGTTCTACTTTTGTCATTCAAATTTAATTTCCTACTTTTTTAAACATATTTTTTCTCTTTGTACAAAAAAAAATAATTATTTACATATCTTATGACAACAAAAGCAATAACGATAATTTTTTTCGATTTTTCCATCATCTTCCAAAAATCGAATTTCGATTTTTGGAAGATGATGGAAAAATCGAAAAAATTTTTTTTGTAAATATTATAATGGAAGGAAAAACTATTTCAAATAATAATAATAATAATTGTTACTACTATTATTTCTATTATTATAATCTAATAGTAAAAATGTAGATTAGAAATAAAACCTATTTTTAAAAATAAAAAGTATGAATTTCAAGAATTACACAAATATTGATAGCAAAAAGAAAAATTACTCTTATTCGCGAATTATTTTTTCAATTATTTTTCAAATGATAAAAATTTTTTCAATTTTAATGATCTTGATAAAAATTCAAGAAAAAACTCTCATTGCCTTGAATTATAATATTGTCGAATTATCTTCAATTACAAATTTATAATTGGCTTCAATTTCAAATATCTAATTATCTCCAACTTCAAATGCAGTCAATAATTGACTTCAATTACAAATATAACATTGTCTTAGATTAAAGAAAGAGAATAATATCTAACTTTAAATGTCGATACGAAAATTAATTTTGAACCAAGGTTTATAAATAAAAATTTATTAACTTCAATTCCAAAGAATTTCAATTATAAATAATTATTATTTCTTATATAATTTCCAACTCGTAAACAATTATAATCCCACTTATAAAAAACTATTTTTCCAATTATAAATCGTAATTGTAAATAATAATTGAAATTATGTAAATAATTAAATTTTATAGTTTTAATTATAAATCGTAATTGTAAATAATAATTGAAATTATGTAAATAATTAAATTTTATAGTTTCAATTATTCTGAGAGTAAAATACAGAAAAAATTATATTTCCAATTATAAATCGTAATAATTGTAAATAATAACAGAAATTATGTAAATAATTAAATTTTATAGTTTCAATTATTCTGAGAGTAAAATATAGGAAAATTTTTTTTTTTTGAATCTTGAAAATTTTTCGAGAAATGACGTTTCGCAATATTTGAATTAAAGTTTCAATAATTCGCGACACAGTCCTAATTCGAGAAAAGCAACAACAATAAATAAAGAATGAGAGGATGGTTTTTAATTGAAAACAATAAATTATCACAATTGCATGAGATGTACTAAAAAAGTTGAAGTGTACACATATTTTGAGATCATGTGTGTGACTAGAAAGAGAGAGATTGACCTCGTGGATCAGCACGCGCTCCGCCTGCTTTCAATTAATCAATTAATAAAACTAGCGACTCACCACACGAGTCATATTATACATGAACATTATTACTGTACGTACGAACATTTATAATATACATATATCATAATATTCCAGACAGTATTTCATCACTCAAAACATATAAAACTTTTATTGAGTTAATTAAAATGGAATGTTCAATTTACATTTTTGTAAGTCAGAAAAAAAAATTTCTTTAGAATCGAGCATTGACTTTAGAGAAAAATTTACGTGAGGAGACAAAATAAAAGATACCTTTCAGGTATAAATACAGTTATGAAGCTATATTTATTATTTTGAGGAACAGAAAAAAATCTACCGAGAGAAAACAAGAAAATACTTTCATATCTCTTGGGCGAGATAAAAATCTTTGAAAGTACTGTTTGAGTCACAAAATAGAATTTTTATTTTTTATGATACCTATACTCTGTTCTATCTGCTATAATTCCATCGTAAATATTTTTGGTTTGACAGTGCTTGTTGTTTAAAAAAGGATTACTATTTTTTATACATTGCATTTTTTTTTCTATTCTGATCATAAAGAAAATATATTTTTATTAATCGTTTTCCTTTTCTGTTTGCAGAAAATAAAAAATGGCAGTTTTTGGATTGGTGTCAGCTGTGGCTGGCTTCGTCAAAGTACGATACTTAGTAGACAAAGCAATAATTGACAATATGATATTTAGATTTCATTACCGAGTTACATCGGCGATTTTCTTCACGTGTTGCATCATTGTCACTGCCAATAATTTAATAGGTAAGATAATTTTTATTTAGCCACAAAACTTGTTACTATTTTTATTTATGTTCAATAATTTTTCTACTAATAATGCAAAAAAATTTATATTTTAATTTTTAATTATTTGTTTTTGCTATCGAATATTATTTATTTTACTAGCGTTTACGCCAATTTTTCTTCTTTTACGTTATCATTATTATTTACTCACATTAATTGTGAGTAAAAAAAATAATATATAATTTATATAATTTAAAAAGAAATTAGTTAAAATTTTAATAAATTTCAATTTAAAGAATTTATACGAAAAAAAACTGTCGTTACATTTTAAACAACTGGAAATATTTTCAGTCACGAATATCACAAGCAAACGAAAAATTCCCACGTTGGCTCTATTTGATATTTCAATTAAAAATTTTCCTCTTTCTACAAAGATAACTTTCTAAACGTGTAAATAAAATTTAAATCTATTTCTTCGAAATTCAGAAACAAAATTTTCAAAAAAGAAATTAAACTTTGACAAAATTAAGAAATTATTGTGAAATATATATATATAATATATATAATATATTTCAAAAATTTTCAATTATTTGCTTTTTAAAAATTCAATTATTTTGAAACAATAGAAATGAAAAATTTCAAAAAACTTATTTTTCAGAATTTTCAAAAAGAAACTTTGCGAAAATTCAATTTTATTAAAAAATTTTAAGTTTTTTTTTTAATTAATTAATAAAAATTTTAATTATTAATCTTCGCACTAAGAAATATGAATACATTAGAATGTGACTATTAAATTCAATTTTTTATTATTATTATGAAAATTATAAAATTTTTTATTTTCAAATATAAATTTTTGAATAATTTCATAATGAAAATTAAAAAAAATTCACTTATTCACAACATAATTAATTATTGTTTATATTTTCAAAAATTTATATATAATTCTTCGCAAGAATTCAATTATTTTCATAAATAATAAAATTCTTCGGAAGAATTCAATTATTTTTTTAAATAGTAAAATCTTTGCATAAATTCAATTTTCTATAAAAAAATCTTCGAAACAATTAAACTTAAAAAAAAATTTAATTAAATTTTTCGAAAGAATTCAATTATTCATTTCTATATTTTAATAAAATTTCACAAACAAATTAAAGTATTTTAGAAAATTGTAATAACATTCTGAGAAGAATTTAATTATTTTCTAAAATTTTTTAATAAAATTCAATATAATTGTTCAATTTAATTGAACACGATTAATTAATAAGAAACACGATTATTTTAAAGACTTGTAAGAAATTGTTCATAAAATTCAATAACTGTCAAATTTTTCAATTAAAACTATTAAATAAACTCCATATTATTTAAAAAAAAAATTTAATTCGTCAAAAGAATTTAATTAGGATTTTCAAAAATTTTAATAAAATTCTTGTCAAGAATTCAATTACTTTCATAAATAATAAAATTCTTCGGAGGAAATTCAATTATTCTCAAATTTTTTGATAAAATTCTTTGCAAGAATTCAATGATTTTCAATATTAATAATTTAAAAATTGAATAAAAAAGAAAAATTATTAAAAAAGTTAGGAAACAAAAAAGCAAACAACAACTAACTTCAAACTGCGAACAGATTACCGGAATACAACGATTATTTATATAAGATTAGCAATTCATTAATTTAATTAATTAATTATTTAATTAATAAAGAAAAAATGCATCAGTATAAAAAATAGTAATTAATTTTTTCCAATTTTTCCAGGTGATCCTATAAATTGTATTTCCGATGGTGCTATACCTAATCATGTAATAAATACATTTTGCTGGATTACGCACACGTTCAGTATGCCACGAAATTTGAATAAGCCAATAGACGAAGTGGGACATCCAGGATTAGGAAGTGACGAAGGACCAAGACGGTATCATTCATACTATCAGTGGGTACCATTCATGTTATTCTTCCAAGGTGTTCTCTTCTACGTTCCACACTGGATGTGGAAACAATGGGAAGAGGGCAAAGTAAGAATGATCTCCGATGGAATGAGAGGCAGTCTCATTGACACTAAAGAAGAACGTCAAGCCAGATCGCAACGTCTCGTTCAATACGTCATCGATACATTGCATCTGCACAATAGCTATGCCGCTGGTTATTTTTTCTGCGAGGTCTTGAATTTCATCAACGTCGTAAGTCTCAAATTTTCATTAATCAAATTATTATTCAATTATTCGATTCGAAATTATTATTTATTTCGATTTTGATGTCTAGAAAAATGAGTAAAAATTAATTTTTCAGATCTGCAACATGTTTGTAATGGACAGTTTCCTCGGCAATTCATTTTTCACATACGGAACCGAAGTCTGGGACTTTAGTAATATGAATCAGGAGAATCGTCAAGATCCAATGATTGAGATATTCCCACGAGTTGCCAAGTGTACATTCCACAAATTCGGTGCCTCGGGAACATTGCAAAAAATTGATACTCTCTGCATTTTGGCACTGAATATTCTCAATGAGAAAATTTACATTTTCCTCTGGTTCTGGCTCATTATTTTAGCAGTTCTGTCAGGTTTTGCCCTCGTTTACAGTATGTCCATTATTTTAATGCCAAGTACCCGAGGATTTATTCTCAAGAGGCGATTTAAATTTCACACGTCGTCAGGCGTCAAGTCCCTCGTACGAAAAACACAGGTAATTTTTCTTTTACTCTAGAGAAGAAAGAAAAGAATTAAAATTCAATATACTAATTATTTTCAAAAATTTCCAGGTGGGAGACTTTTTACTTTTGCATCTACTCGGTCAGAATATGAACATGATGATGTTCAATGAAGTATTGGACGAGTTGTGCAATAATTTGCATATGGGATCGAGCAGTGGCGCATCGCCAACTTCAGTGCCATCAGCGCCAAGTACTCTGGAGATGAATCCAATTTATCCAGAAATCGAGAAATACGCTAAGGATACAGAAATCTAATTTTTTTTTCCCCCTTTGCCACCCCCCGCATCTTTGTGATACTACAGAAGCTGCCTCGTGATCAATGTCGAGAGGTCAAATGGAAAGTTTGCTATCCTTCTCCTGATTTCAATTGTAATTATGGAAATAATTTGCCAGTCGACGAACAAAAAAAAAGAGATTACGAGTTGTCAAAAATTACATAATTTTTGACTCAAAAAATGTAAATAAATTGAATCTCCCAAATCAGGATTATGGAAGGATTTTCTTATTAACAAAAAAAAACAAATCTATAGAAGCATCAAAAGCGTGATTCTATAAGTGGAAAAATTCATCACTGGTCCATTTGTAGAAATCATCGAAAGTGGTGCAAATTTTTTTTTTTTGAAACCATAAATAAACGCTCAGCAATATTTAAATAACCAAGAAGCCAATGGAGGTTTAAGTTTAGAAAAATTTTCGATGGATTCGGCTACATTTAAAAATGCGTACAAAGTAGCAATTTAGATGAATGTCGGCTCGCTTTGGAGCAATGGGCTGTGACTTGATAATTCTGTATGCAAATCCAATTTTTTTTTCTAGGCTTCATTTAAAACAAAAAAAAAAGAGGAGAAAAAAAATCTAGACAATAAATCATCGACAGACAATAATTTACCTCACAGAATATAATAATAGCTTTTATCGCTCGCGTGACAAAATATTAGACAATTATTATTATTAATTATTATTAATATTACAAATAATGCTGCTACGTTTTATATTAATCTAGCAAATCTGCAAAATTTATAATTTCATTCAAGAATCTTTATTCAAAAGGAATTTCCTTACTGTAAAAATTATTTTCAATTTTTTTCGAAACTAATTCACGTTTCATAAAAATTCTCATTTTTTTCAAAATTATTTTATGGAATATAAATTGTTAGTTTCGTGAAATAAAAATTTAATTGATTTTGCTTAAAACTTTTAAAATAAATTTTTCAAAATTTTCTGTAATTACAGTATATTCAGCGCTAAAATTATTCTTTAAAACAAACATTAAATTTAAGTTTTTTAGAATTCGAAACTATCCGTAGCGAACGAATTACAAAGCATAACGATTGATTATATAATTTCTCTTGCGAACTATTTTTCATTGTTTAAAAACTTTAGGCATTTAACTATAATTGCCGAATAACGCAATTGATAAACAAAAAAATGACACTAATACGATCTTTTCTTTTGTAGTTGATAGTTTTGTTCTTCAATTAAACACATATATGTATAGTTTATTTTATATACGATCCCGTCCGCAGTGATATGTTAAGTTAGCCTTTCGAGGAAGAGAACGACACGGATCAATTTAAGAAAATAATAATTTTCTATGATGTGCCTTTTATAAAATATATGAAAATAAAGAAACATAAGTTTTTTTTTCTAGTTAGTAAGTTTAGAAATGGAAATATATAATCGCTTGTAATTATTTTTTACGTCAAGTGAGATGGCTCACTAGATTAAAATTGTCTAGTGAGAAGACTGCTAATTTTGTGCAACGTCGTAAATAATTGTGAACGTAGATCAAAAAATAAAAAATTCTTTCTTGTAAATATGTTCAAAGTGTTTTCTTTTCTACTGAATATTGTATTTCAGCATTTTTTTTTCAATTTAGTTAAATTAATCTACTTTATTGATTTCACTTTCAAATTTCAGTTATTTTAATTTTTAACATACCTAATCAATATATTCTTTAACTTGACTTCAATTAATCTACTTTATCAATTTCAATTTCAATCAACAATTAAAATTTCTCCTCTAAAATAATTTAACATAATAAATAATATTTATATTAAATTATTTCATCAGGATTTTCATATCGAACAATTTTCAACATTTCAAAGAAAATTTTTCGATTCTGAATAATACATTAATTTTAAAATGAATTTATCGAAACTTTAATAATGTAATTAAATTCTTAAACTTAAAATTCAATTCTCAAATAAGGTAAGAATTGTACATTTAAAGATTGTCTTCAATTAACAGAATTTTTCCTTTTTTTCCACTTTTAATGGGTTCTATTCTGATGTAATGATTACACAAATAAAATTGACTTACCGATTTCCCCAATCCACCTTGTTTATCACTTGCAATTTCATTTCGCGTGTTTGATCAGTCGTTAAAGTTCCAGCCAAAAGTTGTCTTCTCCATTCCAGTAAATCTTGCATGACTTTTCTTAGAGTATTGAATTTGTAAATTTCCCTCTCCTGTGAAATTTATTAGCACATAAGTAAGGAACATAAACATAAAAATGGAAAGTAAGAAAAAATTAGCATTTCAATAACAAGGTTGCCACGCTTTTGCTCATTTTAAATTCCCGGACTTTTACAGGGTTTTCAGGTTAAAAAACGGAATTTTTCCAGGTTTTTAAAAGTATATTTTACAAAATTAAATAATTAGTCATTGTAATTTTTCCGTAAGAATTCAAATTCTTCAAAAGATTCAAATTGAAACCTTTTTGAAATTAAACAACTTATAAAAAATTGTTATAAAACATAAAGAAATCGATCACTCCGAATCTTCGACTCGGAGCAATCGATATCTTCATGTTTCATAAATAATTAAAAATAAATTATAAAAAATTTCGAATTCAAACCTTTTCAAATTAAACAACTCATAAGAATATTTCTTTATGTTTTATAATAATTAAAGATGACCGACTAACAAAATCATTAGTTTATTATTATAAGAATATTGTTATTGTAATTTCTTCAAAATTATTTGTATCATTTCAATTCAATTAACATTTTCTAGAATTTTCAACTAAAATTCTACTTTAAATCAATAACATTAATTATTATTATTCAATTAAACTTTTCCAAAAAAATTAATTCCACAGAATTGTTTTTTAAAAGTACAAAAAACAATAATTTAATTCTACCAGAAATCAATTATTTAAATACAAAAATAAATAATATTGAATGTTTCTTAAAATTTAATTTTTACGAAGAATTGCATTAACAACTTTTGAAAATATTTCATTTCTTTTAAGGAATTTAATTAAAATTTTAATAAAATTTATTATATTCAAGAATTTTATAACAATTTTTGAAAATAATTGAAAACATTTTGAAGAATTTTATTAAATTTTTTAAAAATAATTGAATTTCTGAGAAGAATTTAAATAATAATTTTTGAAAACAATTAAATTCATGAGAAGAATTTTATTAAAATTTTTGACAATAATTGACTGTTTGAGAAGAATTTTAAAAAAATTTTTGATAATAATTTAATTCTTGAGAAGAATTTCCCTATCTATTTATAAAGATAATGTAATTCTTGACGAGAATTTTTAAAAAATTTTAAAAATAATTTAATTTCCACAAAAGTATTTTATTACTTTTCAAAAGATTTAAGAATTGAATTCTTGTGATAAATATTGATATTTATCAAAATAATTGAATTTTGAAAAAGAATTTTATTAAAATTATTCCTTAGAATAATTGATTTTATGGGAAGAATTTATCGGATTTTATTGTTTATCAAGCTATTTGAATTCTTTTGCAAAATTACTTAAACATTTTTCAAAATAATTGATTTTCTGCGACGAATTAAATGTTATTTATGAAAATATTTGAATTATTGCAACAAAATTTAAGGTTATAATATTGAATAATTGAATGATTCTTAAAATTGATTTCTTTCCTCAAGTTTTAACAGAATTCTTAATAATAATTGCATTTTTCATGGAATTTATTTAAAATTGTACTAAAAATATTTAAAATTCTGCGATGAAAATAATTGAATTCGTAAATGAAATTTTATTATTTATAAAAATAATTGAATCTTTTTGTAGAATTGTATCAACACGTTTTTTCTATAATTAAATTTGTTGATAAATTTTATGAAACTAGTAAATATTTAAAAACATTAAATTGCGAAAAATTTTTAAAAATAATTGAAATGTTGCAAAGAATTTTATTTAAATTTTTGAAAATAATTGAATTTTTGGCGAAAAATTTTGCTATTTATAAAAATAATTAAATTCTTGACGAGATAGGTATTCATTAAAATTTATAAAAATAATTGAACTCGTGCAAAGTATTTTATTAAATTTTATTTAAATAATTGAAATTTTGCCAAGAATTTAATTAAAATTTTTGACAATAATTGAATTTTTGAGAAGAATTTTGATATTAATCAAAATAATTGAATTTTGGAAAAGAATTTCATTAAAAATCCTTAAAATCATTGATTTTATGGGAAGAATTGAATTGAGAAAAGTTTTTTGAAAATAATTGAAATTTTCGCCAAGAATTTTATTAAAATTTCTGAAAATAATTAAATTTTGGAGAAGAATTTTATTATTTATAAAGATAATTGAAATAATTGTATTCTTGAGACGAATTTTTTTAAAATTTCTTTTTAAATAATTGAATTATTTTGTGAAATTTTATTGAAATAGTAGATGTTGAAAATAATTGAATTTTGATAAATTATTGAAATTAATTAAATTTCTACAAAGAATATTATTCAAATTATTTTGAAAAAAAATTGAATTCTTAAAAAGAATTTCATTAATATCTTTGGAAATAATTTAATTCTTTTAAGAAATTTAATTAAAAATATATTGACAATAATACTTAAATTCTAATAAATGAATTATAGAAAGACTTTTTAAAATAATTGAATTTCTTTGATGAATTTTAATAAAATTTTTGAACAATAATTACATTTTTTGAGAAATTCCATTAAAATTGTATTAAAAATAATTCAAATTCTGCGATGAGTTTTATTATTTATGAAAATAATTGAAAAACTATAGTTTTTTATTATTTATAAAGATAATTGAAAAACTATAAAGTTTTTTATTATTTAGAAAAGAATTGAATGTTTGCGTAGAATTTTATTCAAATTTTGTTTAATAATGAAATTCTTTTGGAAAATTGAATAATTGCGAAGAAAAATTGTAAACGCAACTCTTTTAAAATTGAATTAGAAATATTTATGAAAAATTACATTTCAAGAATAAGCACTTTTCCAGGTTTTTTCAAGGTTTATAAAATTCCCTGACATTTCCAGATTTTCCAGGTTGGGTGGCAACCCTGAATAAGGATAATAATTCGCTTTCTAATATAAAAACAAATCAAGGAAAAAAATTATCTTAAAGTTCTGAACATTCAAATAAACGAAATTTATTTATTTCTTTTTCAAAATTAAATTTTTATTGCAATAATTTTGTGTCACTATCAAAAAGAATTAATTGCAAAGTTTCTAAATGTAAAATTTAAGTTTATAATTTTTATTGCAATTTGCAATTTATGTAAATAGTTTTAATAAAAAGTATTTCGTTCATTTGAACATTCAAATCTTAAGGATCATAATTAAAGAAAAAATATTTAAATTAATAATTTAAGTATTTTAAATTTGTTGCTAGTGCATTCTAATTTATCTCTTTATTGTTATTCTCCAAACAAGTTTTCAAATTTCAAAAATTGGACTAAAATAAAAATTTATATTTCTTGAAAATCTTACCACATAAAGTCTTTTCCATATTCCACCCCATTCTCGAAGTACAAGAGTGACTTCTCGTACAACAGGGTCTTCAAGGGGTATAACTGATTCGTAGAGACCTTCATTATCAATTTTACAAGGTTTTAAGTGAATATACGAACTTGGAAAAATGCCCTTTATTGCACGATTTTTCGTCGAAAAGCCTCTAAACCAGCCTGTAAACAAATTTCCAATTAGAAATAAAAAAAATACTCGAGTAAAATATAAAAACAATATTCACATTTTGCCAGAAAATTTACTAAGAAAGTATCAAAATCGGCTACACAAAAAAAATGTTATTTTAAAAAGAAAAGAAGATTATTTCTTCTTTAATAAAATTAGAATTAAAATTAAGACAAATACCTGCACACTCTTCAAGAATTTGAACTGTTTCGCCAATCTCAAGTGGCAAACCATAACGCGTGTCACCTCTCCAATTGTAGACGGCTGAAAATGATAATAAATACATTTAGTTAAGGAAAATAAAAAACAATATTCATAAAACAATTTTAATATTCAATTTTTAGCAAATAAACCCATTTTTCTTGCCTCGAATTGACTAGAAGATTAAAAATGCAAAAAAATTGAAAAAGTCGTTCAGTGTTGTCATAAAAATTGTATTTTTATTTCTCTGACCTTCCACTGATTTTTAAATTCAATATTATTCAAAACTTGAATATAATTTTGTTAAATAAATATTTAAATATTTATTATATGATTTTCCACGGGAAATAAAATTTTAAAAATTTCAATTTAAAACTGCATAATAATCTTCTTGGAAAAATTTCAATTATTTTCAAAAAATGTTCCTCAATTCAATGATTTTCAATATATACTATTTGAATAAAATTTTCTAAAAGAATTCAATTCTTTAAAAAATTTTTGATAAAATTCCATTACTCAAATATTTAATTATTTTCATAAATAATAAAAATTTCACAAGAATTTAATTATTTACAAATTTTTTATAAATTTCTTCGCAATAATTCCATTATTTTCATAAATATTAAAATTTTTAAAAGATCAGATTCAATTATTTTTCTTAATAATAACATTCTTTTTAGGAATTCAATTATTTTCAATTCAATTTTAATATAAATTTCTAAAAAGAATTCAATTTATTTTTAAAAATTTCACTAAAATTCTTAGGAAAAATTCAATTATTTTCGCAAATATTAATAAAGTTCCTGGAAATAATTCAATTATTTTTATAAATAATAAATTTCTTCGCAGAAATTTCATTATTTTCAAATGCAATTTTAATATACTTTCTTGGAAGAATTGAATTATTTCTAGAATTTTTAGTAAAATTCCTCTAAAGTAGGTATTTAATTATTTTCAAAAATTTTAATAAAATTTTTTAATAGTAATTCAATTATTTTTAATAGTTTTAATTGTGAATTGAATTACTTATTTATTACTTCAAAAATGTTTTAAAAAAAACGTGTTTCTTGCTTTTTAATTAGCAAATTTTACTAATAAATAGTAAGTTCTACTAATTCATTAGTAAAAATTTGTTTTTGAATTCGTAAACTTTACTAATAAATTAGTGAAAATTACTATTTATTAGTAAAATTAACAAATTCAAAAGCAAAAAATTCTTCGAAAAATGTAATTATTTTTATGTAATTAAAATTCGTTAAAAAAATTCAATATTATTTAAATTTATATTCAAATATCTTTATTTTTTTTTGTATTCAAATAATTGAATTCTCGTAGAATTTTCTAACAAAAATTGATTTAAAAATGAATTTCAGTTAAAATTTTAGATAATAATTAAATATTAAAAGCATTATAGTGTGAATTTTTGGAAAAAATTCAATTTTGAAAAAGTTTCAAATTAAAATCCTTGAAAATCTAAATTTTTCAGACTTTTAACATAACAATTCTGTAGAATTAAATTTTTGAAAAAGTTTAATTGAATTGTTCTTTAAATTATTAGATGTATTTATTATTATCTAACATATATATGTTTAATTGAAAGATTCCCGAATAATCGAAATTTCGTGTAAAATTTAATTGAATTCCTATATGAAAAAATAATATTATAAAAGTAATTGAATCCTTTCAAAGAATGTTATTATTTATGAAAATAATTTAACGTTTGCGTAGAATTTTATTAAAATTTTTGAAAATAATTTGAACTGTGGAGAACGATTTAATTATTTATAAAGATAATTGAAATTTTATGGAGAATTTAAAAAAAATTTTAAACATAATTGAATTTCTTCGAAGAATTTTATTACTTTTGAAAATAATTGAATTGTTTTTTAGAATTTCTACGAGAAATCAATTTTTTAAATACAAAAATAAATAATATTGAATGTTTCTTAAAATGTAATTTTTACAAAGAATTGTATTAACAACTTTTGAAAATATTTCATTTTTTTTAAGGAATTTAATTAAAATTTTAAGGAAATTTATTATATTAAAAAATTTTATAACAATTTTTGAAAATAATTGAAAACTTTTTGAAGAATTGTATTAAAATTTTTAAAAATAATTAAATTCCTGAGAAGAATTTAAATAATAATTTTTGAAAACAATTGAATTCATAAGAAGAATTTTATTAAAATTATTGAAAATAATTGACATCTTGAGAAGAATTTAAAAAAAATTTTTGACAATAATTTAATTTAATTTTGAAAATTATCAAAAATTCAAAAAACCGAATTTCTTAAAATTCAACATTTTTTTCTCTCTTTTATAAGATTTAGCTCCATTATTTTTGTGCTCTTGGAAAATACTTTACTTATTAAATAGTTACCACTCTTTGGTAAAAAATCTAAAATTATCGAAAATTATCAAAAATTCAAAAAACCGAATTTCTTAAAATTCAACATTTTTTTCTCTCTTTTATGGGATTTAGCTTTATTATTTTTGTGCTCTTGGAAAATACTTTACTTATTTAATAGTCTCGACGCTTTGGTAAAAAATCTAAAATTATCGAAAATTATCAAAAATTCAAAAAACCGAATTTCTTAAAATTCAACATTTTTTTCTCTCTTTTATGGGATTTAGCTTCATTATTTTTGTGCTTTTGGAAAATACTTTACTTATTAAATTGTCTTGACTCTTTGGTAAAAAATGTGAAATTATCGAAAATTATCAAAAATTCAAAAAACCGAATTTCTTAAAATTCAACATTTTTTCTCTCTTTTATGGGATTTAGCTTTATTATTTTTGTGCTCTTGGAAAATACTTTACTTAATTAATAATTACCACTCTTTGGTAAAAAATCTAAAATTATCGAAAATTATCAAAAATTCAAAAAACCGAATTTCTTAAAATTCAACATTTTTTTCTCTCTTTTATGGGATTTAGCTTTATTATTTTTGTGCTCTTGGAAAATACTTTACTTATTTAATAGTCTCGACGCTTTGGTAAAAAATCTAAAATTATCGAAAATTATCAAAAATTCAAAAAACCGAATTTCTTAAAATTCAACATTTTTTTCTCTCTTTTATGGGATTTAGCTTCATTATTTTTGTGCTTTTGGAAAATACTTTACTTATTAAATTGTCTTGACTCTTTGGTAAAAAATGTGAAATTATCGAAAATTATCAAAAATTCAAAAAACCGAATTTCTTAAAATTCAACATTTTTTCTCTCTTTTATGGGATTTAGCTTTATTATTTTTGTGCTCTTGGAAAATACTTTACTTAATTAATAATTATCACTCTTTGGTAAAAAATCTAAAATTATCGAAAATTATCAAAAATTCAAAAAACCGAATTTCTTAAAATTCAACATTTTTTTCTCTCTTTTATGGGATTTAGCTTTATTATTTTTGTGCTCTTGGAAAATACTTTACTTATTAAATAGTTACCACTCTTTGGTAAAAAATCTAAAATTATCGAAAATTATCAAAAATTCAAAAAACCGAATTTCTTAAAATTCAACATGTTTTATTCACTTTTATGCCATTTAGCTTTTTTATTATTTGAATTTCTATTCAAGAGAAAAAATGAAAAACAGGAAAAATTTAGAAACTTTTAAAAATTCCTGTTCTTTTCCATGATTTACCTGATTTTTAGAAGCCTTTTAAAAATTCCATACCATTTCCATGATTTCCAAATTCTGTAGGAACACTGAATTTATAAAGATAATTTAATTCTTAGCGAGAATTTTAAAAAAATTTTGAAAATACTTATTGATATTTATCAAAATAATTGAATTTTAGAAAAGAATTTTATTAAAATTCCTTTGAATAATTGAATTTTTGGGAAGAATTTATGCGATTTTGTTGTTTATCAAGCTAATTGAATTCTTTTGCAAAATTACTTAAAAATTGTATTTTTGAAAATAATTGATTTTCTGCTAGGAATTAAATGTTATTTATGAAAATATTTGAATTATTGCAACAAAATTTATAGTTTTATTGAATAATTGAATATTAAAATTGATTTCTTTCCTCAAGTTTTAATAAAATTTTTAATAATAATTGCATTTTTCAAGGAATTTTTTTTATATTGTACTAAAAATATTTGAAATTCTGGGATGAAAATAATTGAATTCGTAAATGAAATTTTATTATTTATGAAAATAATTGAATCTTTTCGTAGAATTGTATCAACAAGTTTTTTCTATAATTAATTCTGTTGATAAATTTTATGAAACTAGTAAATATTTAAAAACATTGAATTGCGAAAAATTGTTTAAAATAATTGAAATGTTGCAAAGAATTTTATTTAAATTTTTGAAAATAATTGAATTTTTGGCGAAAAATTTTGCTATTTATAAAAATAATTGAATTCATGACAAGATATTCATTAAAAGTTATTAAAATAATTGAATTCGTGCAAAGTATTTTATTAAATTTTATTTAAATAATTGAAATTTTGAGAAGAATTTAATTAAAATTTTTGACAATAATTGAATTCTTGAGAAGAATTTTGATATTTATCAAAATAATTGAATTTTGGAAAAGAATTTCATTAAAAATTGTTAAAATAATTGATTTTATGGGGAGAATTTTGTTGATTATCAAGATAATTAAATTCTTTTGCAGAATTACTGAAAAATAATTGATTTCCTGCGACGAAAAAAATAGGAGACTGTGAAGCCTGAGTGAATCAAAGAACATATTTTTTATGGTCAGGGAAAAAGTCTAAATTTTGTCTGGAAATCAGGGAAATAAAAAGTCAGGGAGAAACAATATTAAATTTTTGTGGCATCCTTGTAAAATGAAAATTTTCAATTTCTTAAAATTTCAACAGAACGTTAAAAAAATTTTCGAAAATTTGTTTAGGTGGTGGAAGTGACAGGAATTTCCGGCAGACAAGTTTACGCGAGAGACATGAGATACATCTTAATGAGTAGTAGCTCTCTCGTCAGCATTTATATATATATATATATATATATATATATGTATTTTGAATGAAGATGAATAAATGTATTCGCATGTAAGTTGAACGGAGACAACAAGAGAGTCAGTTAGTAGACTACACAACATCCTGCCTGAACATTCTCAACAATTCTGAGCGCTTCTCATGTCTCGCCACACAGAACCTATATCAGAAATGATCAGAAAACAACACTAGTAGCCGTATATATCAGTGCGGCTTCTTCGTCATCATCATCATGATGATCATATGTCCTACAACTCCAACACATGTGCAACAAGCGATCCGCACGATTTCACCCAACTAAAAGAGTATACGCATACTTTAAAAGGAAGTTTCGCACTACTCTCAAAACAATAAACCCACTTCCCATTTTTTCAATTAATACTTCCTACTTATCAACTTTTACCGCTCCGATTTATTTTTTTACTATTACTACTTAAACATTAACATCATTCTTTCATTATGTCTGTCCACACTTTCAAGTTAGTTTTTCTGTAGAAAATTCTCAATTTTCATATAAGGAAATAATTTGCATCGTTTCTATTTCTTAATAATTGCTTTAAAAAAATTTTAAGCAGGAAAAGTTGATCTATTTATGAAAACTGTAAACGCATTAAATTATTTAATTTACTTTAGTTATAATAATATTAAAGCTGTATTCCAATTCATATTTTATTTTTACGAAAAAAAAATTTTAATTAAAAATTTTTAAATTCTATTATTTTTAAAAATGCTAATTTTATTTTAAAAAAGTATGTAAGAAGTCAGCCGCGCGAATTGTTGCTAGTTATTATTAATTATCATCACCGTTATTTTATCTATAAAAATAAATAATATCAAATTATATGTTCCGAAAAATTCTCATTTCTCTTGTTCCCAAACACAAAAAAATGTTCTTGTAAATTATGATTCATTAGTGAACTTGGTCATTTTCCGATAGTTTTCTGAGTCATTTTATCATTACGCTAATTATATACATGTCTATAGTTCAAAGTCCTCGAAATATTGAATTGCAATTTAATTAAAGCAAATAATAAATAAATTTCGACAAAAAAAAATTTTTTTTTTCCTTTTCAAATTATTAAATTCTAAAAATATATTTAATAGAGAAAATAAAAATCTAAAAATAAATGAAATTAAAAAGCAGTGATTATATTTTACATCTGTTGTTTTAGAAGTGTTACACGATTATAAAAATATCTCAAAAACATCGCCCTGGGAGGTAAAAAAATTTCTAACTCGAATGAAGGAAGCAAGGGCTCAAAGTCTGTCGAATAGGCTATATAGCATTCGTCCCTACAATATTCTGAATTGTACATCAAGAGACCCTAGCTTTCCCAGCTTTTCCCGGGAATTAAATCAATAACTCCCTTTCAGTATAAAACACATTCGCGAAGGGGACCTGGGCTTGGATGAGAGAGTTCGTATATAAGCGAAGGGTCTCCACAACTGTGACATGCCATATACGAAAATATACTCTCAAAAGCGACCAACCTTAATGTCTTACAGAGAAGGCATTAACTTTTATGTACCTCCGAATTGGGAAAAAAAAATAGAAAATATTTCATTGATAAATACTCAACAGATAATAATTTCCCTCTGTTTTTTTTACTTTCCCAAAAATACCAAATTGTAAAAAGAAAGCAAAAAAAAATACAAAACAATAATTAAAATTAAATAGAATTAAATAAAATTAAATAGAATAAAATAAAATTAAATAAAATTAAATAAAATTAAATAAAATTAAATAAAATTAAATAAAATTAAATAAAATTAAATAAAATTAAATAGTATATAAAATTGAAATATTTTCGGAATTACAAAATTAATAATAAATTGTACAGAGATAGCAGAGAAAAATTCATTTCCGCTTTAGATTAATGATACGCAGAGACAAAATGTCAATGTTTTGACTGATATTAATTAACATTACATACAAGCTTTCTACAAAGCTTTGACAAATTTTTAAAACTATAGTTTAATATGTATCATTAACAATCGATGTCATTTTGACATTTTGGTAAACAGATGACGTACGCGGACCAAAGGAAAATAAACAAAGTGGATATACTTTTTTAAAATCATTTGTACGATAAGACGAAAATTGCAAAACTATTACAAGAAACTAATAAGAAGACAAAATCAAAAAAAATATTGATTTGAATTTATCAATTTATCAATTATAAAAAAAAAATTGAAGACGAAGAATGTCCAAGTGTCACTAATGAAGAAATAAAAAAAACGAAGAAAAATAAAAAGAATTAAGACGTATAAATACAAAAGTTAGTAAAAAAAAATTTAACTAACAAAAAATTAAGACAATAAATTAAAATCTCGAAAATTTCACGAAAAAAAATTAAACATTTAGAAAAGTTTAAACAAAAAAAAAAGTAAATTCTGTTTCTCTAAAGACAATGCAAGCAGGCCTCGGGTCGACTTTAACGAACAAAAAAAGTCGCTTTAGTCGATTAAAAATAGAAAAAAAAGTCGATTATTTAATTTAGGGTTGTCACAAATATTTTATTTTCTATTTTCCTGATTCTTCACTGATTTCTAAATTCAATTAACCAAAAATTGTATAATTTTCCTAAACAAAATATTTAAATACTTCTTATTTCTCTTTTCACCAGGAAATAAAATTTAAAAAATCTCAAATTCTGAAATTTAATAATTTCTAAAAATTAAAACTATAACCCTTACAAGAATTAAATTATTTTCTACAATTTTTAACTAAACTTCATTTCTAAATCAATTATATTTGTATTACTTTTTAATATTTTTCTGAAAGTTCTTCAAGAATTCAATTTTATTTAAATACAAAAATTCAATTTTTATAATAATTGAAACCATTCATTTTTCTTTTTAAAGATATTAAGGTAGAATATATATATTCAAAAAATTTTAATAAATAAATTCGTAAAATTAACTTATTAAAAATATTTCTTAATAATTTTTTCAAGACAATACTTTTACAATTACATACAATTAAAAAATGTCCAAAAAATTGAAATTTGGTAAAATCTTTTTAAAAAATAATTTAAATTTAGTAAAATCTTTGAAAAATAATTAAAATTTGCAATAAATTTTAATTAAATTCCTTAAAATAATTAAATTTGGCAACAGTTTTAATAAAATTTCTGAAAATAATTGAATTTTGCAAAGAGTTTTATTAAAATTATAGATGAATTAGAATTTTAATAAAATTCCAGAAAAAAAAATTAATTTTCCAAAGAGTTTTATTAAAATTCATGAAAATAATGGAATTTTTCAATAAATTTTTTTAAAAAATCCTGAAAATTAAATTTAGACAAAAATGTTTCTTAAAATTCCTGAAAATAATTGAATTTTTCAATAAATTTTTTAAAAATTCCTGAAAATTGGATTTAGACAAAAATTTTATTAAAATTCATGAAAATAATTGAATTTTACAACGAATTTTAATAAAATTCCTGAAAATTGAATTTAGACAAAAATTTTATCAAAATTTTTGAAAATAATTGAATCTTGCAAAGAGTTTTATTAAAATTATAGATGAATTAGAATTTTAATAAAATTCTCATAAAAAAATTGAATTTAGACAAAAATTTTTATTAAAATTCATTAAAATAATTGAATTTTACAACGAATTTTAATAAAATTCCCTAAAATAATTAAATTTTGCAAAAAAATTTATAAAACAAATAAATAATTGAGTTTTTAAAAAATATTTAAAAAATAATCAAATTTCTGATGAATTTTAATTAAATAAATAATTTCTCAAAAATTCTAAAATAGTAAATTTTAAAAAATTTTAAATTACTTTGTCCGAGAATTACTGTTTTCAAAACTATTTCAATATTTTCATTTTTTATCAAATTTACACTTGAAGATTATTCATTAAAATTTTTAAAAATTCAATTATTTCCAAAATTTTCAATAAAAATTCTATAATAGTTAATTTTCAAAAATTATAATAAAATACTTGAAAAAAATGATTTATTTTCCATTAATTTTACTAAATTTCAATTACTCAAAATCTTTTTAATTGTATATTTCAAAAATTTAGTTAGAAAATATTTTCAAAAATAATTTTTGAAAGATTTATCTACACAGATAGTTTTTATACTGCGCGTAAAAATCGAAAAAAGTTGCAGCATTTATACTAAAAATATGATATTTTTGTCGCAAAATTCGGAAGAAAAGTCGAAAAAGTCGCAATTTTTTAATATAAGTCGATAAAAGTCGCACTATTTGAAAATAGTCGAAAAAAGTCGAAAAAATCATAATATTCGAGGCCTGTAAATTAAATTCTCGAAAATTTCACGAAATTTGTGTGAAAAAAATTAAACATCAGAAAAGTTTAAAGAAAAAGAACGTAAAATTCGATTTCTCTAAAGACAATAATGCAAGAACTAACAAAATTAGAGGTTATAATTTTCCTGTCAATGTGAAAAATAAAGAAAAATTTGGAATTTATTCCCCTCCAAATAATGTCTAATGTTTATATTAAAAAATATAAAAGGCCATAAATATTCTTTATCCCTTTGAGAAAAACTGTAATTATAACGCTCAATGACGTGAAACCTGTTTGTTTTCTATCAATCTGCAATTTTTCATTGTTGAATTACTCCCCATCAATATATACACTTCTTTACTACTCGTATACGATCAATGCATGAATGAGCTACGCGCAAGCACATATACACACTTATATTCAAAAAACGACATTGAATATATACAAACGAGTATTCGTGTTGTTAACTATACATACATATCGCGAATATTCTCATATCTCTCTTTTTTTCTCAAACATTTGATGCTGGAGAACAAGAGAGAGAATTTTTATCAAAACGGATACAGCATAAAACTTTCACAGCGTGTATTGAACTCTTTATAAAACCGGCAAACTTCCCTTTTGTGATTCAATTAAATTTCTAAGACTGTTATCATCATTTTCATCAAGAATTATATTTAAATCAAGCGGAAATAAATGAGTCAAACGTTCAAGTTTATGTCGATTTGACAGCTCTCCTAACAAAGTTGAAATAATGATGACGATGCTTCGTATTAAATGAGAAAAAAAAACGCTAATCAAAACTCACCGACGCCGTACTTTGTTGTCTTTGTGGTGGTCCACATTTTATGGATTTTACTTCACAATTGCTACATGCTTCACTAAAATAATAAACAATCCACCTGGTGTTTCACGAAATTTTCAAAAACACAAACATTGGGTGTTGGTTTCACGTGTGTTCTGCACAACTGGTGCCACACTCGATTTCTTCTCTTCTGCACTTTGGCGGTGTTGTCGTTTACTCCTCCTACATGACGGCAACATTGTCACTTGTCACGTGATCAATTCAATCATTGGCTGTGAAAAGGCGGGAAAACTTAAAATTAAAAATTAACTATACTGGTCAAGAATTTAAAAAATAGTTTTAATTTCAATAATAATAAATTGATATATTTAATGGTTAATAATTTTAATTTAGAATATTTGAAATGTTTTTAGAAAAAAAATACAATTAGAGAAATGAGAAATTAAAAAGCACTTACTTAATGAAACGAAAAAAAATTTCTTCACAGCCCCATATTTGCGATTTTGTTCGCAATATGGATATTGGTATATTTCGAATAAATACAATATTTAGTTTGTGGTATATCTATTAAAAGAAGGGCGTTCCCCTTTAAATCAACGATTCTTCAATTTATTTACAGTTTATTCGAAGTTGTATGCACATTAGCGATGGTACGACGATAGATCTGATTGTAGTTTCCAGTATTTTATCAATAAAATAGGATCTAAGATTGTGTTTTTAAAAAAAGCACTGTATTGTTTTTCTTATTGATAAATGTTACTTTCTAGAAGTTGATCGGTTTGCCGAAGTAGGCTGCAAGGTGGGCTTCTCTCAGAGCCTCTGAACACGTCTGAAAAAAAATTAAATTTCAATATTAAGTGTTTTTATTCATTAATTTATTTTTATTTCCCTATTTATTTTTAAAATACTACGAAAAATGAATATTTTTAGAGCAATTTAATTATTTTCAAGAGTTTTAACAAAAATTCAATTTTCAACAATTTTGATGTGAAATTCTTTTTTTAAAAAACTCATTATTAATATAGAAGACCATTTTTCTTAGTTTTCTTTTTTTACAGTTTTTAATATTTTTTTTTCGGAAATTTACTTACTGGATGCGCGTGACACACTCTTGCGACGTCCTCTGCACTCGCACCATATTCCATGGCAAGTACTGCTTCATTAATTAATTCACCAGCCACGGGTCCAATCATATGAACGCCAAGAATTTTGTCTGAGCTATTGTCGGCGAGAACTTTAACGAAACCCTCAGTTTCCAAATTTGTTTTCGCCCTCGAATTGGCCATAAAGGGGAATTTACCAACTTTGTAATCGATTCCCTCTTTCTTGAGGTCCTCTTCCGTTTTTCCCACCCAACCAACTTCGGGATGTGTGTAGACAACACTTGGCACACAATTGTAGTCTATGTGAACAGCGCCTTTAAAATTGAGGAAAAAAATTATTTATGTATTCTATTTAATTATATTTCTTAAACTTCAATATATTTTTCTTTACTTTCAGGCTTCACAGTGTGCCTAAAAAGTATTTTGGGGGAAATAGGGGACTGAAAATTAAAAAATAGGGGACTTTTAGGGGACCATAAAAATTGGTTAAATAAAGGTAAAAATATAATTTATTTATACAGGGTTGGCCCAAAAATTTAACTTTATTTTTCCCTGACTTTTCCCTGATTTACAAACACAACTTTGACTCATATTTTTTCCCTGACCCTAAAGAATATTCTGATTCACTCTCAAAATTATTAGATACTCAAAAAAATGTTCTATTAAATTTATTTACAAATTTTTTCAAAAGTCAAATTATTTGAAAACATCCATAGTTTTATTTAAAAATAAATATTTAATCATTTTTTTTCATTGGAATTTAGATGTTCAAAAATTTCAAATTGAACAACTCATAAGAATATTATTATAAAACATAAAGAAATGGATCACTCCGAGTCGGAGACTCGGATTCAATTAACATTTTCTATAATTTTTAACTAAAATTCTACTTTAAATCAATAACATCAATTATTTATCAAATAAACTTTTTCAAAAAAATTAATTCTACAGAATTGTTAGTTAAAAGTACGAAAAACAATAATTTAATTCTACGAGAAATCAATTATTTAAATACAAAAATAAATAATATTGAATGTTTCTTAAAATTTAATTTTTACGAAGAATTGTATTAACAACTTTTGAAAATATTTTGGAAAAGAATTTTATTAAAATTCCTTAGAATAATTGATTTTATGGGAAGAATTTATCGGATTTTATTGTTTATCAAGCTATTTGAATTCTTTTGCAAAATTACTAAAACATTTTTAAAAATAATTGATTTTCTGCGACGAATTAAATGTTATTTATGAAAATATTTGAATTATTGCAACAAAATTTAAGGTTATAAGATTGAATAATTGAATGATTCTTAAAATTGATTTCTTTCCTCAAGTTTTAACAGAATTTTTAATAATAATTGCATTTTTCAAGGAATTTATTCAAAATTGTATTAAAAATATTTGAAATTCTGCGATGAAAATAATTGAATTCGTAAATGAAATTTTATTATTTATGAAAATAATTGAATCTTTTCGTAGAATTGTTTCAACAAGTTTTTTCTATAATTAAATGTGTTGATAAATTTTATGAAAATAGTAAATATTTAAAAATATTGAATTGCGAAAAATCGAAAATAATTGAATTTTTGGCGAAAAATTTTGCTATTTATAAAAATAATTGAATTCTTGACGAGATATTCATTAAAATTTATAAAAATAATTGAATTCCTGAGAAGAATTTAAATAATAATTTTTGAAAACAACTGAATTCATGAGAAAAATTTTATTAAAATTTATTAAAATAATTGACTTCTTGAAAAGAATTTAAAAAAATTTGTTGACAATAATTTAATTCTTGAGAAGAATTTATAGTTTTATTGAATAATTGAATGTTTCTTAAAATTGAATTTTTTCCTCAAGCTTTACTAAAATTTTTAATAATAATTGCATTTTTTAAGGAATTTATTTAAAATTGTATTAAAAATTTAGAAATTCTGCGATGAAAATAATTGAACTCGTAAATGAAATTTTATTATTTATAAAAATAATTGAAATTTTGCAAAGAATTTTATTTAAATGTTAAGAAGAAAGAAGCTATCAATAATTTTATTTAAATATTTTAAATATTTAAATATTTAAATAATTTTTTTATTTATTTTATTTTAAATATTTTTTTTTCAATTTTATTTAAATATTTGAAAACAATTGAATTTTTGACGAAAAATTTTGCTATTTATAAAAATAATTGAATTCTTGACGAGATATTGATTAAAATTTATTAAAATAATTGAATTCGTGCAAAGTATTTTATTAAAATTTGTTTAAATATTTGAAATTTTGACAAGAATTTAATTAAAATTTTTTACAATAATTGAATTGAGGAGAATTTTGATATTTATAAAAAATAATTGAATTTTGGAAAAGAATTTCGTTAAAATTCCTTAAAATAATTGATTTTATGGGGAGAATTTTGTTGGTTATCAAGATAATATTGAATTTTGTTGCAGAATTAGTTAAAAATTATTGAAAATAATTGATTTCCTGCGACGAAAAAATAGGGTTAATTTGCAAAATAGGTTACGTTTAGGGGCCAAAATTTAAAAAAAGGGGATTTTTAGGGAAATAGGGGACAGATTGTAAAGCCTGTACTTTAATTAATTTCTTTCTTTTCTTCTTTAATAAAAGAGAATTTTTTAAAATGATTTAGAATAATTACCTCCGGCAATGCCTTCGACTGTGATGATTCCTTCGTCTTCGGCCTTGTGTGCCAACATTGGTCCGTGAATGCAATCACCAATTGCGAAAATACTAGAAAAATGGAATATTCAATTGAAAAAATGTCTACAACAAAATAAATTGTTTGTGCAAATAAAAATATTTAGTATTTAAAAAACGTACTTTGGTACAACTGTTTGGAATCGATTATTAACAGGTACTCGTCCCTTCTCATCTCGCTCGATTCCCATTTCTTCTAAACCTAAATTTTCCGTGTACGGTCTTCGGCCGACACACACCAACAAAACATCGCAGCCTAAAGTCTCTTTTTTACTAGGATCCTTAACTTCCTCAACGGTGACTTGAATTTCACCACCACTTTTTGAGGCACCCGTTACTTTTGTACCTAATTTAAAGTTCACTCCTTGTTTCGTTAATACTTTCTGTAACGTTTTGCTCACTTCGCCGTCAATACCAGCGCCTCCAATTGTACTCATGAATTCGACAGCCGTCACTTCTGAACCCAATCTACAAAAAAGTAATTTATTTAATTAAATATTGATATATATATATATATTTACTTTTTATTGAAAATTTTTTTGAATGTTTTGTATAAAAATTGTGAATTTTCTTATGAATTCAAAAAATTAAATTTTTTCCAGTACTTTTAATAAAAAAATTCCGCACATTTCCCTGATTTCCTGTGGCAACCCTGTATAAATATGGTTTTATATACCTTTGCCATACTGATCCTAATTCGAGACCGATAACACCGGCGCCAATAACAATGAGCCTCTTTGGTACAGGATTTAAAGATAATGCTCCAGTTGAGGAGACAACGGTTTTTTCATCAATATCGATACCGGCAAACGGTGTGACTTCACTTCCGGTTGCGATCAAAATGTTCTTTGCGTTGATTGTTGTGCCTACAGAACCATCTGAATTTAAAGCGCTAACTTGATTTTTTCCTGTTATTTTTCCGTGACCTTTGACCCATTCAACTTTATTTTTCTTGAATAAACCAGCGATTCCACCGGTCAGTGCTTTCACTACATTATCCTTTTGCTGCAGTAATTTATCCAAATCAAGTTTAACATTGTCGACTGAAATCAAAATTTGTTCGTCAAAATATAAGTTTAGATATTCATTTTTTTAAGATTAAATTCTTGGTAATTTATAATTTTTACGAATTAATTATCAAATGAATAAATTTTTCGATTTGTACGTACCTATAACACCTCTTTGATTTAAATCTCCACTGTGTGCCATGTGATAGTAATGAGAATTGTTGAGTAATGATTTCGATGGAATACAACCTACATTAAGACATGTTCCTCCTAGTGTTGGATTTTTTTCTACACAAACTGTTTTCATGCCCAATTGGGCAGCTTTAATTGCGGCTACATAACCACCTGGACCCGCTCCAATAACAACAAGATCTGCGTCCAAGGAACTTGCATACCTTCGTTGCTGAATTGCTGATAATGCCGGATTAATAACACGTTTCATACAATTTGGCTGGAAGAATTACAAAATTTCCTTTATAATCACTTGAGAATAATAAATAACAATAGTATTTGAGTCTTATTTTGTCAATAAATAATGTAAACATTAAGAAATGCAAAAATCATAAATGTTACATACGATAAATACTATGATGTAATTAATCGAAAAGTTAAATTAATTGTAAAAAAAAGATAGAAAAAGAGAAACGCCAAAATAAATTTTTTGGCTATTAACTAACGAATTAGGAAATTAGCATAGAGCACGTGAATTAGAAACTATAATACATAATTAAATGACATAATCAGACATAACCTATATTTCCAAATGTACAGAACTTCAATTCAATTCAATTCACTGCGGATAAAGTTCGTAGATTTTTTAACTTAATAAATGATAGTTAAATATTTTACCAGATAGTTAAATATTTACTTAAATAAATAGAATTTTTCCTTAATGATTGCCCTTCAAAAGCTCTCGAAGGAGACTTGACACTGATTTTAGTACAGTTGAAAAATGATCGTTTCAAATAATAAATAATAACAATTGAAAATTTTAAACATACCCTCACAGAAACGGACATGAAATTCCATAGATTGACCTGCATTGTTGCTGTTAAAATTATTTATTTTTTTAATGAAAAAGGTGAAAAATAATTCTGAGCGCAGGTACCAGCAGCCCAGCAAGCTGAAGTCAGCTGTTTTCTAAAACGGTGTGAAGTTTACAGCAATTTAATGGTTTGTTCACACTCACCGCGAGTGAGATATAAAGTGCCAAAGTGGTAATTTGTGAAAGTAGAACTTGCTTCAAAAAAATAACAATCCCCACCACGAGAAGTTTTTAATTGTTTACATCAGGGCATCAAGGAAAAATGTATCCATGCACCATTAATTATTATATTTTTCCATTATTCTTGTAAATACAAAATAAAATTATTATTTTTATTATAAATGTTAAGAAACATTTATAACAATTGTTACTGTATATAATTAATTTATATAAAAATAATGACAAGTTCAATTAGAAAAATTCTTCAGTTCAATTCAACAATTAGAAGGTTAGTTTTTATAATTTATTTGTATTATTAAAAATTTTAAATATATTGAATATTGACATAGTTTTCTTTTGTAGAAAATCTTGATTTATTTTTTTATTAAGAATGCAATATCTTATAGTTGTAATTGAATACTTTTTTTTAGACATTTACATTCTTCTGCAATACGAAAATGTGAGCCTTTCGATCAAGGGAAGACAACAATTCAGCCTCTCGCTAAAGACATGAGTAATGGTTTTCTAATCGATGCTTATTCTGAAGTTGGTATCAAAAATTACACTGTTTAATTATATTTTTTAATTAATTAATTAATTAACTAACAAATCTTACATGCGCTAGCGCACGGATCGTGATATTCAATTTCTTATTGTTATGCAAAATTACAAAATTTTTTGTTTTGAAATATAAATTTTTAAAATAATTTTATAATAAAAATTTTTTAAATTCACTTATTACGGACCAAATTAATTATTGTTGTTCATATTTACAATTATTTTTAATCCAGTTTAAATAAAATTACACCGAAAGAATTTAATTATTTTCAAAAATTTCCAAAAAAAATTCAATTTGAACAAGAATTTAAAATTCTCTATAAATAATTCAATTATTCTCAAAATATTTTTAAAAAATGCTATATAAAAATTAAATTACTTTCAATGCAATTTTTAAATATATTCGTCAAAAAAAATTGAAAAAATTCAATTATTTTCGAAACAACTTTAATTAAATTTCTCGAAAAAATTTCATTATTTTCAAATAGGTATTTCTATAAAATTCTTCATAACAATTTAATTATTTCTTAAAATTTTAATAAATTCTTCGGAACATTTCAATTATTTTTAGAAATAGTAAAATTCTTCGCAAGAATTCAATTATTTTCAATACAATTTTAATAAAATTCTTCTTCATAAAATTTAATTTCTTCCAAAATTTTCAATTATTAAAGAAAGTTCATTAGTTTAAAAAAAATTCAAAGAAATTCTTCAAAAAAATTTAATTAGGATTTTAAAAAATTTTAATAAAATACTTTGCGAGAATTCAGTTATTTTGCTAAATAATAAAATTCTTTGAAGGAATTTAATAATTTTTGAAACAACTTTAATTGAATTTTTCGAAAAAATTTCATTATTTTCAAATATTTCTATAAAATTCTTCATAAAAATTTAATTATTTCTTAAAGTTTTAATAAATTCTTCGAAACAATTCAATTCTAATAATTAAAGATGACCAAGTAATAAAAATCATTACTTTATAATATAAGAATATTGTTACTGTAACTTCATCAAAATTATTTTCATCATTTTAATTCAATTATTATTTTCTAGAATTTTAAATTATTTTTTATGAAAATAATTGAATTCCTTATAAAAAATTTTATTATTTATAAAAATAATTGAATTCCTGTGAAATTTTGATTATTTATGAAAATAATTAAATGCTTGCATACAATTTTACTAAAAGTTTTTTTAAATAGTTGAATTCGTTTTGGGAAATTTTATTAAAATAGTAGATTATTGAAAATCATTGAAATTAGAAAAATGCATTTTATTTTTGAAAATAATTGAAATTAGGACAAGAATTTTTATGACATTTATGAAAATAATTGAATGGAGAAGAATTTTGTTATTTATAAAGATAATTGGAATTTTTTTTTCAAATTTCGAACATAGTTGAATTTTATAACAATTTTTTTTTTTTAATAATTGAATTTCTGCGAATAATTTGTAATTTCTCCAAAATTGAATGTTTTGAGTGTTTTCAACAAAAATTTTAATTAAAAAATTTTTAAATTCTATTTTTAAAATTGATAATTTTATTTTTTAAAAAAGGCAGTAAGAAGTTAGCCGCGCGCTTTAGCGAGCGAATTGTGATAAACTAAAAGAAAAACCTACAAACATGATTGTTTTAAACTTAAAGGATTAGAGAACTAGAGGAGAAAATGATTTATAAATTAAATTTTATTTCAGATGGGTTTTACCTTAACACCCTCACTTCATATTATCGGTCCAATGATAATTTTTCCAAGAATGTTTCTCAGTTGGAGTATAGCAGCTTCATCAGATATGAATGAAGAAAATTTATGTTTATTTAACATACTAGAACCAAAATTAGATGTATTAATTCTTGGCTTAGATCAGAATTATCCAGCGAATGCACCATTTATAAAAGATCTTCGTGTTTGGCTTAAAAAATCAAGTATAAATGGAGAAATTCTTCCTTTAAAGCATGCCATCTCCACTTACAATTTTTTGGCAGCAGAAGGAAGATTTGTTGCTGCAGCATTAATTCCTCCAAAGTCAACTTTTATTCCAAAACCTGGATATGTACCATTACCAGCACACGAGAGGTTGCCTGCCTATTAGAAACCTTTTTTTTAAAAATCATTGTAAATAGATATAATTATACTTATTGTTTCTCACAGAAAGCATCTTCATTGAGAAATATAATTTAATATGATGAAATGTTTATTTTTTAAATTTTTACCTCCAATAACCTAATTTAGTTTTTTTTCACTAGTAATTAAATTTTTCAAATTTTAACGATAATTTTATTTTCTTAAAAATATATTTTAGGTACTAATAAGTAATTAATTACAAAAAATTAGTTTATAAACTGCAAATATGAATTTTTTCTCATTTTCTTTATTTGAAAAATCAATAAATATTAAACATTTTTATATATAATTTCTTTTATATTATTGTTTTCATTTCGAATAAAATGCACACTTGAAAATAATCACTTCTAGAAAATATTTTGAAGTGTTAAAAAAATAATAATATACATCACACACACAATCTGATTTGACATTGGAAATGAAAATTAATAAATTGCAAGTAAAATTAAAATTATATAACAATTTTCATATCTATAAAAAATCGCAGAAATAGTGTATTTATAAATATATAATTGGAAGTGATTACTGAAGACAATAATCTTTTTTTCAAACATTAAAATATGACATCAAATATTAAAAATTCAACTAACTTACAAAATATTTTATACAATAAATTTTAAAAACTAACAAAATAATATCTGCAGACGGTCATCATTTGCATATTGAAAAAATGATGTTAAAAAAATCATTTCAACGAAAGCATTGAATGAAAATTTAACTATAATTTTTATATGATTCTTCTCTTTGCACTCATTGCTATTGTATAATAGGGAAAATTCACTTTCATTATTTTAATTAATAATATCTTTTAAAAAATTCTTTGAAGGAAAATAAATTAATAGAATATTATTAATGAAATCATCATCAGTAATATTATATTAATATCATTTTTAATTTTTTAAGATATTTAAAAACATTTCACTGTGGAAGTATAAAGATCGAATAAAAAATATATATATATATATATCGATATACATAATTATCATTCTTTTTTACATACACCAGAGCATTCTTTCTCTCGAGTCTTTCAAGTTTATAAAAAAAGGTGTATTTAAACTAATCATTAAATGATCGTTCGTGCTGACAACTCGAAGATCAAAAAGTGCATTGCCTATATAGCTTATTTAATAACAAGGATATCTTTTATCACAGACAAAGTTGGATGTCGGCGAGGATAATTCGTATTTAAAATTCTACCACGAAATATAATTTCAAAAATATAAAATAAAAAAACATAAAATAAACCATACAATGAATTTCTGTATATCTATTGAAAATTAAATAGTTCCTCTGCATTAAAGACAAAATAATTTTGAATTTAAAGACAGCGCAGTAGCAGTAGTAAAAAAAACTATTTCATGGTAGATCCTTTTTTTTACGACTTTACATTAAACTGATAAAAGTATCAAATTGTAAAAAATAAAAACAGTTAATATCTGAATAGAAAAGTCTATACTTAAAGCTAATGTGATGTACTGGTACTGTAAAAGAATGTTATTAATTCCTTTGGATTCTAATTCAGTACTTCGTTCCCATCAATTGTCGGAACTGATCTAACTCATAAATGCTTTCTGATAATCTGTAAAACAAAAAAACAAATTGTTATATTTTTTCATGCAGGGCTCGAGAACCAGTGAAGTATTTAAAAATTACCAATTACTGACAAAAATATAACCAGTCCGAGTGAAATAACAAAAATCTTCTCCAAAATTCAATTATTTTCAAAAATAAAATGTATTTTTCTCATTTCAATGATTTTCAATATCTACTATTTTAATAAATTATTCAATTATTTAAAAAAATAAAATTTTTTGCAAACATTTAATTATTTTCATAAATAATAAAAATTTCACAGGAATTCAATTATTAACAACTTTTTTTTATAAATTTCTTCGCAATAATTCAATTAATTTCATAAATAATAAAATTTTTTTTTATGAATTCAATTATTTTTATAAATAATAAATTTGTTTTAGGAATCCAATTATTTTCATTATTAAAATTATTTCAATAATTAAAAAAACAAAGACTTACAATAATTAATAATAATAATAATAATAGTGATTTTTAATCTTTAAGCAAGCTTTTCAGGAAAAGTTATTAAAGTTTTTTATTTAAAGATCAGTATGTAAAGTAAGAAATTTGCTACATTAGAAAAAAATAATGAAGCTAAATGCCATAAAAGAGAAGAAAAACTGTTGAATTTAAAGAAATTCGGTTTTTTGAATTTTTGCTAATTTTCCATAATTTTAGATTTTTTACTGAAGAGTCGAGACTATTTAATAAGTAAAGTATTTTTGAAAAGCACAAAAATAATGAAGCAAAATGCCATAAAAAAGAAGAAAAAATGTTGAATTAGAAGAATTTCGGTTTTTTGAATTTTTGATAATTTTAGATTTATTACCAAAGGTTGGAGACTATTAAATAAGTAAAGTATTTTTGAAGAGCACAAAAATAATGAAGCTAAATCCCATAAAAGAGAGGAAAAAATGTTGAATTTTAAGAAATTCGGATTTTTGAATTTTTGATAATTTTCGATAATTTTAGATTTTTTACCAAAGAGTCGAGACTATTAAACAAGTAAAGTATTTTTGAAGAGCACAAAAATAATGAAGCTAAATCCCATAAAAGAGAGAAAAAAATGTTGAATTTTAAGAAATTAAGTTTATTATTATTGAATAATTGAATGTTTCTTAAAATTAAATTCTTTTGTCAATAATTGAATTCTTTCGACGAATTTTAATAAAATTACACTTTTTAAGGAATTCTATTAAAATTGTATTAAAAATAATTAAAATTCAGCATTGAGTTTTATTAATTATGAAAATAATTATTGAATTCGTAAAAAGAATTTTATTATTTACGAAAATAATTTAATCCATGTAAAAATTTTATTATTTTTGAAAATAATTGAATGATTACGAAGAAATTTATAAAAAATTTGGAAATAATTAAATTTCTGTAAAATTTTTATTATTTTATAAAAATAATTAAAAGGTTTGCGTAGAATTTAATAAAATTTTTTTCAAAATAAATTGAATTCTTTTGGAAAATTTTATTAAAATAGTTGATATTAAAAATCATTGATTTGAGGAGAATTTTGAAAATATTTGAAATTTTGCCAAGAATTTTATTGAAATTTTTGAAAAAATTGAATTTTGGAAAATAATTTTATTATTTCTAAAAACAATTGAAATTTTGACGAGAATTATTTCTTTTATTTTTTGGACATAATTGAATTGAATTTATGAGTAAAAAAAACAATAAAAGTGCGAATAAAAACTCTTCTCTAATTTATAAAAATAAATTTTCTTAAATATAAAAACATAAGAAATTAATATATAAAAATAGTTAAAAAATTCAATTAAAGAAAAATGAAATTGAAAAATAACTCACCTTCCAAAGCCGTTAAAAAGAGCTACAATTTCGCTTCTCTCCAAATAAAAATGCCTTTTATTGTAAGCATTCACAGTGTGTTCCCATTTATCGAATTTTCCTGAGAAAAGAATCTTGAGCGCCGTTCCAACTCCTTGCACTTGCAATTTACCCCATAATTTACATTTTTCACAACCTACACAATCCATTATACGGGAGATATTTATAAAGTGTTGTCTAAATTCTTCTTTTAATAATTGAGCCTTGATGCCGCCATTAAACATGACACTTTCATTGAAGTGATTTGGAAACGATCTGCAAAAATTTCATATTAAAATTTAAATTTCCATAAATTTTATATTTATCCAGAATAAATAAATCGTTTATAAAAAATTAATTCTTTTGTTTTACAATTTCATTTAAAAATTTCATTTTATTAATAATTTTTTCAAATTCGGATGTAATAGAAATTTTTTTAAATTAATTTTTTCTTTTATTTTATGAAAACTTACTCGACAACGTTCAAAATGTCTTTAACAGCGAGTCTAGTGTCTTTATCCTCTCCATCACTTCCGGTATAGTATTCTTCACTGTACAAATAAGGCGCAGCTTTTGCCAAAGCTCGCAATTCAAGTAAATAGAGAAAATATAAATTCTTGAGCCAATTTGGCCCTTCGCCTCCAGTTGTTTCAGGCGAGAATCTTTCTTGTAATTCTCTTAAATTCCGTCCCCAACGTCCACCAGGTGAGACAACTGTTATTCCTTGAGCTGACAATAATGACTTTGCACACAAGTGAATATTGATACTTGCATGCAATCCCGAAATTGTTCTGTAAAATGCTCGTTTTTCTAAGCACATTCCTATTGAAGAAAAGAATTTATACTTATTATTTACAATTAACATAGTTATCATTCTAAATTAAATCAAAAAAATTTACCATTGATTTTCGAAGCTTGAATAAAAATATGAGGCGAATTTTCAGGCCTGAAATCAAAATAAAAAAAAGTAATGAAATGTATTAAATATTTTCTTATTACTATAATTATATAATTGTTAATAATAAAAATAATAATTATTATTATTATTATTTAACATTATAATTATAATATTGTGAAAGTAAATCATTTATACCTGAAACAATTTTCCATATAAATACTCCGCCATATTCTGTGTGCACTCGGTCCTTTATATCCTGTATATCTCTCTGGATTTAGTAACAAATCAACGTATTCTCCAGGTTTCTCTTCCTTTATACAGAAATTATCTTGAGCATTGTCATGTTTTTTCCATCGTTCAAATTCTTTATAATTTTCAGAACTAAAAAAAAAAGAACATTTTGTAAGTGGAAAAATCACCTTTTTTAAATTTTTTAAAAAAATTTTACATACAAAGTAAGATTTTTAAAATTAAATTTAAAGAATAGGCCTCGGATCGTCTTTAAGACGCAAAAGAATCCCTGACAAAACTCAATTTTTGATAATAATTGTAATTGTCCATGTTTTTTCTTAAGTTATTAAGATATAATATTTTCAAAAAATTATAATAAAAAAATTGTTAGAATATTAAGTTTTTAAAACATTTTTAAATATAACTTTTGAGAGATAATAGTTTTTTAATTATATAGAATTGAAAAATTTTCCAAACAATTGAAATTTGGTAAAATCTTTTAAAAATAATTGATGTTTTGAAAAACATTAATAAAAATAATTGAATTTTTGTTTTAAATTTTATTTATAAATATGACCATGACTTCTCAAAAATTTCAAAATATCTAAAAAAATAAATTTTTATTTATTTTGTTCGAAAATAATTGAATCTCAAAAAATTATGATAAAACAATTCTAAGAATTAGTTTTTAAAATTATTTTAATGTAATTTTTCGAAAATAATAATTGAATTTCTTATAAGAATTATTGTATAATTTAAAAAAATTAATTTCTTGAGGAATTTCAATTAAAAATTTTGAACATAATTTTTTTTTCCAAAATGTTAAAAAAAATTCTAAAATGTTATTATTTTTTGTTTATTTCAATTTTCAGAAATATATTTAATTGAAAATACTGAAAATATTGAATTTTAAAAAATTAGAAGCTAATTTTCACTAATTTTCATTTTTAAATTTACATTAAAATTTTTGATAATTCAATTATTTTCAAAATTTTGCAAACTCTTCAAAAGTTGATTTTTAAAAATTGCAATAAAACACTTGAAAGAAATTGATTATTTTCAATTAAATTTTATAAAATTTCAATTATTTAAAAATATTTTTATTATAGATACCTATATTGGAAAAATTTAATTATCTTAAAAAATGATTCAAGAATAGTTTTTGAAAGATTTGTTTATAGTATTTTGTAGCACTTTAAAAATTGAAATAATTAATTAAAAAACTAATTTAAAAAAACGGTTTAATTAATATTTTTAAGGAGGAGTGACACCAAAAATCTTCAAAACTTCAATTTGAAACCTTTTGAAATTGAACAATTTCTAAAAATTTCTACTATAATTTTTCTAATATTCAATTATTTAGTAAAATTTTCTACACATATTTTTCTCTAATTCAAAATATTTATGATAAATTTTATTGGATTCTTTAAAAATTAAATTACTCAAAAAAGAAAATTCACTTAAAATATACAATTGTTTTTAATTAAGTTTTAAAACATAGAATTATTCAATTTTTTTAAATCTATATATTGTTAAATTAAAAATTCAATTGTAATTTTTCAAAAAACTGTATTGTTCAGAATTATCTTCCAGAATTTTTAATAAAAATTGTTCTCTAAATCGATTATTTTCAATAATTTTCAGAATTCAATTATTTAAATATACAAGGTTATTAAATATAAATTATTTTTCATAAAAATTAGAACTGTAAAAGTTTTTCATTTTTTTAAAAAGTTTTTAAGTTAAAAAAAATATATTGAAAGTTTTTCAATATTTTTAATGTTCACAAAAAATAAATTTTTTTTTTATCATTTCTAGAAATTTAATACTACTTTGGATAAAATTATCCCGATTATTCTGTTCGATGGCAACTCTGTTATTGTCGAAATTCATAAAAATGTAAAATAAGGCTAACTCAAAAATAAATTTTTTTAAAAAATTGAAAAGTAAATTTTTTAAATTTATTTCATTGAATAATAATTTGACTTTTTACGACAAAAGAACATTTTATGGACTATAAAACTTGCAAAGAAAAGTTAGACTAGTGACAATATTTTATACCAAAAAAATTGGTATTTTGTTGCAATGTGTGAAAAAAAGTTGAAATAGTCCTATTTTAGTAAAAATAAGTCAAAAGGTCTTATTAACCGAGGCCTGTGAATAAATTAACAAAAAAAAAAATATGTACATATTCACCTAATTGTTGTATTTAGATAACCTAATTCAGCATTATGATCTCTGGCCGTCTGTTGACAACTTGTAAATTGAGATTCTGCTTTATATTTTTCAACTGGACTCTCGTTCAAATGAACATTATGAGGATTTTCACCTTTTAAACCAACTGGAATGTCCTCCTGTAAAATTGCAAAAATTTCAAAATGTATTCAAGAAATAATTAAATAGTAATAAAAATACTATTATTATTCTATACAACTAAAATTGTATAGAAAATTTAAACTACATTAACGAATTGTTTTTTATTTCTTTCATTCATTTAAATGAAGCAATTTCTAATTTAATAATCTAATAAATAAATTAATATTTTTTAAAAACGTGTATAAAGTGTACAAACGAGAAATAAAGTTTATAAACATTAAAAAAATTATCAAACCTTGAAAACATATTTTGTTTCCAAAAAAGATTATCTAAGTTAAAAATTAAAAAAATACAAATATTTTTTTATCATTTAACGAAAATATCACGTAGGGAATGCTATTATCATTATGTTCGAGTTATTAAATTACAATCATAATTGAAGATAAGACTTGCAGATAGAAATCAAAATATTCATCTTTTAAATATTAAAATTAATTAGACTGATAATACACGTCAATAATTGATGATAAAAATTTTGACGCCCTCTTAACATAAAAAATTTATTTAACCTTTTAAGATTAAAATTATTCATACAAAAGAAAGAAATGAATGTAAATTGTATTATAACAGCTGTTGCTTAGGCATTAATCGAAAAAGTTAATAATTTTTCCTTATAGAGAATAATTATATTAAATTTGAAAAGAATTGCAAAAAAAAGACTTACATCTTGACAAGGTTGAACGTGGCAATGGAAAATAGCACATTTGCTGTCATCTGCCCAAAAAGGACATACTTGCTTTAAATTGACTTTATAGAATCGAAAATAATCCCTGACAAGAAGACTTTGTAGCCTGGGATAAATTTTCATATTATTGAAATAATCCACTGTATCAACTGCACAACTGCAGTCATCGATGGATCCTTCAAGCTATAAATATAATTAAAATTAAAATTTAATTGTTAATTAAGTCATTTAATTTTTTTCTTTTTTATTTTCATTTTTCATTAAATAAAATAATTTTAAAAAAAATTTTAATTAAAAATTTTTAATTTTAAAAAATTTTAGGTACTTAAAAAAAACTGAGTAAATAGTTTTCAATAATTGGTGGTAACCCGTTATTTAAAAATAGAAAAGATAAAGCACAAATAAGGAAAATAAAATATTACGTTTGGCATCATACTGATAAACAAAAAACAGTTTACTTCGAAAAGTAACAATTTACTTTACTGTCCCTAGTTTATAAAAATTAGCTTCATTAAAGTTAAAATTTATTTTATATTTTAAATTCTAGGATTGAGAAACAAATGTCGATATAAAAATCGACAAAACTGGACTCAAATACCTACTAGGAAATTTTCTTTAAAAATAGCAAATATAATCTAAGAAAAATATTTAAAAATGTAAGAGATTATTAAACTATTTTTAAATTCTGTAATCTTCAGATGATATTTATAGGTTATGCTTTATAAACTAATTAAAAAAAACTAATTCTAGTACTTATTTAAACAAACAATATTTCATTACCTGACAAAAACACTGATTATTTTTGACGGTGTTGGTCCCGAAATAATTAGATTGTGCTACAGTTGACAATAATAGGAGAATAAAAACAGAATTTGACATAATGTCAAGAGAAATCATTGTAGCAACAATAACACTGGTTAAAAAAATAAAATATCATCGATTATACACCATTAGAAATAATTCTGCTTTTACAACAGGACGTGCACGTGAAAGTTGTGGTCTTCTTACGAAAATATCGTCACCACTGGTTTAACTGGATATTTGTAGGAGAAAAGATGATGATAAAAAGTAAAAGTTTCCCCAAGTCTTCTACGTGTTTAACTCCACGCACGCGTCTAACTCTATAGATTTATTTAAACTATTTCCGAATAGGTATACGTGGTCGTAAAACAGTGGCAGTCGAAAGAAACTTAACGGCACTTTATTTTGTTGATTATTTTCTAGTTTTCCCCCACTATAATTTTTAGACAGCACACATTTAATTATACTGAAAAACTTTTAAGAAACTCCCATTATAATGAACAAAAGTCACAATCATCGTGTAATGAATTTGTTTAAACAACTACTGACACATGAAATTCCTTATTCTTCTTCTGTCAAATGTCAAATGTAAACATAAATAAAAGTATTCATTATTATTTACTTATCAGCTGATAATTCGTGATGTTTTATGTTTTACTCACGCATGCATGCACAATGTAAAAAAAAAAACATTTGATAATTATAACTAGATAGGGATTTTAACACTTCTAGTTTTTATTTGATCAATAAAGCTTGTCTCACATTCTAAAATAGTGAAATTTTACATTAAAACCCCTGTTGTTTCCAAAAATTAAGTAGAATTTTAGGTTTGTCTCACATTCCTAAAAGTTGACTCAGCAAGTCAGAAGTATGCAAAATTCTAAAAATCCCTAGTTTCTGTAAATGGATGATTTTTCCATTGTGGATATTTTATAAACAACCGGTGCTCTATTTCTGTTGACAAATTATAGCAATTGTTTTAATTGTTTTGATAAATTTAATAATTATTAATCAAAATGGAAGAGGTAAGTTAACTTTCACCAAAATTGTATTATATCTCTAAGATTTTTATATTTGTTTTTTGTTTACAAAAAATAAAACATGAAAATTTAGAAACATAACCTCGATTTTTTAACTAATGTGTATTTATAACAATTATTGGGTATTAATAATTAAGCCTTATTAATAATTAATGTTCCTTTATTAATAATTAATATTTCTTTGTTCCAGGAGCTAAGAGAAAAAATTGATCAAGCTTGTAGGACAGCTGAAGAATTTACAAAAGTTTATTATGAAAGTTTGGATAAACGTAGACATGTAAGTTTTAAATTCATTGAGAGTGTAGATTATTTATATTTTAAAGTATTTTTTTTTTCTATTTAAAGGAAGGTAATAAATTTAATCAATTATGTATAGCTCATTTCAAAACTTTACCTGGATACGGCCACAATGATATGGAATGGAAATGGAGTCGATGGAAAAGATGCAATTCAAAAGTTTTGGATTGAATTACCGTCTTCGGATCACAGTATTATTACTCTTGATGCTCAGCCAATTACTGGTATAAATTTTGCATTTTTTAAAAATAGGTTTCTTTATTAATTTATTATTGACAAAAATCTTTTTATCTTTAGGACCAGCCGTTGCAAACCAATTGACGTTTCTCGTGAAAGTTAGTGGACAGGCAAAATATCAAGACAAAAATCCGAAACCTTTTAATCAAAATTTTTTAATAACAGCAATAGGAGATAAGTGGAAAATTGTTAGCGATTGTTTCCGAATGCAAGAAGTTATTGATAATTAAATTAGTCTCAAGTTTGTGTTACTTGTTTAAAATAGATTTTAAGATTATGCAAATTAATAAAGAAATTTTTTATCATGAAATATATTGTATTTGTAACTTTTATTCTTAAATTTTCTATGAAAAATAAGTTTTAAGTGACATTAATTTTCTCTTAACAAAAAATAAGTTTTTTAAAAAATTTTGTTATCTGTAAAGTGTAAAGTGTCTATCACACTATGCTTAAAGCTTGGTACATTCTTCAAGAATTTTATTCATTCCGCGCATGCAATTTTATTTGTGTACGTTTTTCATTGCTGTCAAAAATATTTATATGTTATTTTTTTGTTTAATAAACTTGTTATTATTAAAGTTAAATTTTAAAAGCACTTAGTGTAAATGCAACAAGTGAAATAAATTTCCGCTAAAAGAAAAGTAAAAAAAAAAGATAATGGAACAACTACAAACTGCGTTAACAACTGTCAAAGTTCTTCGCTCAAGTGTTGGTCAAGTTTTTGAGTCTCTCGCAAATGGTTTGAGAGCTGATCATGGAGAAGAAAATAAAGAAACAAAATATCTTTATGAACTTCAAGAACTAGTAAATACAGTGGGGCTTAGTTTAAGGTATAATTGACAATTAAATTTGTCCTGTGTATCCTAACCTCAAATGACATTTACAAATTCCAGGCTTCGCACTCATCTACTAGACTAAAACCTACTATTTACTACTTTTTTTACGTTATGCTACTATTTGCGTACTTTTTTTAGATTTCAGTCACTAAAAGATACTATTTCTGTTTTTTTTTAGAATTTACACTACTTTAAATTCGATAAAACTAGAAATCAAAAAACTATTCTCAAAAATTATAATCAAATTCTTTAAAACGATTCAATTATTTTCAAAAAAAATATTCGAAATTCAATTATTTTCAATATCTAGTAATTTCATAAAATTTCGCAAAAGAATTCAATTATTTAAAAGAATTTTTGTAAAAATGTTCGTAAGAATTCAATTTTTTTCATGAATAATAAAAATTTCTCTGGAATTCAATTATTTAAATTGGAATTTGCATAAAATTAGTCGAATGATGTAATCAATTATTTAATTTTTATTAAATTCTTCGCTAAAATTAAATTATTTTTATAAATATTTAAATTCTTTCATGAATAATAAAATTCTTTGCAAGTAATTCGATTTATTAGCAGTAGGATTAGAAAGAAATAAATATTTTTGATGAAAATTAGAAAAAAGTGAGGAAAATAAAATATAGAATAGAATTTTTGTCAGTTTTGTGATGTGTCTAAAACTAGTTTTTTTGGTCGTCAAGTTTAATTTTTCCATAGCTACTTTTTTTACTATTTTTTTTAGTCTTTTTAAATTAAGTATCGTGTGGGAAGTCTGAGATTCGATTAATATACTACAAATATTTATAGTTTAGGAAATGTGTGAATTGTTTTTTCAACTTAAAAATTAAAAAAAATTATGATTTTTCAGAGATGTGGAACAAGCTATCAATAGTTTGAATCCACCACCAGGTCCATTCAATTTGGCAAGTACATCTTTTCTCGGTCAGGAAACAACTCAAGAGAGACAGGCACTTTATAGTTCGTTAATAAATAGTTATAAATGGACGGATAAAGTTCATGAATACAGTAATATTGCTCAGTCCTTGTTAAGTCAAAATAATTTGAAACGTTCCTATACGAATGCTAGCAGAGGAAAGAGAGGTAGAATACAGACGAGCACGCATAATTTATCTCCACAGTATGTATAATTAATAACGAATTTTCTTTCTATGTGTAATAATTATATTACTCTTCGGAGTTTCAATCAATTTGTACTTTTTCAGGCAAGTTGATTCAGTTATAACACAATTCGATCGACTTTTCACTGATATGACATTTTCCATTTCACGACCTTTTGCATCTAATGCAATTTTGCACATAACATTGGGACATATTTTAAAAGCAGTTGTTGCATTTAAGGGGATAATGGTTGAATGGGTCGTAGTTAAGGGCTACAATGAATCAATGGATCTTTGGACGGAATCACGTTATAAAGTTTTTCGAAAAGTCACTGAAAATGCTCACGCTGCAATGCTACATTTTTATTCGCCAGCTCTTCCTGAATTAGCATTACGATCTTTTATGGTAATTACAATTTTACAACAAGTTTTTTTTTTATGATATCAAATTGCAAGCCTCGGATCGACTTTATCGAGCCAAAAAATCGCTTTAGTCGCTTTAGTCGATTAAAAATAGAAAAAAAGTCGAAAAAGTCGTTTACAATTTAATTCAGTGTTGTCACAAAAAATTTTATTTTGTATTTCACTGATTCTTCACTGATTTCTAAATTCAATTAATCAAAACTCGAATAATTTCATGCTAAATAAATATTTAAATACTTCTTATTTCTTTTTTCACGGGAAATATAATTTAAAATCATCATTTAAATTAAATTTTAAATTAAATTAAAATTTTTTAAAATTTTAGTTTACGTTCGAAGGTAATTGAATCTTAAAAAATTAAAATAAAACAATTTAAAGAATTATTTTGTTTTATAAATATTATTAATTTTTCGAAAATAATTGAATTTCTAAAAAGAATTTTTGTATAATTTAAAAAAACTACTTAATTTTTTTTGAGAATTTTAATTAAAAATTTTGAATATGATTATTTTCTCCAAAATCTTAAAAACGTTTCATAAAAATTTTAATGTTATTATTATTATTTTTATTATTGTTATTATTTTTTTGTATGTATTTGAATATTCGGAAATATGTAATAGAAAATATTGAAAATGATTGAATTTTAAAAAATTAGAATGAAAACATTCTGAGAATTAGGTTTTTCAAAAATATTTTAATATTATTAATTGAAATCTTCTAAAGAATTTTATTTTTTATGAAAATAATTGAATTCTTGAGAAGAATTTACTAAAATTTTTTAAAATTTATTGAAATTCTCCAAAGAATTTTATTATTTAAAAAAATAATTTGAAAGCTTCAAAAGAATTTGATTTTTTATGAAGATAATTGAATTTTTGCGATGAATTTTACTTCGAAAGAATTTTTTGACAAGAATTTGTTTCAAATTTTTGAAAATGATTGAACTTCTCCGAAGAATTTTATTATTTAAGAAAATAATTGAAATCTTCAAAAGAATTTTATTAAAAGTTTTAAAATAATTGTAATCCTCCGAAGAATTTCTTTATTTTTAAAAAATAATTTAATTTTTGCGATGAATTTTACTTGGAAAGAATTTCTTGACAAGAATTTGTTTCAAATTTTTGAAAATAATTGAAATTCTGTAAAGAATTCAATTATTTATGAAAAAAAAATTGAATTCTTGATAAGAATTTGGTTTAAATTTGTGAAAATAATTGAAATCCTTCAAAGAATTTTTATTATTAATGAAAGTAATTGAAATCTTCTAAAAAAATTTATTTTTTATGAAAATAATTGAATTCTTGAGAAGAATTTACTAAAATTTTTGAAAATAATTGAAACTATCCGAAGAATTTTATTATTTAAGAAAATAATTGAAAGCTTCAAAAGAGTTTTATTTCTTATAAAGATAATTGAATTTTTGTATTGAATTTTATTAAAATTTCTGAGAAAATAATTGTAATCCTCCGAAGAATTTCATTATTTATAAAAAATAATTTAATTTTTGCTATGAATTTTACTTCGAAAGAATTTCTTGACAAGAATTTGTTTCAAATTTTTTTAAATAATTGAAATTCTGTAAAGAATTCAATTAATTATGAAAAAGAAAATTGAATTCTTGATGAGAATTTTGTATCAAATTTTTAAAAATAATTGAAAATAATTGAATCCATTTATGAAGAAGAATTTTATTAAAATTGTATTCAATTGAATTCTTGCGAAGAATTTTACTATTTATAAAAATAATTGAATTGTTCCGAAGAATTTATTAAAATTTTAAGAAATAATTAAATTGTTATATGAATTTTATAGAAATATTTGAAAATAATATAATTTTTTCGAGAAATGCAATTAAGGTTGTTTTGAAAATAATTGATTTTCTTTAAAGAATTTTATTAAAATTAAGTATATATATTCAAAATAATTGAATTCATCACAAGAATTTTTTTATTTTTTGAAAAAATTGAATTCTTTTAATTTTTTTTGACGAATATATTTAAAAATTGCATTGAAAGTAATTTAATTTTTATTTAGAACTTTATAAAAATATTTTGAGAATAATTGAATTATTTTTAGAAAATTTTAAATTCTTGTTGAAATTGAATTTTATGGAAATTTTTGAAAATAATTAAATTCATTCTTGTAATTTTACTTAAATTGGATTAAAAATAATTTAATTCCTGCAAAGAATTTTAGTATTTATAAAAGTAATTGAATTTTTTTGAAAAATTTATTAAAATTTTAGAAAAAATTGATTTTTTTTCGGAATGTGTTAAAATTTAAAAATTTGGAAGAAAAGTCGAAAAAGTCGTAAATTTTTAACATAATTCGATAAAAGTCGCATTATTCGAAATAGTCGAAAAAGTCATAAAATCCGAGGCCTGAAAATCTTCAAATGTACTTACTTTCAATTTTTCTTTTTCAGACCTGGCTTCATAGTATGATCTCGTTATTCAATGTACCATGTAAACGTTGTGGTTTACATTTACATGGCGCCTTGCCTCCAACCTGGAGAGATTTTCGTACCTTGGAACCATTTCATCAAGAATGCAAACCCTAGTAATAAATTAATATAATAACAATTAATTATAATTGTAAATACAAATAGTAAAAAGAAGATCTTCAAAATAGGTAAATTTATACCATTCAGCTTGCTTTGCAAGACTACTAAAAAAAAATTCTTTTTTAAAATAAATTAGCGCCTAATTAAAAGAAATAAGGCCTTAAAGTATAAAATTGTGATTTGATAATTTTTTAATAAAAGGAAATAAATTGATGGTAAATAAAAACACAAATTGCAAATTTAATTTCTATATTTAATTAATCCATACCTCGATGATCGTTAAAATTGCGAGCACATAATCGTTATATATCAAATACAAAAAATATCTTTTTTATTGAAGATAGTAATAGTATTAATTTATCGATATTTTTAGCTGACAATTTCAAAAGATCATCTTTTTATACATTGATATAATATTGATTAATGTTTTTTTTCCTTTTCTTTTTCTTTAGTAAAAATGTACAATATTCTCAACAAGTCAAAAACGTTAACATCCGTTTTAGTCTCTTACATTATTTTCGAAAAATGTTTCCAAACGATATTTTTCATGGAAAACATTAGAATAAATTTCTGCACACTAATTGGTCGTCTACATCGGTAGTCTTTGTTTGAATAATGCAAGAGCGCAACGATGTCGTAACATAGTATTATTATTATTATTATTATTATTATTATTATTTTGCATCAGAAAATATATAGATGTCAAAATTAGCACCTTTTTTCCTCTAATTAATAAACGATTTAATTTTGACCATCAAGAAATTTTAATTTTCACCTTCAAAAAAAAGGTGCGTTTTTGTAAACTTTAATAAATCGATTAGCAATTTAACGATTTTCTTTCCCTTTTTCAAATTTTTTGGCAGAAGTAGGTATTTCAAAAGTCTTACATGGATTTATGGACCCAAAAAGTTGAAAACTACTTAAAAAATTTTAAATACATTTTTTTAATGAAATGATTTTTTTAAAAAATAAAGTCAATAGAAAGAGTTTATTAAAGAAATTTTATACTTATCGAAAAAAGTTATTTTTAAATGTAATCAGAAATTTTGAAATTGAAAATTGAAAATTCATAATTGCAATTCTTTGTTTACTGAATATATAAAATTCTGTAAATATTTACAAGTACAACAGAGATTCATAATTACAACTATTTGATACCAGATTTTATATAAGATTGAATCGCAAATATTTTTATAATATAATAACATTGAATAAATATTGTGTTGTCTCTTATGAAAAAGTTTTACTATCAAATATAATATATTTTTTTTTCGATTAAAAAATGATTAAGTATTGTGGCAACATTATATCATCTATATAGAAAACTAAAAACAATTAATTAATAATTATTTGAATTTTATTAAAAGAAAATTCGCATATTTTGCTAAACCGGAGATTATTTTTAATTATGAATAACAGGAAATGAATATTACCCTATGTCAACAAATTTTTGTGAAAAATATAATATTATATTTTTTACAATAAAAGAAAACATTACAGAGACGAAATCAATTTTCCACGCACGTTCAAAATCAAATAAATCCATTCGTTTGCCTTTGACCACATTAATTATTCTGATAAAAATAGTAAGCATTGTTATCTTTTCTTTAAATTAATTCTTAATGTAATATCAAGTGATGATTAAATTCAGCCTTTAGGTAAAATGAGTCGATACTATAACAAAAAAAAAACAACTACTTGATGACATTATTTTAACAACTACAATTAACAGTTTCGATTAAGAAAAAAAATATACAATACACATTTTGGCACATAACCCCCGGAATAACATTTCTCATGATCAAATGAAAACGAAATTATATTAATAAAAAAATTCATTCCAATTTTTCGTCACTTCTCCTCATAAGTAACAATTGAATATACAAATTTAATATCCATTTGAAAATTTATTCGTCAGCAAAATACTACTGATAAAATGGTAGATATAAAAAATCTATATACTTTCTTTTCTTTTAAAAAACACAATATTCAGTTGTGTACGTACTACATTAAAAAAAACCAACTGAAATACCGCAATAATATTTTAAATGCGGATTAAAAAAACAAGGAAGTAAAATCACAAATAAATTATGCATTTTTTCTTTTTATAAAGGAACTAACGAGCGAGAGAAAAAGAAAAAAATTTACAAACTTATCAACAAAAGTTGAATAAATTTTCAATATATACGTAATTTTTTTTCGAGAATAAAACAAAGTTGAATAAATTTTCAATTTATGATTTTTTTTTAAGAATTGTAAAATCAACTCGTATATATATATAACATTCTTATAAAGAAATATATAGTGTGAAATATTTTTTTATGGCGCGCTATGGTTAATTATATTGACACAATAATGTTTCATATTTTTCTCTCTCTATTATGCCTTTCACTGTAAAATGTACTATGAAAAAGGTTTTCTTTAAACAAAAAAAAACCCGCCTGTCAATTCTGTTCATTTTTTCTTGGACAGTGCTAAGTGTTATAAATTTGTTGATTTAAACAACTAGACAGTCTGACCATGTAAAACCCCATTTTTTTTTGTTTTTTTTTCAAAATAAATTTAATTATGCATTTTTTTTTAACGACCAACGCCAAATTCTTTGGCGTCGTCTTCAGTGATGTCTCCGTATTCCCAAATATTCATGCGGCCCTTCTTTGCTTCGTCCTCTGCCGCTTTGTAGTCTTCCATCTGGAATTTAATGAAAAGAAATTTAAATAAGCTTTAAATTTAATTGGAAAAAAAGTGGAAAATAAAACTGATTATAGGTAGTATTAAATAATTTAATAGAAATTAATAAAAAGAATAGAAAAAATGTTTAAAAATATATTAATGGAAATTTAAAAAAGAAATTAGATATTTATAAATTAAATTCGGAAGAATTCAATTATTTTTAAAAATAATAAATTTTTTTGCAAAAATTCAATTATTTTTAAAAGTAATAAATTTTTTTGCAAAAATTCAATTATTTTCTAAAATTATAATAAAATTCCTCCTAAAAAATCAATTATTTTCAATACAATTTTAATTAAATTTCTCCAAAGAATTTAAATTTACATCGAAACAATTATATTATTTTTCAAAAATTTTAATAAACATCTTTGCAAGATTTCAATTATTTTCATTAATAATAAAATTTTTTAAAGTACAATTTCAAATATTTTCAAAAATTTGAACCAAATTCTTATCAAGAATTCAATTTTCTTTTTTTATAAATAATTGAATTCTTTGCAGGAATTCAATTATTTTTAAAACAACTTTAATTCAATTTCTCGAAAAAATTTCATTATTTTCAAATATTTCTATAAAATTTTTCATAACAATTTAATTATTTTTTAAAATTTTAATAAATTCTTCGGAACAATTCAATTATTTTTATAAATTATAGTAAAATTCTTCGCAAGAATTCAATTATTTTCAAAAATTTGAACCAAATTCTTATCAAGAATTCAATTTTTTTTCATAAATAATTGAATTCTTTACCGAAATTTGAATTATTTTAAAAAATTTGAAACAAATTGTTATCAAATTCTTGTCAAGAAATTCTTTCGAAGTAAAATTCATTTCAAAAATTAAATTATTTTTTAAAAATAATGAAATTTTTCGGAAGATTACAATTATTTTCAAAAAATTTTGAATAAAATTCTTCACAAAAATTCAATTATCTTCATAAAAAATAAAATTCTTTTGAAGCTTTCAATTATTTTCTTAAATAATAAAATTCTTCGGAGAATTTCAATTATTTTCAAAAATTTTAGTAAATTCTTCTCAAGAATTCAATTATTTTTTCATAAAAATTCTTTACAGAATTTCAATTATTTTCAAAAATTTGAAACAAATTCTTATCAAGAATTCAATTTTTTTTTCATAAATAATTGAATTCTTTACAGAATTTCAATTATTTTAAAAAATTTGAAACAAATTCTTGTCAAGAAATTCTTTCCAAGTAAAATTCATCTAAAAAATTAAATTATTTTTTATAGATAATGAAATTCTTCGGAGGATTACAATTATTTTCAAAAATTTTAATAAAATTCTTACTAAAAATCAATTATCTTCATAAAAAATAAAATTCTTTAGAAGATTTCAATTACTTTCATTAATAATAAAATTCTTTGAAGGATTTCAATTATTATCAAAAATTTGCAATTAAAATTATTCAAAAAAAACTACATTATTTAAAAAAAGCACAAAGAAATTCATCAAAAGGATTTAATTGTTTACAAAAACTCTAATAAAATTGTTTAAAAGAGTTCAATTTTCAATAAATAATTTTAATAGTAAAATTATTAATTTCAATTATTAAGAAAATCGATTATATTTGATAAATTAAAGAAATTTTTTGAAAGAATTCAATTATTGTCAAAACCTTTAATAGTATCTATTCTTCGAAAGAATTCAATTATTTTCTATTTTATAATAAAATTCCTTGAATGAATTAAATTATTTTAGAAAGTATTTTATTTTAAGGAGAACGTACCAATTTTTTCACTCTTCGGTCTCGACTCTTTTCGACAATCAAATAACCATAGGCGATAAGTCCTTTGCCAATGTCTTCGTTAGTTGTCGAATCGACCAATGTTGCTGCTGGTAAATTATTCACTTTGAATTCAACATTCAGGAGCAAAGTTTTTCCCGTAACGACATCTTCTCGGAAAGCGTCAATCGCCATTTTCTTGTAGTCATTCTTAAAAGAAAATTGATAATTATTTTTAACATTCTGAAATTACTTTTAGCTTTTAAAATTATTTTTAAGTTCTGAAATATTTTTTAGCTTCTAAAATTATTTTTAACTTCTAAAATTGTTTTTAACTTCTGAAATATTTTTTAGCTTCTAAAATTAAAAACAAAGTTAATAATTAACAAAAAAGCAACTTACATCTTGCGGAAGTTTAACCCAAGCAAGCATGTATTCAGAGGCAAATGGTCGATCGCTCGAAAATCCAGGTGGTAAAGCAGCGACACGAGTGACATTCAATGACTCTCGATTACCATAATCAATGTAGAATACACTGACATTGGGACCGGAGACCTTTTCAATTTTCACACGATACCATTGATCGTCTTCGGTGAATTTAGCAGCGGCCAAGTCGCCTCTTCGTGGATTATATGCACCCGGCAATGGTGGATTTTCCGTCAATTCCTGACGTAATCGAGCTATTAAACTCTCGTACAAATTACGCTGATCGACATTTTGCGCATAGAAATGAAGATCCTCGGTGATTTCCGAAACAACAACTTCATGATAATTGATCTTTCTCTCCACCACTTTATTATCCTCCTCGACTTTCTCAGTTTCCACCTCAATTTTCACGTAGTCTTTCCAAATCTAAAATGAAAAAATGGAATATGGAATATTAAAAGAATTTTTAATTCCAAAAAAAAGTCAGAATGTTATGTGGAATAAAAATAGAACTCACATTTAATTTCTTGGCCTTGGCACGTTCCTCAGCGGCCTTGAGAATCTTGAAGTGTTCTCCCTGCTCCATGAATGTGGAAACTGTTGCCAGACCCTCCTCGACAAGAGCAACAGACAAATTAACACCATCGACAAATAGCCAACCGATGAAACCGCTACCCTTCGATTCCATATTCTCAACTTGAATGTCAACGTCTTTTTGCAGGCAATGTTCCCTCGTGAATTTGAGTGCCTCCTCACCGAATGGTTCGCCTTCGCTGCTTCCCGAAGTGGGAGTTATGCGTGGCGCACGTGGTGCTTTCACACCAGCCAATAAGAATGTAATGAGACAATATTCCTTGGGTACAAAAAGTTTGAGACGCGATCCACTCGTGACAAATTCAACCACGGCTTTTATTTCACGTGCACGCTTCAATGATTGCAGATGTGATTTAGCGGCTGCTGGATCTGTCGAGACATCACGTATTCTCTGCATTGGAACATCTTTCTTCGCATGAAGACCGTACTGTGATTTTTCGGCTTTACTCTCAGCGGCTAATAATTCACTGTAGTGAATCGAGCGCTGATCGTCATTCTGTCGGTATTTAACCACTGTCGCAAGACCCTTTGACACCATCATCTCGGCAATATTTCTGTAAATTAATTATAAATATTCATTATTCCAAAAAAATTATCTTTTTCTAAAAATATACTATGTAATTGGCTTTTTGTCCTAAAAAAAAGTGAAAATGGGAATTTTTTTCCCCTCAAAAAGGATACCAAAAATTTATTTGTTTATAAAACTTGCATATATAATTCAAATTTTTTATCATATAACTTTTATAAAATTTTTTAAAAATGATTCGATTGCAACAAAAATTAAATTTTGTTTTCCCTTACTTTTCCCTGATTTTTAGACAAAATTTTGACTTTTTCCCTAAAGAATATTATGCGATTCACTCTAAAAATGATTAGATACTCAAAAAAATGATCTGTTACATTTATTTATGAATTTCTTTAACTATAAAATTATTCGAAAACAACAATAACTTATTTTTTAAAAAATTATTTAATCATTATTATTTTTCCATAGGAGTTAAGATTTTCAAAACATTAAAATTAAAATCTTTTTGAAATTTAACAATTTTTCAGAATATTATTATAAAACATGAAGTTCATGTTTTATAATAATTAAAAATGACCGAGTGATAAGATCATTATTTTCTACTATAAAAAATATTTTTACTCTGACTTCTTCAACATTATTTTCATCATTTTAATTCAATTATTATTTTCTAGAATTTTTAACTAAAATTCTTCTTTAAATCAATTACCTATTTACAATAATTTTTTAAAAAATTCTGATTAAACTTTTTGAAAAAAATTAATTCCACACAATTGTTAGTTAAAAATATGAAAAATTCAGATTTCCAAATATTTCAATTTGAAACTTTTTGAAAATTCAATTACTTCTAAAAATTCACGCTATAATACTTTTAAAAATCAATTATTACATAAAATTTTAACTCAAATTCACTTTTACATCAATTTCTATTAGAAAATTCTACGAGAATTCAATTATTTAAATATAAAAATGAAAAAATTATTGAATAATTGAATGTTTCTTAAAAAATAAAATACAATTCCCATAAAGAATTTTATCAACAAATTTTTAAATAATTGAATTCTTTCGACGAATTTTAATAAAATTCTTAAGAGTAATAACTTTTTTTGAGGTATTCGATTAAAATTGTACTAAAAATAATTGAAATTTTGCGATGAGTTTGATTATTTATGAAAATAATTGAATCTCTGTAAAAAATTGTATTATTTATGAAAATAATTGAATCTCTGTAAAAAATTGTATTATTTATGAAAATAATTGAATAATATATGAAAATACAATTATTAAGCAACAATACTTTTAAAATTCTAGTATTATCTAAAATTTTAACTGAATTTCATGTTAAAATCAATTTTCACTAGAAAATTCTACGAGAATTCAATTATTTAAATCCAAAAATTAAAAAATTATTGAATAGATAAATATTTCTCCAAATTGAATTCTCATAAAGAATTTTATCAAAATTTTTAAAAATAATAGAAATCTTTCGGCGAATTTAAAAAAAAATTTTTTAGAATAAATGCGATTTTCTATCATTTTATTTAAAATTATGTAAAAAATAATTAAAATTCTGCGATATGTTTTGTTATTTATAAAAATAATTGAATTCTCGCAATGAATTTTATTAAAAAATTTAAAAATAATTGAAAATTTTAACTGAAGTTCACTTTTAAATCAATTTCTATTACAACATTCTACAAGAATTTAATTATTTACATACAAAAATAAAAAAAATTGTTGAATAATTAAATGTTTTATAAAATCCAATTTCCATAAAGAATTTTATCAACAAATTTTTAAATAATTGAATTCTTTCGACAAATTTTAATAAAATAATTACACTTTTCGATGTAATTATTTTATTATTTATAAAAATAATTAAACGTTTGCGTAGAATTTTAATAAACATTTTTTTAAATAATTGAATTCTTTTGGGAAATTTTAAAAATAGTAGATAATTGATTATCATTGAACTTAGGAAAATTTTTGCAAATAATTGAAATTTTGACAAGAAATTTATTAAAATTTTTGAAAATAACTGAATTTTGAAGAAGAATTTTATTATTTATAAAGAGAATTGAAATTTTGAGTTCTTTAGAATTACTAATGAAATTCATTCAATATTGAAATTTTATTAAATTTGAAATTAATATATTTTCAAGTTCATCTATTTATGAAAATTGTAAACGAAACTATCTTAAAATTCAATTAATTTTGAAATGTATCTATAAATAAAATTATTCATTAAATAATTTCTAAGTTAATAATTTTACGATAGTTCTTTAAGACTTGAGTTAAAAAAGGAAATTATTGTCAGAAATGGAAAAAATTGAAAGTTTTGTATTAGAATTTTTGTTTTTGTAGAAAAAACTATTAATAATAATATTTTAATTATTTGAATGTTAATTAATTATTTTTCTAGAGGTCTGTATTCTGTTGAATGAAGCACCTTATAATTTATAAAATTCTTTACGTTCTATTATTTAAATCATTAACAAAAAAAAATATTTATATTATGTTCTGGTGTTAATAATCTAAATCAGAAATAAAACGCATTGAATTCTAAATTTGAGTTAAATTTTTTTTTTTTTTTTTAATTAAAAATTTTTTAAATTTGAATTTGAATTTAAAATTTTTTTTTAATTTTAAGTCTAAATTTTATGCGATTACACTTTGAAAAAGATTTCAAAAAAAAAAAAACTTTATTTTTTATTAGAAAAAGGTGAAAAAGGGGACAAATCAGCAAAAAGGGGAAAAAGGGTGACAAATCGTGAAAATAGGTAAAAAAAAGGTGTGAAAATTGAAATAAGGGGACAAAAGGGAAAAACGGGAACCAATGCCAACAGTGATGCCTGTAATTGAATTATATAAAGGGAAATGATAATTTTTTTGCAAACTTACACTTTTCCAATCATTACAGTACAACAAGTTTTCTCGGGGAAATTGTCCTTCGCCGGTTGAATATAATCGATGGACACCTTCACCAATTTGCTAATGAGTTTTTTTCGTAGAAATTCACGAGCCTCGAACATCCATGGTACATCGTAGAGTGGTCGGAAATCTTTTGGTTTCGTAATAGTTCCATCTTCGTTTTGGAATTTCTTGTCGCGCGGTGGTGGCCTAATACTGCTGAGAAAGACTTTTTTCGTATCGCCAGATTGTAATTTTACAAGAATTGCATCAGCATTGGCAATTTCTGTGACAATACCACTGAATTCCATGAGTTCTGTACTTGCTGTTGGTGGTTTATAATTTTTCCACCTACGCAATTGTTTATCCTTTGCTGCCTTCTCAGCACTTTGATACTGTTTCAAAACGTCGGCCTTCATTTGATTATTCATCGACCAGCTCACACATTCAGCGTAACCAAAATTCAAAAGAAATTCGGCAATATCACCCTTTGGATGAATAATTCTACCGACAAAATTATTACTATTCACCGAATAGAGTATTATTTCAACTTGTCTCTGTAGGAGTTTCGATTCAGTGACATATTGAGCTTCTTTTGCCAATGATTTCTCTTCACTTTCAGCCTCGAGTTTTGGGCATCGAATTCCGGCCATTTCTAAAGTCACATAGTAAAAGTCGGGCAAGAGGAAAGCGCGAACTGTTGAACCATCACGAACATGTTCAATGACAGCTTTCACACGTTTTCCACCTAAACGCTCGACCAGAGCTCGTGGATTTTCAATGGTCCACTTGATGTCTCTCACGTGGGCCGAAGATGACGGATTCGGCCATTTACCCTTGCCGGCAGATTTGGCAGAATTTTCCAAATCTTGCAACCGCTGCAATTCTGGGGTGACATTGCGAGTGTCTGACTTTACGTTTACAAGACCCTCCATTACGAGTTGCTCGGCCACACTTGGACCACTTGTGTCTGTTTAACAAAAATCTATATTAATAATCGTTGTATTCCGGTAATCTCTTCGCAGTTTGAAGTTAGTTGCTTTTTTGTTTCCTAACTTTTGAAATAATTTTCCTTTTTAAATGTTTTCAATTTTAAAATAACTAATGTACCGAAAATCATTGAATTCTTGCAAAGTATTAAAAAATTTGAAAATAATTGAATTCACTTCAAGAATTTTATCAACATTTTTTTCATTAATTGAATTCTTTCGAGAAAATTTAATTAAAATAATGGAGTTTTTTTTTAATTTTAACTGAAAATTTTGAAAATAATTGAAATTGAGAGAAATTGAAAGTAATTTTATCAAGAATACAATTTTAATTGATTTTTTCGAAAATTACAAGTATTTTTAGAAATCTTGTGAAAATTCTCCGAGAGATTTCAATAATTAAAAAAAATAATTTACTTTTTCACAGAATTTCAATTATTTTCATAAAAAAAGAAATTTTCGCTCGAATTCAATTATTAAAATTTTAAAAATTGTAATTGGAATTAAAAAAAATTAAATATAATTTTATCAAGAATACAATTTTAATTGATTTCTTCGAAAATTACAAGTATTTTTAAAAATCTTGTAAAAATTCTCTGAAAAATTTCAATTATTTTTAAAAATAATTGAATTTTTCACAGAATTTCAATTATTTAAAAAATTTTTAATAAAATTCAATTCAAGAATTCAATTATTTTCATAAATAATGAAATTTCCGCTGGAATTCAATTATTTTAAATATAATTTTAATTGAATTCGAGGGAAAATTCAATTATTTTTTAAACATTTTAATTTAATTTTTCTAAAGAATTTAATAATATTAATAAATAGTAAATTTTTCACAGGAATTCACTTATTTTAAATTCAATTTTAATAAAATTCTTCTCAAAAATTCACTTATTCTTTTAAAATTTTGCAAAAATTCAATTATTTGTAGAAATAATAAATTTTCTCGCAAAGATTCAATTATTTAAAAAAGTTTTAATAAAATAATTGGATTGTTAAAACAACATGTTATTAAAATTTTTTTAAATAATTTGACCTGTTAGAGGAATTTTATTAAAATTATCTTGAATGTAATTGAATTTTTACCTAGAAATTTTATTGAAAATAATTGTAATTCTCAGAAGAATTTTACAATTTATAAAAAATAATTTAATTGTTTCGAAGAATTTTTATCAGAATTGTTGAAAATAATTGTAATACTCCGAAGAATTTCATTATTTATAAAAAATAATTTATATATTTTGTAATTAACTTTAAATCAAAAGAATTTCTTGACAAAAAATTGTTTTAAATTTTTTAAAATAATTTAAATTCTGTAAAGAATTCAATTATTTATGAAAAAAAAATTGAATTCTTGATAAGAATTTGGTTCAAATTTTTGAAAATAATTGAAATCCTTCAAAGAATTTTATTATTAATTAAAGTAAAATAATTGAAATCTTCTAAAGAATTTTATTTTTTATGAAAATAATTGAATTTTTAGGAAGAATTTTATTAAAAATTTCGAAAATAATTGTAATCCTCCGAAGAATTTTATTATTTAAAAAAATGATTGAAAGCTTCAAAAGAATTTTATTTTTTTTTTGAAGATAATTGAATTTTTGTGAAGAATTTTATTAAAATTTCTGAGAAAATAATTGTAATCCTCCGAAGAATTTCATTATTTATAAAAAATAATTTAATTTTTACGATGAATTTTACTTCGAAAGAATTTTTTGATAAGAATTTGTTTCAAATTTCTTAAAATAATTGAAATTCTGTAAAGAATTCAATTTTTTATGAAAAAAAAAATTAAATTCTTGATAAGAATTTGGTTCAAATTTTTGAAAATAATTGAAATTCTGTAAAGAATTCAATTATTTATGGAAAAAAATTGAATTCTTGATAAAAATTTGGTTCAAATTTTTGAAAATAATTGAAATCCTCCGAAGAATTTTATTATTTAAGAAAATAATTGAAAGCTTCAAAAGAATTATATTTTTTATGAAGATAATTGATTTTTTAGGAAGAATTTTATTAAAATTTTTGAAAATAATGAAAATCTTTGAAAGAGTTTTATTTTTTATGAAGATAATTGAATTTTTAGAAAGAATTTTATTAAAATTTTTGAAAATAATTGAAATTCTTTGAAAAATTTTATTATTTATGAAAATAATTGAAATCCTTCGAAACATTTCATTATTTATGAAAATAATTGAATTCTTGGAAACAATGTTTATTAAAATTGTTATATTGAATACCTAATAATAAACAAGAATATTTCATATTCTGTATTTGATAAGTAAATTCTTTAAATTTTCAATCTGTAATCATTGAAATATTGAAGTTTGTTCTTGAATATGGTGGATTCAATGTCAACTCAACAGAGATATTTTCATGACCTTATGGGATTCGCTTAATATTCTGTTTATACACTCCTTAGGTGATGAAAAAATCCCCCTTCAAATGTTTTTTTGAAAAATATAAAAAAAATGTCTGAAATACAAGACTTTGAATTTTTTTGTACTATTTGTTTAAAAAAATCTGTAACTTCTGTTCTAATAATCCGATTTAAATTTTCAATATCATAAATTGTGCAGGAAATGTCATATCAAAATATATAAGTTTGTTTTTACCTCTTCCCAACCAAACATTGCCGTACGTTCTGTTATTTATCGTCTTCTCTTCAACGAATGTCACATATTCTCCAATTAATTTATTGCGAAGAAATTCCCTCGCTTCCCAAGCATACGCTTCATCTTTCGTTTCTTCAGAACTGAAAAATTTAATTTAGTAATTATTTCCACTGTGATAAAATGCAAAGAAAAATATTCAATCATACTCACTTTCCAATAGCTCTGCGGGCCAATTTTGGAGCCATAATATTCGAAAGACATATTGTTTTCTCTGGTGGTGGTCCATCTTTTGGTACGTCTCTAATCAAAATCGTATCACCAGAAACAATCTAAAATAGTAATTAAAAAAATAAATAATCAAACGTACCATAAGGAACGTTTTTTTGCTCTATAAATAGATTCTCTAAGAAACAATATCTGGATATATCGAGAATTTCACATTTTTCTCGCATTAACCGCAAACTTTTAACAAACTATCAATAAAAATGTGAAACAGGAAAATAACCGGGAATACAAGTTTAAAATAAAGACTTTGTAAAAGTGAAAAAATGCAAAAACCAGATTCTATAAACATCAAACAGATCATTGGGGTTGAAATACTTTTACCATATGTGCAATTACAAGTATTAGAAAACAGAATCAATTTATTTTTCTACATTGTTAAATTACAAAGTGAAAATAATTATTTTAATTTGATTTATTTCTAAACACCGGATAATAAAGAATTATAATTCTATGATGATTTGTGGAAAAATCTAAACACGTACTCACCTGCTTAACGATCCCAATTTTACGGGAGACTACCTGCGGTGTGCTCATGGTGCGTCGAGAAAAATTTTAAAGGCAAAAATTGAGAAATATCTAATGATATCAGTCACGAGACCGATTTTTAACAAATTTGTACGCCTTTGTTGTACGTTTAGAGTGAAAATCCTTGTTGAAATGTTAATTAATGTGATAACATGTTGGAGAAAATGAAATTGTCGATGCACTCAAGATCGCCGTGTATTTCCAATGAAGTACTATTTTTTAAGCTGGAGCGCGATCTACGTTGTGTAGAAGAACATTGCTTAAATGTTCATTTAAACGATGGTGATGTGGCAACACGCGACACTCTGTCACGCGATGACAGCGCTCCCTATTTATTTGTACATGTGGATAATAATTCAAATTTGCAATAAACTCATAAAAATGCATAAAAAACAATGTTATTGACCTCTAAAATTTAAAAAATCATTTGATAATTGAAAAATTCTATTAATTCTTAAGAAACTTAATAATGACTTCCTTATCAACTGCAGAATTTTTACCTGATTAATTACATTAATATTGATAATGAAAGAATCATATCTAATAATCAGAAGCATCTCAAGGATAACAAGTGAAAAGAGGTCCTTTAAAAAAGTCCTTTTAAAAATAATTAATGCAAAAAAAAGGAAATTTTTATGTTTTATTTTTTATATTATATTCTCAAAAAAAAGTCACAAAAGATGACGCTGTCTGTTAAATCCCATTCAAGTTGCAATCTTCCTTCCCGTTATCCTGGGTTAATTGCACCTTTCACAGCAGGAGGTTAAAAATTTTTTAGGTTATGCTCGAAATATAAAAATAAAAAAAAATTGTTTTAATTAATTAAATAAAAAATTATTCGTATACTTTAGGAAGAAAAGCTTATTGAATATTTTCACACCAAAGGCAATAAGTTGAATGTGATAACGGAGAAAAGTGCTGTCAGTTTGAAAATATTTGCGAATGCAGAGTTTTCGAAGCAGTGTGAAACTCTCATGGAGATTGCAGAAGCATTGTAGCGCTGACGCTGAAAGGCACGTGTACTTGCTGCAGCGACTAAGAAAAGCGTCTCTAATTACTGTCAAACAGTATTCGTATGTAATTACCGCAAAATCGAATAAAAAAAAGTTAAACTTTCCTGTCGAGATGACAGATCCGAAAATTGAAGAAGAATTGACCTCGTATCGCGCGAGTGTCAAAGAACAAGTGAGTATGCCATATGGGTTTTCCTTCTTACTCATCTTAAATATACCTTCTTTTTTTACACATATTGTTTTATTTTCTTTAATGTAATAAATTAAAATATGATTTTGATACAAGTTATCTTTCTTACTTTCATTTTATTTTTTACTTTCATCAATTCAAGGTTGCCACAGGTCAGGGAAATCAGGGAAAAGTCAGGGATTATTATTAAAATACTGGAAAAATTAAATTTGCAGGATTCATAATTAGTTTTATTTAATTCTTTAACATATATTTAATTAATTATTAAAATTCATGGAAAATAGAATTGGTTAGAGAAATGAGGAAAAAGTCAGGGATTTTTATTAAAGTACTGGAAAAAATTAAATTTGAATCATGGATTTATAAAAGAATTTCAGTTAAAAATACTAAAAAATTGAATTTTAGAGAGGTTACTAATTATTGCATAAATTCAATTATGTTCGAAAATTTTGAAAAATTCTCGTCAAAATTCCAATTCAGTATCTTTAAAAATAATAAAATTCTTCTTCAAAATTCAATTATTTTCATAAATAATAAAAATTTCACACGAATTCAATTATTTACACATTTTTCGCAATAATTCAATTCTTTTCTTAAATAATAAAAATTTTTTACAGAGATTCAATTATTTTCATGAATAATAAAACTCATCACATAGAATTGCAATTATTTTTAATACAATTTTAATCCAATTCTTTAATAATTTTAATTGAAAATTTTGAAAGCAATTTAATTTTATGAAAAAGAATTTTATTAAAATTGTATTGAAAATAATTGAATTCTTGCAAAGAATTTTACTATTCATAAAAATAATTGAATTGTTTCGAAGGATTTATTAAAAATTTAGAAAATAAATGAATTTTTTGCTAATATTTGAAAATTTAAATTCATATTAGGAATTCAATTAAAATTGTTTTGAAAATAATTGAATTCCTGCAAAGAATCTTACTATTTATAAATATAATTGAATTATTGCGCAGAATTTTACTATTTATAAAAATAATTGAAATGTTTCGAAGAATTTACTAAAATTTTAAGATATAATTAGATTGTTATGAAGAATTTTATAGAAATATTTAAAAATCATGACATTTTTTCGAGAAATATAATTAAAGTTGTTTCGAAAATAATTGAATTTCTTTAAAGAATTTTATTAAAATTAATTATTTTCAAAATAATTGAATTCATCACAAGAATTTTATTATTTTTTCAAAATAATTGAATTCTTTCAATTTTTTTTCACGAATATATTTAAAAATTGCTTTGAAAGTAATTTAATTTTTATTTCAAATTTTTTAAAAATATTTTTGAGAATAGTTGAATTATTTTTGGAGAATTTTTAATTCTTGTTAAAATTGAATTTTATGAAAATTTTTGAAAATAATTAAATTCATTCTTTTAATTTTACTTAAATTGGATTCAAAATTAATTAATTCCTGCAAAGAATCTTAGTATTTATAAAAATAGTTGAATTATTTCGAAGAATTTATTAAAATTTTAGGAAATAATTGAAATTTATGGAAATATTTAAACATATTTGAATTCATCCGGGAATTCAATTTAAATTGTTTTGAAAATAATTTAATTCCTGCAAAGAATTTTACTATTTATAAAATAATTGAATTCTTGCGAAGAATTTTACTATTTATAAAAATAATTGAATTTTTTCAAAGAATTTATTAAAATTTTAGAAAAAAATTGAATTTTTTCGAAATGTGTTAAAATTTTTTTTAAAAACTGAATTCTTCCGAGGAATTCAATTAAAATTGTTTTTAAAATAATTGAATTTTTGTAAAGATTTTACTATTTAAAAAAATAATTGAATTGTTTAGAAGGATTTATTAAAATTTTAGAAAATAATTGAATTCTTTCGTAAAATTTTATTAAAATTTTTGAAAATATGAACAGTAATAATTAATTTTTGTACTTAATAAGTGAATTTTTTAAATTTTGATTATGAAATTATTTAAAAACTTTATATTTGAAAATAAAAAATTTTATAATTTGCATAACAATAATAAATTGAATATCTCATTCCGCGCGCTAGTGCGCATAACATTTGCTGTTTAAAAATATGTGATATAATTGTTCATTTATTTCTTTCGACGAATTTTAAAAAAATTTTTGAAATGTAATTATATTTTTCGAAGAGTTTACTTAAAATTTTATTAAATCATTTTAATACAATTATTATTTTCCAGAATTTGAAATTATTTTTTATGAAAATAATAATTGAATTCCTTAAAAAAATTTATTATTTATGAAAATAATTGAAATCCTGTGAAGAATTTTATTATTTATAAAAATAATTCAATTCTTGTAACGAATTTTATTACATTTTTTTTAAATAATGGAATTCTTTTGAAAAATTTTAAATAGTAGATTTTGAAAACATTTGAATTTTAACGAAGAATTTATTTTTTTGTAAAATGTAACTGAATTCTTGCAAAAAATGTTTGGAAATAATTTCATTTTTCGAGGAATTCATTTAAAATTATATTAAAAATAATTTAAATCCTATAGGAAAAATTTTATTATTAATAATAATTGAATTCTTACAACGAATTTTATTTATTTTTTAAATAATTGAATTGATGTGAAAAATTGTATTACTTATAACAATAATTGAATTCTTCCGAAGGATTTTATTAAAATTTTATTTTATTTTGTAATAATATTCTTAAAAGTTATTGAATTTCAAAAGGTTTAAATAATTTTTTAAAAATCTTAATTCCTGTGGAAAAATAATAATAATTAAATATTCATTTAACAAAAGAAGTTATTCATGTTTTCGAATAATTTTACTTTTGAAGAAATTTGTAAATTGTAAATGTAATTGAACATTTTTTTGATTATCTAATAATTTCTAGAGTAAATCAGAATATCTTTTAGGTTCTGGGAAAGAGTGAAAATTTTGTTTGGGAATCAGGAAAAAGTCGGGGAAAAAGAAAATTAATTTTTTGTGGCAATCATGTTCATAAATAAATTAGAAAAGTTGAAAATTGATTTCAATGAATTCTAAACCAAATTAAATTCGTACAAGAATAATAATGTAATATTAATGATTTCAGGGAGATAAAGTCCGTAAATTAAAAGCCGATGGAGCACCGGAAATTGATGTAAAAAAAGCAGTAGCTGAATTGAAGATTCGTAAAAAATTACTAGAAGACAAGGAACTTTCGTTAATTCCAGATGCAGCTTCTTTCGACAGAGGCCGAATGGAGGATTTATTAAAACGACGATTTTTCTATGATCAGTCGTTTGCGATTTACGGTGGAATTACCGGATTGTATGACTTTGGTCCAATGGGCTGTTCATTGAAAGCGAATATTCTCAGTGAATGGAGAAAGTTTTTTATTCTCGAGGAACAAATGTTGGAGGTTGATTGTTCAATTTTGACACCGGAACCAGTGTTGAAAGCCTCTGGTCACGTGGATAGATTCGCTGATTTAATGGTGAAAGATGTAAAAAATGGCGAATGCTTCCGATTAGATCATTTAATAAAAAATCATTTAGAAAAAGTCTCATCTGATAAGAAATGCACAGCGGCTGTTAAAGAAGAATGCAACGATATTATTATCAAACTCGATGGAATGAATAAAAGTGAAATGACAACAATTTTGCGAAAATTTGACATGAAATCGCCAATTTCCGGTAATGAATTGACCGATCCAGTGGAATTTAATCTTATGTTCGGTACACAAATCGGACCCACTGGACTTGTGAAAGGATTTTTGAGACCTGAAACAGCTCAAGGAATTTTTGTCAATTTTAAAAGATTGTTGGAATTCAATCAGAAGAGGCTACCATTTGCTGCTGCACAAATTGGCAATGCTTTCCGTAACGAAATATCTCCAAGGTATAAAATTTACAAAGTTGATAATATTATTTTTAATTATTTAATTTATACGTCACAAAAATTTAATTTTGTTTATCCCTGATTTCCAGACAAAATTTTGTCTTTTTCCCTGACCCTGAAGAATATTCTGATTCATTCCAAAAATTATTAGATACTCGAAAAAATGTTCTATTAAATTTATTTACAAATTTCTTCAACAGTCAAATTATTCGAAAACATCGATAACTTCTTTTTTAATTAATTAATTAGAACCGAACCCTTTTCAAAATTTAATTATTTCTAAAAATTCACGCTATAATGCTTTTAATGCTTTTAATATTCAATTATAATTAAAAATTTTAAGTGAAATTCATTTTTTAATCAATTTTTATTAGAAATTTTTTTGAGAATTCAATTATTTAAATACAAAAAATAAATAATTTATTAAATAATTTAATATTTCTTAAAACTGAATTTTTATGAAGAATTTTATAAAAATTTTTAAAAATAATAGAAATTTTTCGGCGAATTAAAAAAAGAATTTTTAGAATAAATGCAATTTTCTATCATTTTATTTAAAATTCTATAAAAAATAATTGAAATTCTGTGATGTTTTGTTATTTATGAAAATAATTGAATTCTTGCAATGAATTTTATTAAAAATTTTCTTAAAGAATTGAATTCCTGTGAAGAATTTTATTTGTGAAAATAATTGAATTCCGGAGAAAAATATTATTATTTATGAAAATAATTAATTTCTTGGGAAGAATTTAATTCGAATTTTTTTAAATAATTGAATTTCTCAGAATTTTTTAAAACTTTTTGACTTTATAAAAAGAAATAGAAATTTTGAGGAAAATTCAAAAAAAATTTTAAACATCATTGAATTTCTGAGAAGAATTTTATAAAAATTCATGAAAATAATTGAATTCTTGTGAAGAATTTTTTTTTTAAATAATATTCAAAAGAATTTAGTAAATCTAAAGAATTTTGCTATTTACGGAAATAATTGAATTCTTGAGAAGAATTTTTTTACAGTTTCTAGAAATAAATGAATTCTTTCCATGAATTTTAATAGAATTTTTAAGAATAATTACATTTTTCAAAGAATTCGATTAAAATTGTATTAAAAATAATTGAAATTCTGCAATGAGTTTTACTATTTATAAAAATAATTAAATAATATTGCAAAGAAATTTTTTAAAATAAAATTATAATTACCGTGATTATAACTTCCCTTGATTATTTTTCGAAAATTTTAAATAAAATTCTTTAAAAGAATTTAATTATTTTTAATAGAATATAAAGAAATTTCAATTATTTGTTTATAAAAATTCAATTATCTTGAAACAATAGAATTGAAAAATTTCAAAAATCTTATTTTTCAGAATTTTCAAAAAAAACTTTGCGAAAATTCAATTTTATTAATTTTATTTAATTTTTTATTAGTAGACACCCTGTTAAAAGTTGTCAAGAGAATTCAATTATTTAAAAATTTGTTGATAAAATTCTTTATGAAAATTAAATTTCATAAGAAACATTCGATTCTTTAATAAAATATTTATTTTTATTACTTAAATAAGTGAATTCTCGAAGAATTTTCTAATAAATATTGATTTAAAAATGAATTTCAAATTAAAATCTTTGAAAATTTGAACTTTTCATACTTTTAACTAACAATTCTGTATAATTAATTTTTCTCAAATAGTTTAATGGATTTTTTTTTAATTATTTCAAGTTTTTAATTTTAAATATATTTAATTGAAGAATGTCAGAATAATTGAAATTTCGTAAAATTAAGTTGTAAACAAAAGAATTTGAAAATTCTCATAAAACTTTTTCAAAAATTATTTTAAAAAATTGATTTTAAGAAGAATTTGAGTTGAAAATTCTAGATTTGAATAATCATAATGATGAAAATAATTTTTGAAGAAGTTACAGTAACAAAGTAGCAAGTTTTATAATAATATTCTTGTTATTGAAATTCAAATTTATGAATTATCTTAATTTCTATAAAAAATAATTATTAAATATTTATTTAAAAAAAAAGTTATTGATGTTTTCGAATAATTTTCGTTTTAAAAATATGGGAAAATTCCGTTTTTTAATCTGGAAAACATAGAAAAGTCAGGAAATTTGTAAAGAACAAAAGCGTGACAACCCTGTTTTAATAAAAATCCCTGATTTTTCCCTGATTTCCCTGTGGCAACCCTGTTAATATATTAATATATTTAATATATTATATATTTAATATTTATTTAATATGTTAATATACTTAACTGGAAATTTATTTATAGATCGGGTTTAATTCGAGTGAGGGAATTTACAATGGCGGAAATTGAGCATTTCTGCGATCCAGATGACAAAAATCATCCAAAATTCGAGAACGTAAAAGAAACACCAATGCTATTGTATTCAGCGTGCAATCAGATGGATGGAAAATCAGCGGAGACGATAACAATAGGAAAAGCAGTCGAGAGTGGTCTTGTGGCAAATGAAACACTTGGTTATTTCATGGCGAGAATACAATTGTTCCTATTGAAAATTGGAGTTGATCCATTGAAACTTCGTTTCCGTCAGCACATGGGAAATGAAATGGCACATTACGCCTGCGACTGTTGGGACGCTGAATGTTTGACTTCGTACGGTTGGATTGAATGCGTTGGTTGTGCCGATAGATCGGCTTACGATTTAACTCAACATACAAAATCGTCGGGTGTGAAATTGGTCGCCGATAAGAAATTAACGGAACCAAAGCAGATTAATGTGGTGGAAGCGGCACCAAATCGAGGCCTAATTGGCAAAACTTTCAAGAAAGATGCCAAGGAAATTTTAGCTGCTCTTGCTGCCTTAACGGAAAGTGAAATTGATTCCATGGAAGGAGATTTTAAAGCAAATGGTTCGTTTGATTTAAAATTGGCGGACGGTGCTTCATGTGAACTTAAAGAAGAAATGGTGGCTGTGAAACGCTATCAGAAAATGGTTCACGTCGAGGAAATAACACCATCGGTTATTGAACCATCATTTGGCGTTGGTCGTGTGATGTATGCAATTTTCGAGCACAGTTTCAAATTGAGAGAAGGTGACGAGCAGAGAAGTTATTTCAGTCTTGCGCCCGTTGTTGCGCCTCTAAAATGTTCTGTTTTGCCTCTTGGAAACAATGCAGAATTCGATCCATTCGTGAAGAATTTATGTGAGTTTTTCCCCTCCCAATTTAGATTGATTTTTTCTGAAAAAGGAAATTAATTTTTTCTTTTTTTAGCTCGCGATCTGACGAATCATGACGTGTCTCATAAAGTCGACGACTCATCGGGCAGTATTGGACGTAGATATTCGAGAACTGATGAAATTGCAATTCCATTTGGAATTACAATTGATTTCGACACTTTTAAAATGCCTCACAGTGCGACATTACGCGAACGAGATTCAATGAAGCAAGTTAGAATAAATGTAAGTAATTTTGAGTTTTCAATGAATGTAAATCTATATGATAATTAATTTCATTCAATTTTTTTATATATATTTAATTAATTATTAAAAATCATGGATTTATAGAAGAATTTCAGTTAAAAACAATAAAAAATTGAATTTTGGAGAATTTACTAATTATTGCATAAATTCAATTATGTTCGAAAATTTTTAAAAAAATTCTTGTCAAAATTTAAATTTATTATCTTTCAAAATAATAAAATTCTTCTCCAAAATTCAATTATTTTCATAAATAATAAAAATTTCACACAAATTCAACTATTTACAAATTTTTTCGCAATAATTCAATTATTTTCATAAATAATAAAATTTTTTACAGAGATTCAATTATTTTCATGAATAATAAAACTCATTAATTATAGAACTGCAATTATTTTTAATACAATTTTAATCGAATTTCTCGAAAAATGTAGGTAATTACTCTTAAGAATTTTATTAAAATTCGTCGAAAGAATTCAATGGATTCGAGTTAAAATTTTAGATTGTAATTAAATATTAAAATCATTGGGGGCGTGAATTTTTAGAAGTAATTGAATTTTGAAAAAGTTTAATTAAATTTAAAAAAAAAATTATTTCAAGATTTTATTTTCTAAATATTTAATTGAAGAATTTCTTTGTAGCAACGAATTCTATCAGAAAATTTGATAATAATAGAATTCCTTTAAAGAATTTTATTATTTATGAAAATAACTGAATTCTCGCGAAGAATTTTATTAAAATTTAAAAAAATCCTTATTAAATTCTTTTGAAGAATTTCTTTGAATTTTTTTTAAACATGGAGTTTCTTTTATACCTAATTTTAATTGAAAATTTTCAAAGCAATTAAATTTTATGAAGAAGAATTTTATTAAAATTGTATTGGAAATTATTGAATTCTTGCGAAGAATTTTACTATTTATAAAAATAGTTGAATTGTTTCGAAGAATTTATTAAAATTTTAGAAAATAAATGAATTTTATGTTAATATTTAAAAATTTAAATTCTTTCGAGGAATTCTATTAAAATTGTTTTGAATGAATTAAATTTCTCCAAAGGATTTTACTATTTATAAAAAGAATTGAATTATTGCGAAGAATTTGACTATTTATAAAAATAATTCAAATGTTTCGAAGAATTTATTAAAATTTTAAGAAATAATTAAATTGTTATAAAGAATTTTATAGAAATATTCAAAAATAATGAAATTTTTTCGAGAAATTCAATTAAAGTTGTTTGGTAAATAATTGAATTTCTTTAAAGGATTTTATTAAAATTAAGACGTATATTCAAAATAATTGAATTCATCACAAGAATTTTATTATTTTTTCAAAATAATTGAATTCTTTCAATTTTTTTTTATAAATATATTTAAAAATTGCATTGAAAGTAATTTAATTTTTATTTAGAATTTTTTAAAAATATTTTGAGATGGAGTTCAATTATTTTGAATACAATATTAATTGAATTCCAGAGAAAATTAAATTATTTTTTAACATTTTTTAAAATTCTTCTTAAAGAATTCAATAATATCAATAAATAGTAAATTCTTTACAGAGGAATTCAATTATTTTAAATACAATTTTAATAAAATTCTTCTCAAAAATTTATTTATTTTTTTTTAAATTTTGCAAAACTACAATTATTTGTAGAAATAATAATTTTTTCACAGGGATTCAATTATTTAAAAAAGCTTTAATAAAATTCTATTCAAGAATTCCTAACTTTTGAAATAATTTTCCTTTTTAAATGTTTTCAATTTTAAAATAATTAATGTACTGAAAATCATTGAATTCTTGCAAAGTATTTTTATAAAAAAATATGAAAATAATTAAATTCATTTTAAGAATTTTATCAACATTTTTTTCAATGATTGAATTCTTTCGAGAAAATGTAATACATATTGTAATTAATAATTTTCCTATTAAATTTTATTAAAAGTATTCATTGAAAATTAAATTCTTTTGAACCATTTTATTAGAGTTTTTGTAAATAATTACATTTTTTTTAAGAATTTCATTAAATTTCGTAAAAATAATGTTATTTTTGAAAATAATTTTAATTGAAAATTTTGAAAGTAATTGAAATTTACGAAGAATTTTATTAAAAATTTTGAAAAAAATGATTTTTTAAAAAGAATTTCATCAAAATTGTTTAAAATAATTAAATTTATATTCAAATTCTTGAGTTAATCTACTTTTTTTTCTCGTTTCAGTTGGATGTATTGCCGGGAGTTGTGAGAGATCTCTCGAATGGAAAAATAACTTGGAAGGAAGTCGAACAAAAATATCCGAAATTCGAACAAGAAGAGTCGGTTTAAGTTTCGTAATGTTTAGTTATTTATAAATTTTACACATTGTAATAAATCTTAATAAATTAAAACAATTTTTTGTCATTGGTAAAATTGAGAATTTTGTTATATTAGTTGAATCCTTTTTTTTATTGCTCCCTTTAAAAGAAATAACCAAATAAAATGCAAAATGTAATAATTTTAAAGTTACTAACTTACTAGAAATGTTCTCACGAAAAAAAATATAGGTATGAGTAATTTACTAAATTTGAATTGATAAAAATGTTTTATAAATGAAAACTTACATTTATTATCCATTGGATATAAAAAAAAATACGAAAAATTGTATATAAAGAACATACTATTCCAGTATAATAAAAGACAGTATGTAAATCTGTTGAAATCAGTAAGGATATTAATTACATCACTGAATTTTTATTCATTTTTTTTGTAAATGTAAAAATTATATTAGCAACTGATTCCAATTTTTTCTTTTGTAAGTAGAATGCAATTTTAGTTATGTTTTCCAAAAATTTGGATTTTGCTGCAATCGTCTCTCAAACCTTTCGTACCATGTTTGAATTGTTGAAAGTGGAACGTAATTTTCTGTTAAATTTGGAAGCATTTGAGTTTGTGTTGTTGAGAAACTTGAGACATAATTTACAAAGTTTGACAGCGTTTTTTGAGCGAATTCAATAAATGTATTTGTCTGTTGATCGTGGAGTGCAGCCGCTTGTTGTTCAACTGCCGCCAATGGTTCAACTGAAATTCCAACTTGTGCAACGTGAGAAATTTTTCCCATTCCGAAAATACTTAAATTCTGATTTTCGAATTCGTCATTTTTCTTTAAGTTGGATATTCTAAAAATTGCCGATGGCTTTGAATTGGAAATGTATCCTAAAAATTGCCAATTTGGAGGAGCATTTGGATCGGGCCAGCTAAAGTAAACTGTAGAGAGAAAATATAATTTATCAAATTTTCTCTTCTTTTTGTAGAAATTTATTTTTCAGGGTTGCCACCATAAAATTAATTTTCTTTTTCCTCGACTTTTTCCTGATTCCCAAATAAAATTTTCACTTTTTTCCTGACCCTGAAAAATATTCTGATTCACTCTAGAAATTATTAGATACTCAAAAAAATTTTCCAAATCTTTGACTCGGAGTTCTCAATATCTTCCTATTTTATAATAATTTAAACTTGAATACAATTTTTCAGAAAAAAATTTTAATTATTTACAAAAGTTTAAATAAAATCCTTCGCAAGAATTCAAGTATTTTTATAATTATAATACTAAATACACTTTTTCACATCAATTCAATTATTTAAAAAATTGTAATAAAATTCGTTGTAAGTATTCAATTATTATAAATAATAAAATTTTCCTGGGATTTAAATTATTTTCAAACATTTTTTGCAAGAATTCAGTTACATTTCACAAATAATGAAATTCTTCGTTAAAATTCAAATGTTTTCAAAATCTACTATTTAAAATTTTTCAAAAGAATTTAATTTTTTTAAAAAAATGTAATAAAATTCGTTACAAGAATTTAATTATTTTCATAAATAATAAAATTCTTCAAAGGATTTCATTTATTTTTATAAACAATATATTTTTTTTAAGGAATTCAATTATTATTTTCTAAAAGATAATTTAAAATTCTATAAAATAATAATTGAGTTAAAATGATTCAATCAAATTTTAAGTAAATTCTTCGAAAAATGTAATTAATTTCAAAAATTTTATTAAAACTCTTCGAAAAAAATAAATGAACAATTATATCAATTATTTTTATTTAAATAGCAAATGTTATGCTCGCAAAATGAGATAATCAATTTATTATTGTTATGCAAATTACAAAAATTTTTATTCTCAAATATACAGTTTTTAAATAATTTCATAATCAAAATTTAAAAAATTCACTTATTAAGTACAAAAATTAACTATTGCTGTTCATATTTTCAAAAATTTTAATAAAATCTTCACAAAAATACAATTATTTTCAAAACAATTTTAATTGAATTCCTCGGAAGAATTCAATTTTTTAAAAAAATTTTAACACATTTAGAAAAAGTTCAATTTTTTTCTAAAATTTTAATAAATCCTTCGAAAAAATACAATTATTTTTATAAATAGTAAAATTCTGCGCAAGAATTCTATTAATTTTATAAATAGTAAAATTCTTTGCAGAAATTCAATTAATTTCAAAACAATTTTAATTGAATTCCTCGGGTGAATTTACATTTTCAAATATTAGCATAAAAATTCATTAATTTTCTAAAATTTTAATAAATTCTTCGAAATAATTTACAATTCAATTTTACGAATAAATTTTAATTATTCGGAAATTCTTCAATTAAATATTTAGAAAATAAAATCTTAAAATAATTTTTAAAACAATTCAATTAACCTTTTTTAAAATAAAATTATTTCTAAAAATTCACGCTAAAATGCTTTTAAAATTCAATTATATTATCTAAAATTTTAACTGAAATTCTTTTTAAAATCAATTTTTATTAGAAAATTCTACGAGAATTCAATTATTTAAATAAAAAAATGAAAAAATTATTGAATGATTGAATGTTTCTTAAAATTAAATTCTCATAACGAATTTTATCAACAAAGTTTTAAATAATTAAATTTTTTTGACGAATTTTAATAAAATTTTTAAGAATTGCTACATTTTTCAAGGAATTTGATTAAAATTGTATTAAAAATAATTGAAATTCTGCGATGAGTTTGATTATTTATGAAAATAATTGAATCCCTGTAACAAATTTTATTTATGAAAATAATTAAATAATATATGAAAATACAATTATTAAGCCAAAATGCTTTTAAAATTCAAGTATTATCTTAAATTTTAACTGAAAATCATATTAAAATAAATTTTTATTAGAAAATTCTACGAGAATTCAATTATTTAAATCCAATAAATGAAAAAATTATTGAATAAATAAATATTTCTCAAAATTGAATTCTTATAAAGAATTTTATCAAAATTTTTAAAAATAATAGAAATCTTTCGGCGAATTTAAAAAAAAATTTTTTACAATAAATGCAATTTTCTATCATTTTATTAAAAATTATATAAAAAATAATTGAAATTCTGGGACAAGTTTTGTTATATTTATGAAATTAATTGAATTCTTGCAACGAATTTGATTAAAATTTGTAAAATAATTGAAATTTGACGTAGTATTTTATTAAATTTCTTATTGAATTCATGTGGAAAAATTTATTTTAATGAAAATCCCTGACTTTTTCCCGATTTCCTTGACAAATTCTATTTTCCCTGACTTTTCCCAGAATTCCCTGATTTCCCTGACCTGTGGCAACCCTGATTTTTGTATAAATTACAAAAAAAATAAATTAATTGTACTTTACCTGCTCCAGCCATATTATCCGGAAAAGGAATAGTTCCTACTAGGAATAAGACAATGTGATTAATATCGTCAGCATCAGGAACGGTGAAAAGTAATTTTGTCTCAGAAACTTGTTCGAAGTTAGTTTGGACCTGTAAATTAAATACTCTTTAATAATTTAATTAATAATATATTTTTAATTATACTAATTGCTATAATTGTAAATAAAAACTCGAACGGTCATTTATCCAATAGAATGATTTTAAATCATTCGAGTCTTTATTCAAATTCAAAATTTTAATTTAAAAAATTCGTTTTTTAAAAGGTAAAATAAAGTTGACCGTTTTTTTAGATTTGCAAAAACTTGGATTTATTGTAGAATTAATAAATAACTAAAATCGATTAAATTAAAAACATTTTAACAATTTTAACATTGTAATTAAAAAATAAATTCTTCTAGTTATACTCACCAAACGCCCAGAGCAAATTAAACCCAACATTTTTAAAAAAAATATTTTTTCAGAACATTATATTTTGCAAATTTATGAAGAAATTTCCGGAACGATCTACGAAATTATTAACCTCAATTTAATGTTTTTAAATCTCAATTTTTATTATAAGTTTCTGACGTTTATCAACTGTTTAAATGTATAACCTACAAAATTTAATTAAAGGAGAAGGGAAAATTAAAAATTTAATGTACTTCTTATTTATGAAAAAGAGAAATAACTATACAAATCGTGCTTTATCAATACATATACGCAATGCAAAAAAACGTATAACGTACTTTCACAACAATGGAAAATAAAGGTTAGTTCACCGGGTAAAAGAGGAAATGAGAAAAAAATGGAAGAAACCGGAAATGGCGCATTTACTCCATCTGGTGTGTTAACCTAGAAATATTTTTCTTGTGCTACATTATTGTCGTCGGGGTCGTCGGTAATTGCTTATAATTGCTATATGCGTATTTATTTAACTATTTATTGTCTGCAATCTTTACGATATATTTATAAATATTAACTTTTCTTTCGACTGCTTCTAAAATCGTCTCTTGAAAATGATTTTCAATTTAAAATGAGATGCGCGTACATGCAAAGCATTTTGCAGTATTTTCCGGCTACTGCGCATCAAATTGTCTTGAAGACGATTCATTTCTCTTATTCTGGGAGCATCCTAAACTGTTTCATTTTTTGTAAATTATTGTCTTAAAAATTACTTGAAAATAAAATTTCAGAAATAATATTAATTGTTTCAAATTAATTCGCGCCTTTTTCTCGAGCTCAGTGCTGCTCCTAACGGAATATTTCCGAAAAAGTCAGTTTAAAAAACCGAAAATTAGTGCATGACAGTTGTCATCAAATTTTTTTTTAGGTTAGAAAAATGTAAACAAAGCAATAATCTCGGTTATAAGAAGTGACGAAAAATCAATAAATAATGTTGAAAATTAATGAAAAAATTATTTTTTTTACAATCTATTAGTGAAGCATTTTATTATTTTAATTAAAATAAGTTTGTCGACAATTAAGATATTTCTTCTTGAAGAATAATTTATTTACTTTTTAATTGAGGACAACGGCATTTTTTATGTTGCAAAAAGTTTAATGAACAAATGTGTTAAAAAAATCAGGTAATATATAATTTTTTTCCTACTTCTTTTAATTTTTATTTAATTTTTTAAAGGTAAATTTACATGTATGGGAAAATGGTTTATTTCTGTTTCTTTTTTCATTTAAAATTATACTTTTATTTATTGAAATTATATAATTATTGTGTATGTTATTATTGGATGAAAGCCAGAGATTTGTAGAATTTGTGCCAATATTTGCCAAACTTGAGAAATTGAAATTTTACGTCTTTTCGTAGATTTGATAGATTTGCTTTATTCACGAAGTCTAATAATAAATCAATAAAAAATATTTATTATATAACACTAAATTCTAATTTTTTGATTTATTTTTATTGTTTAATAATTTTATTTATTTAGTTTATTAATTTTATTTATCTTTTTTATTTATTTAGCTTCTGTAAATTTAATTGCTTAATGTCATAATTGACAAGATTTTTAATAACTAGTATCACAATAGTTAAAAATTAATTCGGGGAAAAAAATGAAGAATAAAATTGAAATACGAAGAGAAATTTAATTTTAAAAAATTCATTCTATAAATTGAAGAATAAAGATTTTTTCCATGTGCATCGAACTCTAAATTAAAGATTTCTATATTATTTTCTAAAAATAAAAATTAATTATCTACTTTTCTCTTATTTCTTTTGTCAATTGCTTTAAAAAAAATTATTTTACTTGTTTTACAAGTGCTATTGCTTTTTTTAATAGAGAAAAAAATTTGAATGATCTTAGAAAGTAATTTTGAAAAAGAAAAAAACGAAAATATTAATGTTTTGTGACCGGCTGGACCACTTATATGATTTAGACATTCCTTCGTTTCCGCTCGACCCTAAACAAAATTGGTACTTAAAAATTTTTACCTTCTTCAAGGTGGGCTGTTGAGAATATATACCTGTGTCTACAGACTCCCTTGGACCAGTTACATTTAAACAATGCTCCAACCGGCAAAATATTCTCATTATCTGATTGACCCATCTCTCTGACTCAGGATTCGGACAAATGGTTAATTTTTTTTTCTTGCTAACGACCTCCCTTGGAGCACAATCTTATAATATTCTTCCTCGTTTTTTTCCCCCAAAGAGTTAATACTCAAATGTCACGATTATGACTAAATCAAATAAACAAATTTAAAAAACTGAAAATTGAATATAAAAATTTTTTTTTTGAATTTAACTTTTTTTTAAGACTTATAATTCTTTTTTTTAAATACCTTTTTTTTTGACGATTTGGCACCTTTTTCACCTTTTTCTAATAAAAAATAAGGAAAAATAATTACTTATCATTCAAATAATTAAAATATTATTATTATTATAGTTTTTTCTAGAAAAGCAAAAATTCTAATACAAAACCTTCAATTTTTTCCATTTCTGACAATAATTTCCTTTTTTAACTCAATTCTTGAAGAACTATCATAAAATTCTAACTTTGAAATTATTTAATGAATAATAAATAAAATTTTATTTATACATTTAAAAATTAAATTAATTTTTTAAATAGTTTCGTTTAAAATTTTCATAAATAGATGAACTTGAAAAGATTTTAATTTCAAATTTCATAAAATTTCAATTTTAAATGAATTTTATTGGAAATTCTAAAGAACTTAAATTTTTGGAAAAATTTTCAAAACTTAAATTATTCTGAAATTAGTCAAATTTTTAATGTATATTTCATTAATTATTAAAAATAAATAAATTAACGAGGAATTTTAGTTAAAAACACTAAAAAAATTTCGAATTTTAGAGAAGTTTCAAATAATTGCAAAAATTCAATTATTTTCAAAAATAAAAAAAATTCTTCGCAGAAATTCAATTATATTCAAAAATTTAAAGAAATTCTCGTCAAACTTTCAATTCTCTTTATAAATAATAAAATTCTTCTTCGAAATTCAATTTTTTTCAAAAATTTTAATAAAATTCTTGGCAAAATTTCAATTACATATTTGCAAAAATTTTCCTACATTTAATAATAATCAATATCTATTTTAATAAAATTTTCCAAAAGAATTCAATTATTTAAAAAGAATTTTATTAAAATTCTACGCAAACGTTTAATTATTTTCATAGATAATAAAATTATTTTACAGGAATTCTATGATTTACAAATTTGTTTTATAAATTTCTTCACAATAATTCAATTATTCTCGTAAATAATCAAACTCATCACAGAATTTCAATTTTAATCAGATTCCTCGAAAAATGTAATTATTTTAAAAAATTTTATTAAAATTCGTCAAAAGAATTCAATTATTTAAAAATTTATTGATAACATTCTTTATGGAAATTGGTTTTTAAGAAACATTCAATTATTCAATAAATTATTTATTTTTGTATTTAAATAATTGAATTCTCGTAGAATTTTCTAATAGAAATTGATTTAAATGTGAATTTGAGTTGAAATTGTCAATTATTTAAAAATTTTTAATTAAATTCGTTCCAAGAATTCAATTATTTTCATAAATAGCAAAACTTATCGCAGAATTTCAATTATTTTTTATATAATTTTAAATAAAATGATAGAAAATTGCATTTATTCTAAATTTTTTTTTTTAAATTCGGCGAAAGATTTCTATCAGTTTTAAAAATTTTGATAAAATTCTTTATGAGAATTCAATTTGTAGAAACATTTATTTATTTAATAATTTTTTCATTTTTGTATTTAAATAATTGAACTCTCGTAGAATTTTTTTAATAGAAATTAATTTAAAAGTGAATTTCAATTAAAATTTTCAATTATTTAAAAATTTTTTAATAAAATTCGTTGCATAAATTCAATTATGTTTAAAAATTTTTTAAAAATCTCTTCAAAATTTTAATTATCTTTAAAAGTAATAAAATTCTTCTCCAAAATTCAATTATTTTCATAAATACTAAATTTTAATAAAATTCTTCCAAAGAAGTTAATTCTTTAAAAAATAAAATTTTCCACAGGAATTCAATTAAAAAAAAATTTTAATAAAATACTACGTCAAATTTCAATTATTTTACCAATTTTAATAAAATTCGTCGCAAGAATTCAATTATATGATAACAAATTTGAATATATGCAAGTTGTATAAAAAAATAAATTTTTGTCCCCTTTTTGAGGAAAAAAAAATTTCCCTTTTCACCTTTTTTTGAGGAAAAAAAATACTGTGATGCCTGTAAATACAATAAGAAATAGATCATTATTTATAAATTGTTCAATTAATTAAATTAATTGAAATTATTTATGAAAATTATTAAATTATTATTTATGAACTTTTTTTGCAGATGTTTCTTTAAATGCAGTTGATTTGATGAAGAAGAAGAGAAAAAAATTCAGATAACTGTTATAATTGGTTGGGACTGGTAATATATTGAGAAAACAATACTTGGAGACACAGCACGCGTGATAATAGCGGAAGCAACTTAGTGCTTTAAACGGCTTAAATGTCGTTGATTGCAGTAGGAGGTAAATGAGAGGTTTGTAAACGCTCAATTCATCTTTCATTCACATGACTCCAGTTCACGAGCAAATAGTAAAAAAATGTAACTCTATTAACAAATGTTGAAATTAATTCATTAGGATTCGCTCTTTGAGTACTTTTCATACTTTTCAATTTTGTAATTTTTTGTTTTAAATTCGAATTGTACTTTTAATTGTATTTTTTTATTGTCATTGTATTTTTAAACTTTGAATCGTATTGTTGAATTTTAATTGTTTAATTTTAATTTAAACTATATTTTTTAATTTATATTAAAAAAGTATTTCCAAAAATATTTAGAAAACTAAATATTTTTGGAAATACTTTTCTTTTTCTAAATTTGTCATTCAATTTTTTTCAGTTTCGGTGGAGCGAGAAAATTTAAGGATTTTTACTCCATTAATTAAATTCCTGTGGTGATTTTCGATTCCGAGGAAGGACTCTCGCTCGCGGGTGATTTCGACGGGAAGGATAAATGCAACAGCAGCAGCAGTAACGCAGGTAAAGACAAAAAGCTGGAAAAAATCGAAAACCTGTCTCAAGCAGTTCTACCTCTCCTGATCACTAGATTTTCTCCTTCTCCGAGAATTTTGCAGAGATCAGAAACAGCAGCAGCAGAACCAAACCACCTCCTCTTCCTCTCAGCTCTCCTTCTCCTACTCCTCATTCTTCTTCATGGGTCCTAGCTCCACGTTCTTCCTTAATTCAGTCCAAGAGAGTCGCTCCTCCTCGATCCTGTTCGTTTTCTCCCCGCGAAATCGATAAAAAAAACAGGCATCGAATTTCTCAAAAAAAAATAATTCTTCTAAAATATTGAAAGAGATTGATTTTTCAACATTTTTCTCACTTGAGAAAAAGAGCATAAAGAAATTAAAGTGAAACTACGTCATTTTTCAGAAATCGATTGTGCGTTCTCCAGAAGAGATCTCAACGAGAGGAGAGTGAGAGGATCCAGAATCTTTACCAAGAACTGTGATTATTTCATTGAAAGTTATACTTGGATTAAAAAAATTTTTTGGCACCCTTCTTTTGAATAAAAAAAAATTCAACATCGAAATGTGTCCTATGGCAACTGGAACCGGTTGCCACGCTCTTAAAATAGTTTCTCCGGCGTAAAAGGGACCGCCATACGTGCGTGGAAATACTCTTTTGTGAAGGGGGCAAAGGGAGAGAGCGAGAGGAAGAGAGAGAGCCAGGTAAATATTTTTTATTCGACAACTAGAATTTATAATTTTTTTTTCGCGAGAATATTTCTTAATAATCAAGCGACAAATTTTTATCAAGTGTATTTCTGAAAATCCCGACAACGCGAGACTATAAACAAAGAAAAAATAATAAATACAAACAAAAAAATTCTATTCTATAGTTTTATCTAAAAAAAAAAAATCAAATTTGAATTTATTCGTAAGCTAAAGCCATTTGCGTTTCATTTTCATCTTGGAAATCTATATAATATTGACTCGCAAAATTAGCATACGAGCTTTGTTGACATTATCTCGATAGAAAACTCACGTCTCTGTAAATATAGAATTTAGAATATAGAATATAGAATTTAGAATTAGAATTTAGAGTATAGAAATCTTTCGTTAGTTGATTTTCAATATTTCATTTTTGAAATAATAAAGATTTGGATTTGAAAGATTTTTTTTATAAATTCGAAGGTATTTTCACGTACTTACGAAATAAATCTTGACACTATATTTTCTAGAATGGAAAAATATGAAGTATAAAGCAAGTGCAAAGCCACGTGTAAATATTGGTGAATGTTAAGTCTCTCTGTTGTTTAAAGTTATTCAATTGCCTGAGGGCAGAATGAGGCGAGGCTGTGCAAACGCCTGGCTAACAACTATAACTACATTTCAATCCTGATTTCAATCTACTCTCTTGACTTCATTCAATATTATTATTTTAATCTCAAAAATTAGTCGTTGATCATTCAGAATTTGGAAAATTGGAAAAATTCTTAATTTTAGCGAATAAAATTTCCCGTTTTCTTAAAAATAGTTTTCTATTAGAAAATTCTACAAGAATTCAATTATTTAAATAAAAAAAATAATTTAATGAATAATTTCATATTTCGCAAAATTGAATTCTCATAAAGAATTTTATCAATAAATTTTTAAATAATTGAATTCTTTTGACGAATTTTAATAAAATTTTTAAAAATAATTACATTTTTCGAGGTATTCGATTAAAATTGTACTAAAAATAATTGAAATTCTGCGATGAGTTTGATTATTTATGAAAATAATTGAATTATTGCGAAGAAATTTATAAAAAAATTTGTAAATAATAGAATTTCTGTGAAATTATTTTATTATTTATGAAAATAATTCAACGTTTGCGTAGAATTTTAATAAAATTTTTTTTAAATAATTGAATTCTTTTGGAAAATTTTATTAAAATAATAGATATTGATTGTCATTGAATTTAGGAAAATTTTTTTGCAAATAATTGAAATTTCGCCAAGGATTTTTTGAATATAATTGCATTTCTGCGAAGAATTTTATTATTTTTGAAAATAATTGAATTTTTGCAATTATTTGAAACTTTTCTAAAATTCAAATTTTTTTTAGTGTTTTTAACTAAAATTTACAAATATTGAAACTAAAAATTCAAATTTACAAAGATTTTAATTTTTAACCCTTTTCAAAGTTCAATTATTTCTAAAAATTCACGCTATAATGTTTTTAATATTCAATTATAATTTAAAATTTTCAATTCAATTATTTAAATACAAAAATAAATAATTTATTCAGTAATTGCATGTTTTTTAAAATTGAATTTTTATGAAGAATTTTATCAAAATTTTTAATAACAATTGAATTCTTTCGGCAAATTTAAAAAAAAATTGTAAAAAAAATTGTAAAAATGCAATTTTCTATCTATTAAATAATTAAATTCCTGTAAAAATGTTTATTTAAAAAAAAAAATTGATTTCTTGGGAAGAATTTTATTAAAATTTCTTAAATAATTAAATTGCTTAGAAGAATTTTATTTTTTATAAAAATAATTGAATTGTTTCGAAGAGTTTTATAAGCATTTTTGTCAATAATTGTATTTCTAGAAAAAATGTTGTATTTTACGAAAATAATTATATTCTATGACTGATTTTATTATAATTTTTGAAATTTATATAGTATTTTATCAAAATTTTTAAAAATAATTGAATTCTCAAGAAAGAAAATAATTGATTTCTAGAGAAGAATTTTATTCAAATTCTTTTAAATAATTGAATTCCCATAAAAAATTTATTTGTGAAAATAATTGAATTCTTAAGAAGAAATGTATTGAAAACAATTGAATTGTATAGTAAAATTTTATTAAAATTGCAATTTAATGAACTAAATCTTGCAAAGAATTTTGTCAACATTTTTTTAAATAATAGAATTATTAAAAGAATTTTATTTAAATTTTTCGAAATAATTGAATTTCTTAGACTATTTTTTTCAATTTTCTTTAAATATTTGAATTATATCGAGAATTTTCATTAAAAAATTTAAAATAATTGAATTAATGTGAAGAAATTTATAAAAGAAATTGATAAGTAATTGAATTCCTGTTAAATTTTTATTAAAATTTTGTTTAAATAATAGAATTTTTTTGGAAAATTTTATTAAAATAGTAGATATAAAAAATAATCGAAATGAGGAAAATTTTTAAAAATAATTGAAATTTTGTCAAGAATTTTATTAAATTTTTTGAAAATAATTGAATTTTAAAGAAGAATTTTATTATTTATAAAGATAATTGAAATTTTGACGAGAATTTAAAAAAATTTTTTAACATAATTGAATTTATCCGAAGTTATTTAAAAGTTATTTAAAAAGAAATTATTGTTAAAAATAGAAAAAATTGAAGGGTTTGTATTAGAATTCTTGGCAATTTTATAGTTTATAAGGCAAACAAAAAATACACTAAAATTCAGAATTTTCCTATAAATTCTAAAAATTAAATTTTTTCCAGTACTTTTAGTAAAAATTCTTGACTTTTCCCTGAATTCCTTGACTTCCCTGACTTGTGGCAACCCTGTTACACATATAAATGTCGTGGAAAAATAAGAAATCTGTCCTGGAATGTCCTGAAAATGTCCTGGAATTTTAAGTCATATTTTCAGTAGACTCCCTGTAATTGAATATTTCTTCTCTTTAGCACAATGGAAAAATATTGCAATAGTTTCTTTTTTTAGAAAGCACATTATAAAAATAGAATTTTATAAATAAGCATAAAATTGCAGGTCGTTGTGATTTTCCTTTCCAATAATAATTTAATTTAAATAACGTAGGATGTTGGTTGTGGACGTTATTAATAGATCATGGATTTAATTAAGCGCGTTTTAATAAAAGTTACAATATTACGTGACAAATATTATATATTGCTCTCTGACTTTCATTCGCCGTTCTTTATGATAATTTTCTCCTCCTAATAATCTAGCATATTTTTTTAAATTCAATTTTAGTAAAATTTGATTTTCAAATTTTTCAAATATTTTAAATTTGATTTTTTTAAATTCTACTAAAATGTTTTTTTTTTTAATTTCATAAAATTATTTTTATTAATTTTAATAAAATTTAGAAATTAAAGGGAAAAGAAATTTTTTAAATTTGATTTTTTTAAATTCTACTAAAATGATTTTTTTTTAATGTCAAAAAATTATTTTTATTAATTTTTATAAAATTTAGAAATTAAATGGAAAAGAAAAAATCGATATTTTATGAATTGTTTATTTAGTTTCAGGTGAAAAAAAGATGACGAGAACACGATTAATAATTGGACTGGGAGCCGTGACAATTGTCTTTCTAACAATCGCGAGCTTTTCGAAAGCTTGTAATGAGGCAATTTGCGCCAGTGTAGTTAGTAAATGTATGCTCACAGGAAGTTGCAAGTGTGATTTAGTAACCTGTACCTGCTGCAAGGAGTGCTTTAATTGTTTAAGCTATCTTTACGATGAATGCTGTTCTTGCGTTGGTAAGTCTATCAGTATTCTTGATTCTTAGTAATATTTGCAAAATTTTATTTCTGAAATTTTTTGACATTTTTCTTCTTTTTCTTCTTCTTACTTTTTAATAAACAACATTTTTACAGATCTCTGTCCAAAACCTAATGTAACAGACAATCCTCTGAGTAAAAAATCTCATGTCGAGGAATTTAGTGAGCCAGTTCCGGGACTTTTCCTCGCCCTCACAGCAGATCCAGATCCTCACAAACGATGGCTCACTTATACATATCCAGTAGATTTTAATGTCACAATGTTTAAATCAAAACAAGATCACGAGCCCAAATATTACATGCGTGAGTATTTTTTTTTTTTAAATAACATAACTATAAGTGCGCGTGATATTTTACAGCCCCTTCTTACTTACAAAACATTTCTCTTTCAAATTTAATCAAAATTTATTATTTTTTTTTTTTTAAATAATATAATTCTTCCAAAAATACGATTTTATTTCAAAGCAATTTTTAAATGTAATAAAATTAAATTCCTTCATATATAAAATTTATTTCAGTAAAATTTGAAAAAAATTTTACTTATTTCTTTTAAATCACTTTCGAGAATTCAATTAGCTGTAAAAAATTCTTAATTACAATTTTTCAAAAATCTAATTTTTTTTACATTTTCTACATTAAATTATTCAAAACTTCAATATAATTTTTGTTAAACAAATATTTACAAACTTACTGTTGTTTATTTTAATCAGGGTTGCTACAGAAATTTAATTTTGTTTTTCTGATTCACTCTCAAAATTATTAGATACTCAAAAAAATGTTCTATTACAATTTTTTTACGAATTCCTTTAATTGTAAAATTATTTGAAAACATGAATAATTTTTATTTCAAATAAATATTTAACCATTATTATTTTTCCATATAGGAATTAAGATTATCAAAAATTTCAAATTTAAGCATTTTAAAATTCAATAACTTTTTGAACATTATTTTCATCCATTCAATTCAAATATTATTTTTTAGAATTTTTAATTAAAACTTTTCTTTAAAATCAATTATTTTTAAAATTTTTTTAAAAAAGATTTTTAATAATTGTCAAATTTATTTGTTTACAATTCAATTTTACACGAAATTTCGTTTATTTGAAAATTCTTCAATTAATTGTATATTAGAAAATGAAAAAATGAAATAATTTAAAAAAAAAGTAATTCTGCTGAATTGTTAATTAAATGTATAGTATGAAATTCAATTATTTATTTATTTCTTTATTTTACAATTAATTAAATACAAAATAATTCATTTATTGAATAATTGAATGTTTCTGAAAATTGAATTCTTATAAAGAATTTTATCAATAAATTTTTAAGTTATTAAATTCTTTCGACGAATTTTAATAAAATTTTTAATAATAATTACATTTTTCGAGAAATTCGATTAAGAATTAAAAATAAATTAAATTCTGCGATGAGTTTTATTATTTATGAAAATAATTGAATTCCTAACAAGAATTTTATTATTTACGAAAATAATTGAATCTCTGTAAAAAAAATTGTATAGTTTATGAAAATAATTTAATTATTACGAAGAAATTTATAACAAATTTGTAAATAATTGAATTCTTGTGATATTTTTATTATTTATGAAAATAATTAAACGTTTTCGTAGAATTTTATCGAAAATTTGTTTTAAATAATTGAATTCTTTTGGAAAATTTTATTAAAATAGTAGATATTGAAAATCATTAAATTGAGGAACATTTTTAAAAATAATTGAAATTTTAGCAAGAAATTTATTAAATTTTTTTAAAAATAATTGAATTTCGAAGAAGAGTTACATTATTTATAAAGAGAATTGAAATTATGACAAGAATCTTAAACTTTTGAACATAATTGAATTTTTGCAATCATTTGTCACTTCTCCAAAATGTAAATTTTGTTTTTCAAAAATCTAAGTTCTTTAAAATTTCTAATTAAATTCATTCAAAATTGAAGTTTTAAAAAATTTCAAATTAATACCATTTGAAATTTATCTATTTATGAATGAAGTTATTTAATTAGAAATTAGAATTCAACGATAAAAATTGAATTCATTTTTGTAAAATTTAATTATTTTCCAAAATTTTTAGTTACAATTCTTCAAAAAGTACAATAATATTTAAAAATAATTTTTTAATTTCGTTTCTTAAATAAATAAAGTAAGAAAATAAGATTTATTTTAATGAGATTTGAGAAAATTTCATATTTTGGCAATTTTTTAAAATTATTTTCGGAAATTAAACTATTTTCAAAAAATTCAAATCACAATTTTTTCAGAATTGCCAAATAAAATTTTTCAAATTTAATTAATTTTTGTGTAATAAGTATTTGAATACTTCTTGCTTTTTATTTGTCCACCAGAAAATAAAATTTCAAAATACTTTCAATGCAAAACCTTTTGAAATTTAATTATTTTTAAGAAATAAAAGTGTAATTCTTCAAATTCTTAAAATATTTTCTAAAATTTTAACTGAAATTCTTTTATTAAATCAATTCTTATTAAAAATTTATACCAGAATTCAATTATTTGAATAAAAAAACTAACCTAATATTAGGGCAGAGAATATCTCGATTATTATTATACAATTTTCCTTTTGCGAAAAATTAGGATTTTTCTGAATAAAAAATAATTTTATTTATTTATTTTATTAGAAAATTAAGATTTTTCTGAATTAAAAATAAATTGATTTCGATATTTTTCTTTTAGAATCAATTGATACGGAAAGCAAGCATCCCCAGAAGCCGAATACGGTGACAGTGAATTGTACAGTTGCTTATATGGCGCAATGCAATTCTTGGAATAAATGTAAAGCCTCATGTCAAAGTATGGGAGCAACGAGCTTCCGTTGGTTTCACGACGGATGCTGCGAATGCATAGGAAACACCTGCATCAATTATGGAATTAACGAATCACGATGCCTTCACTGTCCCCTCGATAAAGAAGATGACGATCTCAAGGATCAGTATGACGACTACGGACAGGAGGAAGAACTCAACGAGGATGAACTCGATTAAAAGAAAAAAAATATCCCAAAATTTTTTCGATTTTCAAAAAAGAATCTCGGAAAATTATGTCAATTAAAAGTATCTTATAATTTTAAGTATTATGGAACGAACAAATTATTTAAAACAAAAAATTGAATGTAAAAAAATTTTACATTCAATTTTCGACAAAAGTAAATTTCGATTAGAAGATAATCAGTGAATAAAGAAAGAAAAACTCATTGTCAGTGAATCAAAACGAAGCTGGATTTTGGTTTGAGATTCATTTTAAATATATTTTTTTAAAACTTTGACGAAGTTTCGATGAAACAAAAAAAAAAAAAATAGGAAAAAAAAATCAAACAGATTCTTGTAAATTATTAGAAAACGAGTTAATCATGACAATAACTTAAAAAAATATATGTGTGGAGGGCCAGACTTAACGATTCTTAAGGATCACTTTTATTGTGCATTAGTTAGTTCGTATATTTTTATCATGATTATTTTTAATATCTAAGGCAAAATTATACATGTATTTTTCCGTACGTTGATATTTAAGAGCAAAATACATCATTATCGCACTGTGCCATAAAAAAATTAAATAAAAAATTGTACATATGACACTATTTCTTGTTTTTCGGAAGAAACATTATTTTCATCATTTATTTATAGTGGTTAAAAATAACAGGGTGTCTATTAATCGGGAAATACGGGAATTTAATTTGACCGGAAATAAGCCAGGAATTTTATGCCAAACCGGGAATTTTTTCACCAAATTAAAAAAAGTTTTATTATTTTAATTTGTTTTTAAAAAATCGCTTCTTATTTCAATTTTTATAGATATTTATTCTGTTCTCTAAATTTGAATTAGTTATGAATAATTAATTTGATAGTAAAAAATCAGTCACTAATACAAATATTATAATATGTAAATAAACTTTTAAAAATATTATCGAATTAATTTAGAAATTTTGTGAAATTCAACAGTAAAATAATTAAATTTGGTAGAGAATTTCATTAAAAACTTTTTAGCAAATCGAATTTTCAAAGTATTTTAATTTAGAAATTGACAAATAATTGAATTTTATAAAGAGTCACATTCTAATGCATTCATGTTTCTTTGTGCGAAGATTAATAATTAAAATTTTTATAAGTTAATTTAAAAAAAGATACACATCTACAATTTAATAAAATTGAATTTTCACAAAGTTTCTTTTTTGAAAGTTCTAAAAAAAAGATTTTTGAAATTTTTCAATTAAAACTTTTATTAAAATTCGTCGATAGAATTCAATTATTTAAAAATTTTAAAAAACTGTTTAACTAACAATTCTGTAGAATTATTTTCATAAATAATAAAACTCAATGCTGAATTTCAATTATTTTCAATATTTTAATTTAATTTCTCGAAAAGTGTAATATTACTTCAAATTCGTCGAAATTTTCAATTACTTAAAAATTTGTTGATAAAATTGAATTTTGAAAACGTTTCATATTAAAAACTTTGAAAATCTGAATTTTTCATATTTTTAACTAACAATTCTGTAGAAGAATTAATTTTTTTTGAAAAAGTTTATTTCAATTTTATTTGAAATTATTTTTTTAAAGTTTTTATTTTATAATTTATATTTAATAGAAGAATTTACGAATAATTGAAATTTTGTAAACTTGAATTGTAAACCAATGAATTTGATAATTCTCAAAGAACTTTTTCAAAAATTATTAAAAATAATTGATTTATAGAAGAATTTTAATTAAAATCACTAAAAAAAATTAATTTTTGAGAAATTACAAATTATTGGAGAAATTGAATTATTTTCAAGAGTAATAAAATTCTTCGCAGGAAATAAAATTATATGTTCAAAAATAATACCATTCTTGTTAGGAATTCAATTATTTTCATAAATAATAAAATTCTTTTTAGGAATTCAATTATTTTCACAAATAATAAAACTCATCGCAGAATTTCAATTATTTTTAATACAATAATTTTAATCGAATTTCTCGTAAAATTCTAATTATTCTTAAAAATTTTATTAAAATTCGTCGAAAGAATTCAATTATTTCCATAAATAGCAAAATTCTTTTGAATATTATTAAAAAAAAAAAATTCTTTATAGGGTAACTGCACCAATTGCCGAGGGTGCTCCAATTGTCGAGGATAATAATTTTCTTTTTTAGATAAATAGTATAATATATAATATTTAAGAACAAAAAAAATTTCTAAATAATCTTTGTATTTTCAACTGTATATTTATATATACAAATTTCGTAGCGATTCTACTAAAATAATTATTTAATTAATATTATAATTCACTGCTGTGAAATTTACACGAATCTCCATTTTCTTAATACTTCAGGTTGATTAAAACAGATTTTTAGAAATGCAAATTAAACGCGTTTATAATGACTTTTTGTGTACAAAATTATTATTATAATTTTGTACACGAACTAAATTAATTTTGTATGCATGTTTTTTTGTTAAAAAAAAATATTTAATATTTTTTAAAAGCAAATCATCGGTATTTGGTTCCTTTTTTTTGACAGTTCCATTTTTCGAGGTAATGACTCGAAAATTGGTGTAGTCACTTTTTTCGCTGATGCACCATTTATCGATGGTTAAGTGTTTATTTACTAAACGTCAAACATAAATGCCAAACATTTATAGGTACACAGAAAAAGAAAAAAAATGCTCCAAAAATTTACAACCAACAGAAAATAATCAACCAAAAAAACGAGGAAGACGGAAAAAAATTAATAAAAAAAATGCATTATTTAAAACTAAAAAATTTTGTACTATAGTTTAATTATAATTAACCATTATATTTACAGTTCGTAATAAAAGTTTATTTTATTCGTTTACAAATTTAATGTGACTTAAATTAATTTATTTTTTCAATTAATGTCTGATTAACAAAATTGATTAAATTTAATTAACTTATTTATAAAAGTTTAAAAAACAGTTAAATAATTTTCTGTCCTGTATCATCTACTATAAAAATGTTTTATATCGATATTATAAATTATTCAATTATAGTTAAATAAATATATTTGTTTTCTGGTAATGTTCTATAATATTTTTATCGAAAAAATAAATATCTACTCGATTTTCTAATATCTGTACAGGTTAATTGTTAGGTTATATTGGGTTATATGTTTAAAAATGTCATACCCTCGACAATTGGAACAGACCCTCGAGAAATTAGCACAAGACCATCGACAAATGGTGCTTTTGCTCGATTGACTTTTAAATATATTTTTTGCTTAACAATTTAGTTTATATTAAATAAATAAATATGAATATTAAACATTATTAGATCCTTCGTCCAAATATACAAAAATCAAATTTTAAAGTGCATTTACTTCCGAGAAAAAAAATGTCAAAGTCACATGTTGCCTAAAACCCTCGACAATTGGTACAGTTACCCTAAGAATTTAAATAATTTTCATAAATTTACATAAAATTCTAAAAAAAACAATTTAATTATTTTCAAAAGTAATAAAATTTTTCGCAGAAATTCAATTATGTTTAAAAATGTTTATAAATTCTCCTCCAAATTTCAACTATAGAATAGACAAAATTATTTTTAAAAATTGAAAAAATTCTTTGTTTAATTCAATTATTTTCCAAATTTTTAATTAAAATTATTTTCAAAAAATTTAAAGAAACTCGTCAAAAAAATTTAATTATTTATAAAAACTCTAATGGAAATTTTTGAAGCCATTTATATATTTATTTATGTTCAAAATCAAATAAAATTTAAATTTGATGGGAAAAATTAGGACAAAGACGGGAAATAATCGGGAATTTTGTTAAACGAAAATAGTAGACATCCTGAATATATAAATAGAAATAAATATTTAAAAGAAATATTTTTTTTCGAAGGAAAGATAATTAAAAAAAATGAAAAAGTTAAAATTCCTTAATGGAAAAAGAGAATAATTTTGTGAATAAAGATAAATTAGGAAGAACGAATAGAAATGTTTTGTGGAAAAGTTACGCTTTCGGGTGTTTAAAAAGTGGAAAAGAGAAAAAAAAATCGAAGATCGTAAAAGTTAGTGTTTACTAAAGTTACAATGCAGTCGTATAAACACATTTACAGAAGCATACATATATACACATGTATGAAACATTTATAATGAGGCCTGCCTTTCTATATAAAGTAGTAAATGCAATTCTTTTAGAAATTGAGATTTTCACCATTCGAGTTTAATTATTTGATGATGATTAAAAATCTATTGTAATTATACAAATTCTTATCTAATATGACGCTGTTAGACAGCATATTTAACTTTATATGATTATCAAATGTGTTGATGGAAGTTGATTTCTTTTTCAAAAATTGGCTCGGCCAATAGTGAAAACAATACGTTCTTAATTAACAAATTTTCACAATCACACATGAAATTCATCATTCGCTTGAATTTCATATATTTGAGACATATTTTCCAAGTTCAACTCTAAATGACGTTTATTAAAATTGCTTTCGAATGATTATAATTATTTTTTATTAAAAAATAATACTTTTCATTATTTTAAAATATAGGTTTTTTTGTTTCAAATTTTTTCTTCTTTACTCAAAAAATATTTATTTGATTGAAAAGTGTTTTTTTGATTAAAAAAGTTTGTTTTAAAAACTTTTATCTTTAATCCAAAAAATATGTGTTTTTTAATAATTTCTTTTGGAATAAAATTATTTTCTCTAAAATTTTATTTTTTGAAAATGATTTAGATTAAAAAGTTCTTTATTTAAAATTGCTTTTGATTAAAATAAAATTTGATTTCTCTGAATGAGAATATTTATGAAATATTTTTGAAAGCAATTTTTTTTTGACATCTTTTAGAGTAAAGAAGACGTTCTTGTGGTTATTATAATAATTCTTTATACGATTAAATATGAATTTGCTACCTGAGCAAACTCTATCAAAAGTTATGGAATTATACTTTTGAAAATCTTAAGTTTCTTTCATCTCAGTCGTTTTCATTTTTCTTTAATTGCGAAAAGCTTAAGTTCATAATTTAACTAATTTGTTAAGTATTTCGCTAATTATTTATGTTTTCAATTAAGTTATTTTGACAAAATCTAGCTTGGCCGATTTTTTCTTTATCCTAATAAAATTCTAATAATTAATTACATATTTTGACTAATTGTCAAATTTAACTACATCCAACAATAATTTTGGTCCTTTAATTCTTTTCAATTATTATATTTTTCTTGCTACTAATATTTTGCCTACTTGTCATTTGAATGAATAAATTATTAAACAATTAAGAAACTTTTTTTAAGGAAAAAACTTTTAAATTAAAGAATTATTCAATGAGTTGAATAATAATGAAAAAAAAACAATTAAATATTCATTAAGTAATTATTCTTTTAAATTGTAAAGCTCATTTTAAATATTTTCTTTCACATTTAGACCTAGATAATTTTTTTAAAGAAATTAAAAATAAAATAAGAACTTAAAAAATGAAATCTAGAAGAAAATTGTAAATCAAAATTTTGTTAATTTAAAAATTAAAAACTTTAAACATTTCCATGCGTTATAAATTTTTGGTTTTGTTTAAAGTCTTTGGTAAATTCTAATATACATACTTTTAATCGTGAGCATTTATTCCTTGATTGGAGCGTTCGCTAATTGTTGTATTATATTGGAGTAATTTCTTTGGCATTTATGTTTCTTCGATTTCCCATTTTTCTTTATTGCACATTCTATTTAATTTTATTGAAGTTATTAATGAAATTTCATTTTTTGAAATTTTTTTTTAAACCGGTGGATGTTCATCACGAATTTCCGTACTTTCTGGCAGTTTTATAAAATCACCTCCACTCCACATTGAATATAATTGTGATCTTGCACATTCCTGTAAAATTTGACAAATTTAATATTTGAAAATTTCGCTTATCTCATTGAATAACAATTTTTTTTAATTAAAATTAATTTTTAAATATTTACCCCAGCACCAGCACTTTCTGAACCCGAACGACTATGAGCAGATATACAAGAATCTGTAGAAGAACTACTTTTTCGCGAAGGCAAAACATCAGCGGTTCCTAAAAAAACAAAACTTTCCATTAATAATCTATTTTATTTTAAACTTTTTTCATTTTAAAGTAGAAAAAATAAATAAATGAAATGAATTGAATTGAAAATTAATTTTTAATTAAAAGTAATGCTAAATTTTGCTTTTACCAGTGTCAGATTCTCGATGACAACTGTAATCGCTATGAGAGTGAATACTATCTTTACTGTCTCCTCCACTGTGTTCTAAAATAATTGACATTCATTACTTTAAGAAAATAATTAATTTGAAGAACTACAGAAATTGATTTCTAAAAGTTTTAACATCCTGACAGAAAATTTCTGTTGTCAGGGCTCGAACCAGGGAAAGTATTTAAAATTACGGACTTTACGGACCAAAAAAGAAAAATTACGGACAAAAATATTATCAGTACGAGTCAAATAAGAGAACATTTTACTTAAAACTATAAATTAAATTTTTCATAATTATGTTTTATAATAATTAAAGATGACCGAGTGATAAAATCATTATTAATTCAATTACTATTTTCAAGAATTTTTAACTAAAATTATTCTTTAAATCGATTATTTTTTATAATTTTGGAAAAAGTTCTTTGACAATTTTCAAATCCATTTGCTTACAATATCCAATTTTACGAAATTTAAATTATTTGTAAATTCTTCAATTTAATATAAATTAGAAAATAAAAACTTCAAATAATATAAAAAAAATTCAATCAAATTTTTTCAAAATTCAATTATTTCTAAAAATTCATGCTATATTGCTTTTAATATTCAATTATGTAAAATTGTAGTTAAAATTAATTTTTAAATCAATTTTTATTAGAAAATTCTACTAGAATTTAATTATTTAAATAAAAAAAATAATTCATTTGAATAATTGAATGTTTCTTAAAATCCAATTCCCATAAAGAATTTTATCAAGAAATTTTTAAATAATTGAATTCTTTCGACGAATTTTTAATTCAATTTTTTTTCGTGTTTTTAACTAAAATTCTTCTACAAATGCATTAATTTTAATAATTTTTCAAACAGTTCTTTGAGTATTTTCAAATTCATTTGTTTACAATTTAATTTTACAAAATTTAATTATTCGGAAATTTTTCAATTAAATATATATAAAAAAATAAAAACTTCAAATAATATCAAAAAAAAAAAATCCGCAATTAAACTTTCTTAAAAAAATTAATTCCACAGAATTGTTAGTTAAAAATATAAAAAATTTTATATTAATTTTAGATTTTTTACCAAAAAGTGGAGAATATTGAACAAGTAAAGTATTTTTCAAGAGCCCAAAAATAATTAAGCTAAATTCCATATAACAGAAGAAAAAAGTTTGAATTTTAAGAAACTCGGTTTTTCGAATTTATGATAATTTTTAATAATTTTTGATTTTTTACTAAAGGGTGGCGACAATTAAATAAGTAAAGTATTTTCCAAAAGCACAAAAATAATGAAGCTAAATGCCATAAAACAGAAGAAAAAATGTTGAATTTTAAGAAATTCGGTTTATCGAATTTTTTCGAATTTTCGATAATTTTAGATTTTTTACCAAAAAGTGGAGAATATTGAACAAGTAAAGTATTTTTCAAGAGCCCAAAAATAATTAAGCTAAATGCCATAAAAGAGACGAAAAAATGTTGAATTTTAAGAAATTCGGTTTTTCGAATTTTTGATAATTTTTAATAATTTTAGATTTTTTACCAAAGAGTGGAGAATATTGAACAAATAAAGTATTTTTCAAGAGCACAAAAATAATGAAGCCAAATGCCATAAAAGAGACGAAAAAATGTTGAATTTTAAGAAATTCGGTTTTTTGAATTTTTTCGAATTTTTGATAATTTTAGATTTTTTATCAAAGAGTGGAGAATATTGAATTAGTAAAGTATTTTTCAAGAGCCCAAAAATAATTAAGCTAAATGCCATAAAAGAGACGAAAAAATGTTGAATTTTAAGAAATTCGGTTTTTCGAATTTTTGATAATTTTTAATAATTTTTGATTTTTTACCAAAAAGTGGAGAATATTGAACAATTAATGTATTTTTCAAGAGCACAAAAATAATGAAGCCAAATGCCATAAAAGAGTAGAAAAAATGTTGAATTTTAAGAAATTCGGTTTTTCGAAGTTTTGATAATTCAAATAGTAATATTTTCCTACCGAAATAGCTAATATGGTAACTAATTATTAATTTTCCGGTCAAATTAACTTCCCGGCTACTTTCTGATTTTTCAGATTGGTAGAAACACTCTTAAATGTATTGGTAGAAACTAAAACTCGTCGAAGACGGGTACGATGGCTAGTATAAATTATAAAATAAAAACTTTAAAAAAATAATTTCAAATAAAATTGAAATAAACTTTTACAAAAAAAATTCATTCTTCTACAGAATTATTAGTTAAAAGTATAAAAAATTCATGTTTTCAAAGATTTTAATATGAAACGTTTTGAAAATTCAAATATTTTCAAAAATTCACGCTCTAATCCTTTTAATGTTCATTTATAATCTAACATTTTAAGTGAAATTCATTTTTAAATCAATTTTTATCAGAAAATTCTAATAGAATTCAATTATTTAAATAAAAAAAAGTAACTTTCTGATTAATTGAATTCTCATAAAGAATTTTATCAACAAATTTTTAAATAATTAAAAATTTCGACGAATTTGAATAATATTACACTTTTCGAAAAATACAATTAAAATATTAAAAATAATTGAAATTCAGCATTTAGTTTTATTATTTATGAAAATATTTCTACAGAATTGTTAGTTAAACAGTTTTTTCAACAAATTTTTAAATAATTGAATTCTTTCGACGAATTTCAATAAAAGTTTTAAGAATAATTACACTTTTTGAGAAATTCCATTAAAAATTGTAATAAAAATAATTGAAATTCTGCAATGAGTTTTATTATTTATGAGAATAATTGAATGGTTGCGAAGAAATTTATAAAAAAATTTGTGAATAATTGGATTCCTGTGAAATTTTTATTATTTTATGAAAATAATAAATCAAAGGTTTGCGTAGAATTTTATTAAATTTTTTTTTAAATATAATTGAATTCTTTTGGAAAATTTTATTAAAATAGATATTAAAAATCATTGAATTGAGGAACATTTTGGAAAATAATTGAAATTTTGACAAGAATTTTTTTTTAATTTTTTGAAAATAATTGAATTTTGGAGAAGAATTTAATTATATTGAAAGATAATTGAAATTTTGACGAGAATTTTTGAAGTTTTTGAACCTAATTGAATTTCTGCAATCATTTATAATTTCTCTAAAATTCTCCAAATTATATCGTACATTTTACGAACTTTTCGTTTTTTCTCAATCAAATTACGTACTTTACGGACCTTTTTAAAAGAAAACTGACTTTTACGGACCTAGTTCGAGCCCTGTATTTTCTTTTTTTTTTAAATACTATGGAAAAAGAGTTATAAAATAGTTATACCATCAGAATGATCAGAGCCCATTCTTCTCGAATCGGGCCAAATTGAGTTTTCGTAACTCGCTTCATAGGTACATGTTGTCAATGTTACACCAGGAATGTGTTGACCAGCAAAAGTTGAGAGCTGATTAGCAGGTCTAACGCCTGAAAATATTTTATTTTTTGTATGAAATTAAAAAACTATTTTTTATTCAAAAAGAAATGTTTTTTTTCAATAAATAATTTTGAAAAGAGAAAATTACCAGGTTTGCAAGAAAGAAGCTGAATAGCTTCACGAAGACCATCCTGACTGGTTGTTGTTGCCGATTTCCAAATGGAATCAGGTGTAGTAGACCTGCTACGATCCTGAAGTGGTACACGGAGTCTGTTTCTCATGTCCTGACGAGACCATTCTGTCACGTGTCGACAGTCCCAAGGCATCGACCATCTTCTCACTGTATTTTCCGCAGCCTCACCGCACATTTCAGCAGCCGCTGTTTCAGACCATCGCCGCTGAAACTTGAAAGAAAATACTTATTAGAAACTGGAAAAATTAAATATTTTCTTAAATTGATTTTTCTTTTTTTCTACCTGAAGGGGAAATAAGGGATACGGTAAAGGTGATCTATGACAATTTTGCTGAGAATGTTGAGCAGATGCTGCCAAAGGTGGTGGTGAACTGTATAAACGTTCGAAACATTGTTGAAGAGCTGCAATATCACATTCCACATTTCCCGCTTGCGAGCAAGAACATTCAGCCATTCCACCTGTAAAATTAGAATATAATTATTCATTACTCAAATATTAATGACGACAAGAAAAATATTAAAAATTGCTACAAGTACTTTTTTTAATTTCATTTTTTCCAAAAATATTTTTTTATTTCTTTATATATTATTAATTTCTCTATATTCTAACAAGGCTAATTTTAATTCCTTTAATTATAAATTATATAGTGACCTTAATTAAATTTTAGCGTATACAATTTGGAAAGCATTTGCATCTTTGATTATTGAGGTCAGATAAAATTTATTTAGTGACTTATTCAATGTCATTTAGGGAATAAACTTACCGAGACATTCGCAACATGCGACGCAAAACTGATACTGAAGATTTATGAAGGTCAGCAGATTGTCGCGAAGTATGTCCTGCAATCCAAAAGAAAAAAAGAACATTATCAAAGTGTAGGCATAAAATCAATTTCTCTTCAGGATACTTTATACACGTGCAAACGAATGACTTGATTCTAAGAACTTTATGAAACTTATTAAAATCATTTCCTTGAATTTTACAAAATTAAGAATAACTCATTTTAAAATGAACGAATTTTTGTAAATAGAAAAATATTAATTAATTAATTTAAAGAATAATTAAAGTTTGTGAGAACAAAATATTAATTAACTCATTTAAAAATCAATAAATTTTCTAAGAGAAAAATGATAATTTATTCATTTGAAAATAATTAAATTCAGTAAAAGAAAAATAATAATTAACTAATTTAAAAATAAATTAAGAGAAATAACAGGGTTGCCACGCTTTTGCTCTTTTCAAATTCCCTGATTTTTCTAGGTTTTCCAGATTAAAAAACGGAATTTTTCCAGGTTTTTAATACGAAAATTATTGGAAAATATCAATAACTTCATTTTTAAATAAATATTTAATCATTTTTTTATAGAAATTAAGATAATTCATAAATTTGAAAATTAATAACAAGAATATTATTATAAAACATGAAGATATCGATAACTCCGAGTCTTCGACTCGAAGTGATCGCTTTCTTCATGTTTTATAATAATTAAAACTTGCTACTGATTGAAAATTCAATTATTTCAAAAAATCAACGCTATAATGCTTTCAATATTCAATTATAATCTAAAATTTTAACTGAAAATTCATTTTTAAATTAATATTTATTAGAACATTCTACGAGAATTCAATTATTTAACTACAAAAATAAATATTTTATAAAATAATTAAATGTTTCTTAAAATTGAATTTTCATACAGAATTTTATCAACAAAATTTTTAAATAATTTAATTCTCTTGACAAATATTAAGAAAAATTTTTAAGAATACATAATTTCATTTTTCGAGAAATTTGATGAAAATTGTATTAAAAATAATTGAAATTCTGCCAAGAATTTTATTATAATTTTTGAAAATAATTGAATTTCAGAGAGGAATTTTATTTTTTATAAAGATAATTGAAATTTTGACGAGAATTTTTGTAAATTTTTTAACATAATTAGATTTCTGCGAAGAATTAGAATACTTTTGAAAATAATTAAATTCCTGAGACGAATTTTATTAAAATTTCTTTTTAAATAATTGAATTGTTTTGTGAAATTTTAATTAAAGAGTAGACATTGAAAATAATTGAATTTTGACAAATTTTTGAAATTAATTAAATTTCTACGAAGAATTTTATAAAAATTATTTTGAAAAAAATGTTGTTACAAAGAATTTCGTTATCTATTAAAATAATTCAATTTTTTGAAGAAATTTAATTAAAAAATGTATTGAAAATAATACTTAAATTGTAATAAATAAATTGTAGGAAAAGTTTTTAAAATAATTGAATTTCTTTGCTGAATTTTAATAAAATTTTTAACAATAATTTCATTTTTCGAGAAATTTGATGAAAATTGTATTAAAAATAATTGAAATTCAGCCAAGAATTTTATTATAATTTTTGAAAATAATTGAATTTCGGAGAGGAATTTTATTTTTTATAAAGATAATTGAAATTTTGACGGGATTTTTTGTAAATTTTTTAACATAATAAGATTTCTGCGATGAATTAGAATACTTTTGAAAATAATTAAATTCCTGAGACGAATTTTATTAAAATTTCTTTTTAAATAATTGAATTGTTTTGTGAAATTTTAATTAAAGAGTAGACATTGAAAATAATTGAATTTTGACAAATTTTTGAAATTTATTAAATTTCTTCGAAGAATTTTATGAAAATTAGTTTGAAAAAAATTTTATTGTTACAAAGAATTTCATTATCTATTAAAATAATTCAATTTTTTGAAGAAATTTAATTTAAAATGTATTGAAAATAATACTTAAATTGTAATAAATAAATTGTAGCAAAATTTTTTTAAATAATTGAATTTCTTTGCTGAATTTCAATAAAATTTTTAACAATAATTTCATTTTTCGAGAAATTTCGTTAAAATTTGTATTAAAAATACATTATAATAATCGTAAGTTTCCTTTCCGTTAGCAAATTATCTGCATTCATTTGTTTGTTTTGAAAATTAAATTTTGTGGGTTAAGTATTGGCATTTTTTATATATTTTTTAATGTCAAACTTTTTAATGTGGAAAATACTTTACTTATTAAATTGTCTTGACTCATTGGTAAAAAATCTAAAATTATCAAAATTCGAAAAAATTCAAAAATCCGAATTTCTTAAAATTCAACATTTTTTCCTCTCTTTTATAGGATTTAGCTTCATTATTTTTGTGCTTTTGGAAAATACTTTACTTATTAAATTGTCTCGACTCTTTGGTAAAAAATCTAAAATTATCAAAAATTCGAAAAAATTCAAAAATCCGTTTTTCTTCTCTTTTATGGGATTAAGCTTCATTATTTTTGTGCTTTTGGAAAATACTTTACTTATTAAATTGCCTCGACTCTTTGGTAAAAAATGTGAGATTATCGGAAATTATCAAAAATTCAAAAATCCGATTTTCTTAAAATTCAACATTTTATTCTCTCTTTTATGGGATTTAGCTTCATTATTTTTGTGCTTTTGGAAAATACTTTACTTATTAAATTGTCTTGACTCTTTGGTAAAAAATGTGAAATTATCGAAAATTATCAAAAATTCAAAAATCCGAATTTCTTAAAATTCAACATTTTTTCCTCTCTTTTATAGGATTTAGCTTCATTATTTTTGTGCTTTTGGAAAATACTTTACTTATTAAATTGTCTCGACTCTTTGGTAAAAAATCTAAAATTATCAAAAATTCGAAAAAATTCAAAAATCCGAATTTCTTAAAATTCAACATTTTTTCCTCTTCTTAATGGGATTTAGCTTCATTATTTTTGTGCTTTTGGAAAATACTTCACTTATTAAATTGTCTCGATTCTTTGGTAAAAAATCTAAAATTATCGAAAATTCAAAAAAATTCAAAAATCAGATTTTCTTAAAATTCTACATTTTTTCTTCTTTTTTATGGGATTTAGCTTCATTATTTTTGTGCTTTTGGAAAATACTTTACTTATTAAATTGTCTCGACTCTTTGCAAAAAAATAAAAAATTATTAAAAATTATCAAAAATCCGAAAAATTGAATTTCTAAAAATTCAACATTTTTTTTCTCTTTTATACTATTTAGCTTTATTATTATTTGAATTTTTATTCAGGAGAGAAAATGGAAAACTGAAAAAATTTAGAATTTTTTAAAAATTACAGTCCTTTTCCATGATTTCCCTGATTTCCAGAAGCCTTTTAAAGATTCCATACCATTTCCATGATTTCCATGATTTCCAGATTCTGTAGGAACCCTGCTTTTGTCTGACTTTCTTCTAAATTATCGAATTCAGTGATTTCTGGGGTGAATTTGGTTAAGTTGTAAAATGATTAATTTCTATTTGAATTCGTTTTTTTTGAATGTAGAAAATCTGATGTTAATTTAATTCTTTTTTCGTTATGCACGGCAAAAAATATTTAGCTGGATGAACTACAGATTTCACTTTAGTAGCGAAATTATTCAGTGCTTCAATTAATACTTTCGTTATTCTATAGAGAAACTTATCGCTATTTCAAGTAAAACTTTTTTCAGTGTGTAATAATTATTATTTATTTAAAAAGTATTTAATTTAAAATGGCTTTATAAAATAAGCAATGCAAAAGATGACCCAGATACTAATTGTAATTGTTCTAGCCATAGTTTTAGTCTAGTAATGTAAATTCTATTTAAATTGAGACCATTGAGTGAAATTATTTGAATTTTAGTTAGTTAAATCTCTTTGTTAGGTTATAATAATTATTTCTTTAAAATTTTTTAAATTGTTTAAAATAAGCAGCCCCATACAACATTCCCGCGCGCTTGCGCGCGGATAGTTTGGCTAGTTAAAAATAATTGAAAGTGTGTGATGAGTTGTACTATGTTTTTATGAAAATAATTGAATCCCTGTAAAAAATGTTACTATTTATAAAAATCATTGAATAATAATTTTAAAATTAAAATTTGTTAGAAATCTTTAAAAACAGGAGAAATTCCAGAAATTTTTTTAAATTCCATTCTATTTTCAGGTTTTCTAGGATTTCCAGGCTCTGTGGCAACCATGAATAATAAAAAAGAAATTTAAGAGAAAAAAGTGTTTAATTGTAAATTAGTGCCCACATCTTTTGCTTCTTATTTTCAGTAAAAAAAATTCTTTTTCATGGGACGAGAAATTTTTGTGTAATGAAAATTCTTACGTGTTTGTCGCCAATATTTTCGAGAATCTCGTGATCCTTTAGAGATGCAACAATGTGATTTTTGACAGTATTGCTTGCCACACTTGTAGCTCTGGTCAATTCTTCCCATCCTGACAAACACTGACCGGTTAATCTGCATTGGGCAACTGAATCATGAAGAGATTGTGCTAATTTTGTGCCTGCCGAACATAAATCGTTTAGCATCTGAAAAAATAAATATTTCACGAAGCTGATTAAATATTCTTCATTAAAAATCTTCATTCAAAATTTAAATAAAAAATATGAAAAAAAAACTTTAAATATACAAAAAAATAAAATATGAAAATAATTAAATATTTAAATTGAGTAATTTGAAAATTTATTGATGAATTGGATTTATTAAATTTTTTTTGCTTACCTGCAAATAAGTCAACCAACTAGCTAAGCATTCGTTAATTTCCGTTTGACTCGATAAAATATGATTATTCCCTGTTTTTTCATTTCCACCCTCAGCCATTTCGATTGACCCCAAGATGTTAATTTAAATTTCTAAAATTCGCTTCACCTGAAAACGAAAATAAAAATTAAGTTTCGCACTTTTTTAATTTACAATTTCTGAATTTAATTTTTCAAAAATGCAAATTTTAGATAAAATATTCATATTTGTTAATTTAAAGTTTGAATCTGAAATAATATTGATTTTATAAATACTAAAAATTTTTCTTATAATAATAATTTTTTTTTATTTTTATAAGTAAAAAATTAAGTTATATGTGATCGTACTTTTTAAAAAATTCTCAAAGTGGATAAAGTAATTGCTGGTCAGACGGACATTTAAAAATTAAAATCCTAAATTAAAAACAAAAAGATAATTCATTATTTTTATCTACAAGTATTTATTTATTATTAGCTTCCTTGTCTTCTGTTCTATCGAAAGTCACGAATTGTTACGCAATGGAAGAAAAACAATTTAAACAAAAATCTTCATCGAATTTTAGATAATCGAAAAAGTATTTTTTTAATTAAAAATAAATTTTCCGAGCACTGAGTTTTCAAAAGTCCAATTTCATTAGGATGTAACATTTAAAATGAAACTTTCACATTCCATGTTGTAAAATGTTGAAAATAAATTTTTTCCAAAAAAAAAAAAAAAAAAAAAAAAAAACAAAGCCAACAGCGTCTAGTTTCCAGGCACTTAATTGCACCAGTACGCCAAACTGAAGTAAACATAACGGTAAGGGACGCCATAGACGGTTTTCCTATTAATGCAAAAAAAAAGAAAAAAAAGAAATTCTTGCATTTCAAGAATTTTTTGCAATCAACTATTCCATTTAGATGAAAAATTAACAACTGTCATTGTGAAGAGTGTAAATTTATTTCTCTCCAAAGACACAATTTATCGATAATAATTTTTCGAAAAACAAGAATTTCTATTTTTATAAAATAAAAGCTTTATATTTTTAATAAATTGTGTCTCTCTTATATTTTTGAAGGTGATGAAATTTTTTTTTTGAGGAGAATTTCAACGTTTTTGTTTGTGTCATTTTGAAAAGTAATGCTCACGTTTTTTCAGTTGATCTCCCGGTGAGAAAAGATGTTTGGAAAAAATTGCAGAAATATAATCGACGCGGCAGCATGGTATACTTTCGAGCACTCTCTACACAATGCATTTGATGCCCTGGAAGAGTTAACGCGAAACACATTTGCGCAAGAGTACTTGCGCACTTTATAGTCATACAAACTCTCTGCGAAAACCTGCCGGAGAAGGGATGAGATACAGCAAAAGAAAATTAATTTTCAATTCCAAAAAATTGATTAAAAAAATATTTTCCTAAAAGAGTTTTTTTTTTGGAAGTATTTTTCCATAATTTCATTGTAATTTTTTGTAAGATTTTCATTTACAGTAAAATTATTACCAATTTATAAAAAGTGTATTGTAACAAATTGGAAATTTAAAAAAAAAAATTTTTTTTAATTTTCGGAAAATTATTGTAACTTTCAATTTTTGCTAAAAATTAAAATATGCAAAAATTTTAAAATGCGCGGCGTTTTTTGCGACGCAGGCGCTTTTATAACACGCGCCTTTTTTAAAATAAATTCAAATTATGTAACATTTCAAAAAAGAATGTAAAAAAGAACTGTAATTTTCAATATAATTTTCTTATACTTTTGTTATCAAAATGAACTTTTCTCTAAATTTTATTTTCGTCGTAAAACTTATTTTTTTCACAAATTCAAAGTCACGATTCGCCGATAGTCAATTTATTATTTGAAACATTCTAACAAAATGTCAAAACACAAAGTTTTTCTTCAAAATAGAAGCAAATTGGTTTTTTTCTACTAATAAATGAATTTTTTCCTCATCGTTAAATCGATATTTTTATACGAAACTTGATGTATTCAAAAATATTTAATTTTCTTACGTTTATTTTATTTTTTAATCAAGAATTTCTGACGTCTGGAATATCTGACGAAAATTCGTCGAGAATTTTAGAAAATTTCGAAAATCCTCTAAATTTCGTGCAACGTGACGAAAAATTAATTGGTGCTCGTGTAAAAAGGAGTAAATTCGAAAAATCTAATCAAAATGCAAAATTACAAGCGAGCTATTTGGAAGATCTTGCCGCATCATTTCCAAAAAGTGAACATGAATTAGAAAATGAACGTACAGCTTCAGTGAAATTGGAAAATACTGAAGACGATAAAATTTTCAAAAGATCATCAATTTCAAATAATAAAAAAAGATATGCACAATCTTGTCACATGAAAGTTCATCGAAATCCAGAAAATCGTCAATTTAGAGAATATTCACAAACGTACGAGATAAATTCAAATCTTAATGATTATAAAAGAAAAAATAATGTAAGAGAACCTGAAATATTATCCACTGAAGATTATTATGATTCTCTCAATTACAATGATGATAAATATTTTCAAAATTCTCCTCGTAACAATTTTGGAAAATCTAATTACGAAGTTGAGAAAAATTTCCCATCTCGAAGTCAGAAGTAAGTTAACCTAAAAAAAATTAAATTATTAATTATTATTATTCGTTATTCAGTACCGGACAAAATTATGAGTCCACCCAGTTTCAAGAGAATGCCTCTAAGTAATTTTTATTCTGCAGAAAATGACCTTTAAAAAAAGCTTAAAATCATTAAAAAGTGTTCATTATTTTAGAAGTTATTTAAATTTTCCAAAAACATTGAAATTGACGATTTTTTAAAAATATCTATAAATAACTGGCCAAATGACTTCTGTCAAGTCTTATTCTTTTCAAAATTTTATCATCTTTCAATATATATACCGAAAAAAATTTTAGTTTTCATAAATTTTATGTTAAAAAATTTTTTTCAATTCCTTGAAAATGGGTGGACTCACAATTTTGACCGGTACTGTATTACAACCAACAACCAAGTTATAAATAAATTATAATCAAGATATTCAAAATCAATCCAATCGGAGCAAAAACGAGAAGTAAATTTAAAAAATGAAACAAATTCAAATTCGAATGAACTTAAAAACAATAAAAATAGAACAACAGAAGCTTCAATGCGTCTTCCCACAGTTCGACAAAGAATATTAACGAGAGATAAAAGAAGAATGAAAAAATTCAAGAAACATGTTACAAAAAATAAGAAAAATAAGAAAAAACACAAAAATCATAAGAAGAAGGATAAAAGAACAAAAAATAATATAAAACATTCTCGAAAGTCCAAAAATTAGTCTAACATGTAAAATTGACAGGTATTGTAAATACTTTAAAAAATAAATCTCTCAATATTTTCCATACTTACATTTTTAACATTGCAACATTAAAATTATTTTAATTCTTTTTGTAATAGCGATGTTCTCCTTTGTCCTTTCATTTGAATCCAATTCATGTTTTGTAATACGAACAGCCTCTTTTGAAAAGCTAATTAACTCTAATAGAAATTAATTGTTGAATTATTAATTCACGCATTTAATTCTTGCCCCTGATATCAGGCAACCAGTAATGTTTATAAGAGAGAAAATTGCTTCGAAACAAATGAAGCAGTTTATTATTCCCTTAAAAAGCATTGTTAATCTTATTGGAATTATTCTTCAGGTTGTGTGCAAGGATTATTATCCTTGCATACAACCTGAAGAAAGACAATATTTTTAAATTGTTATAACACTTTTTTTATGATAAAATTCCTAAAATTGTATGTTTTTGAAGGTTAAGTTAAATAATCTGCTAGAATTCGCATTTTTAAGAAAAAATTACCATTCATCGGAATGATACACGAATTAAAAGATGTATAACTACATGAACGAAAGCTTAGAAGTTGAAATTTCTTTATTGCCACTTAAAAAGAAAACGACTTTCATAAATAACACTTTCCCCCTAACATTTCTCAAGTGTTTCACCAAAACCCCACTGGTATTTGTGAGCGACGCGGCGCTTTTGTCGCCCGACTATAGTAAGTCCCTGTATGTCATTTCATTGTTTTCTTTAATTTTTTTCACCCTTATCTTTTAAAACAAGTAAGTTTTACTTTGTTTTCAAAATAAATTTAGTCCCTTTTTTTCTAATTGTAATGGAAATTCAATGAAAATTGAAAAATTTGAGTGTGCAATTAAACGCAATAATTGTCCTGGTGCATTATTCCAAAATGGCGGCATCCTTTTTGGTTGGTCCTTATGTTATGTGCAAATGTACTCGCGTTACTTATCCGTCCAGGAGAAAATAAAATAATTCATTATTGTTAATAATTTAAAGTAAAGTGCCTTGATGTTATTATTTTTTTTTAATTTTATTTTCGTTTCGATAAAAACATAACCATGTCAGTGAATATGCAGCATAATAGACGAAAGAAAAAGCGAGTGAATTACGGTGTGAGGGCGGTTGAATTGTCTCGTGGTGCAAAGGGTTTTGGATTTACAATTTCGGGACAGCAACCGTCAATACTCAGCTGTATTGTTCAAGGTAGTCCTGCGGAAATTGCAGGACTACGAGCTGGTGATTATCTAGTCGCTGTGAATGGACATAATGTGAGTAAAGCACCACACGACGATGTTGTCAAATTAATTGGCAATTCAAAAGGTGTTTTGAGACTTGAAATTGCCGAGAATTATTATTCAGACTCATCGGATGAAGAGGGTTTGGCGACAGTGAGATCGAAAAAATATTCCCACAAAATACGCTCCAATAATGTTGGTACAATTCAGCCATTGTATAGAATTGCAAACGTTGTTCGTGATTTGCAAACTGGAGCAATGTTCAGTGGAAGAAGTATGCATCCGAACAAAATTCAATGCTCAATTCCACCACCACCCGTGTCGCATAAAAGAGATTCAGAAAAAATTGTTCATCGAACAGTTGTCGGATATTTAGGAACTATCGACATTCCAGACCAGTTGCATCCCTCTTCAATGATGGAGGTAAAATATTTATTTCTAGGTTATGTTTGATGAAATTAAAGTGTCTATTTGGTTCGTCAGATAACAAATTAGTTGTAATTAATAATAAATAGATTATTATTTTCTTATTTCAGGTTCTGAAAAAATGTATAAAAAGACTGAAAGCAGAGAAAAGGACTCCAACGACAGTGCTTTTGACAATTCACGTAGCAAATATTAAATTAACAAATTCTGAGAATCGTGTTGTCGCCGAATATCCCTCATATCGAATAATATTTTGCAATTCATTCTCGGAACAGGATAAACAATATTTTGGCATTTTGACAAAATCCGTGAAGGATTCTGATGATATTGTTTCAAATTCTTGCCATGTTTTTACAATTTACTATAAGCTTACGGATCACGAGGTACATTCGAGTACTTGCAATGTTTTTGGATTCACTTGCACGAAAACATCGGAATTGAATGTTTGTCAAGAATTTCCCGACAGTTGTGTCAGTTTGATTGGTGCCATTCAAACATTGTACATTTCTGATACAGCCGATCAGGATGCGAATCCTTATAATGAGAGTCGTCGACATCAGGAGACAGCATCGCCACAGCCAAGTAATATTAGTACATCGACTGCACATTCCAGTAATAGTGATTCGGGAATTGGTTTTAAAGATGATTATGGAAGTCATTCAGATAGAAATATTGTTGCCGACTTTCCGCAGAGGCATTGTGGACCTTCAATTTCACAGAGGGTATATACTTTTTTTCTACCGTCTATTTTCTACGTTAAGAAATTCACAACGTTTATAATCATCAATTTAGAAGAAAAAATATTTTTCTATTTTAATTTTTTTTATAGATTTTTGCTTAAAATGTCTTTTACATAGTTTCTTGATCAATTATTGAGGAAAAAAAATTTGTAGACAAATGTAGGACTATTTTCATTTGGAGAGTAAATTGAATTTCAAGACAAAATAATATAATCTTCACTTTTTTTTTGTTTTTGCTTTTTGAAACTTTGCTAATGTCAAGGTCATAAAATTTAACGTGTGTGAAGTTTACATCGTTTATGATCTGAAGATTGCAAGAAAAATATATTTTTTACGCAGAAAAGAATATTTTTTGTTTACAAATTTTTATTTTTTGAATTGTTGGCGAAGAAATATTGTTATAAAAAATTATTTAGACAATTTAGAAAAATATTTTTCGTATTAAATCGTTGATTGTACAAACGTTATGAATTTCACCAACGTAAAATTTATTCCAATTTAAAATTATCGTAATTTGAAATAAAAAGAAGAATTATTTTTACCTATAAGGCCTCGGATATTATGACTTTTTCGACTTTTTTCGACTATTTTCAAAGAATGCAACTTTTATCGACTTATATGAAAAAATTGCGACTTTTTCGACGTTTTTTTTTTACAAATTTTGCGACAAATTACCAAATTCTTAGTATAAATTGCAACTTATTTCGATTTTTATTAGTGTGAAAACTAGTAGACAAATCTCACAAATTAAATTATTTTTAAATAATTTTTCTAATTAAATTTTCGAAATATACCAATATACCAATATTCCAATTTTAAAAATTCAATAATTATTTTCAATATTTTCGAATACATATTTAAAAAAATGCAAATACATACAAAAAATAAATATTAAAATTTTTTTGTACTATTTTTAACATTTTGGAGAAAATAATCATATTCAAAATTTTTAATTACAATTCTTCAAAAAAATTATTTTTTGTTTTTTTAAATTATACAAAACTTTTTTTTATAAATTCAATTATTTTCGAAAAATTACATTACAATATTTATAAAAAACTAATTCTTAGAATTGTTTTATCACAATTTATCTTCAAACAAAGGAAATTATAATTTTTTAAAGTTTAATTTTTTTAGTCTTATTAAAATTTCAGAAAAATCGTTTATAATTAAAATTCTTCAAAAATTTGATTATTTTTTTCATATTTTTTAAAAACTTAATTATTTTTCGAAAATTTTATCAAATTTCAATTATTTTCCAAAGATTTTATCAAGTTTCAATTATTTTTCAAAGATTTCACCAAACAATTATTTTTTAAAAGATTTTACCAAATTTCAATTTTTTTTGACATTTTTTATTTGTATATAATTGTAAAACTATTCTTTTTCAAAAATTATTTTAAAATATTTAAAAAAAAATTAATTTTAAGAATTTCTTTATTAATATTTTTGAAAATATTCTACCTTATTATCTTTAAAAAAATGGACAATTTCAATTATTTTAAAAAATTGAATTTTTGTATTGAAATAATTGAATTCTCGAAGAACTTTCGGAAAATTATTAAAAATTAATATAGATAATTGATTGAGAGATGGAGTTTAGTTAAAAATTTTTAAAAATAATTGAATTTTGGAGGGGTTATAGTTTTAATTTTTAGAAATTACTTTAAAGAATAAAATTATTTTCAAAAATTTTAATGCAATTCTTTGCGTAACAATTCAATTTTTTCAACATAATTTTAATAAAATTCCTTGCAGAAATCCATTTATGTTTAAAAATTTACAAAAATTCTCGACAAAATTTCAATTATCTTTATAAAAAATAAAATTTTTCTCCGAATTTCAATTTATTTTGAAAATTTTAATAAAACTCTTGGCAGAATTTTAATTATTTTTAATACAAATTTCATCTAATTTCTGTAAAAATTGCAATTATTCTTAAAAATTTTATTAAAATTTGTCAAGAAAATTTTCATTTAGAAATTTGTTGAAAAAATTCTTTATGAAAATTCAATTTTAAGAAACATTCAATTGTTTAATAAAATATTTATTTTTACAGTTAAATAATTGAATTCTCGTAGAATTTTCTAAAAAATATTGATTTAAAAATGAATTTCAAATTAAAATCTTTGAAAATTCGAACTTTTTATACTTTTAATTAAGAATTCTGTAGAATTAATTTTTCTCAAAATGTTTAATGGGTTTTTTTTTTAATTTATGAAGTTTTTAATGTTTTTAATGTATATTTAATTGAAGAATGTCAGAATAATCGAAATTACGTAAAATTAAATTGTAAACAAAAGAATTTGATAATTCACAAAGAACTTTTTCAAAAATTTATAAAAAAAAATTGCAGAATTTTAGTTGAAAATTCTAGAAATGAATAATCGTAATGATGAAAATAATTTTTGAAGAAGTTACAGTTACAAAGCAGCAAGTTTTAATTATTATAAAACATGAAGACTCGGAGTGATCGATATCTTTATGTTTTATAATAATATTCTTGTTATCGAATTTCAAATTTTTGAATATCTTAACTTCTATAAAAAAAAATAAATATTTATTCAAAAATGAAGTTATTGATGTTTTCGAATAATTTTCGTTTTAAAAACCTGGAAAAAATTCCGTTTTTGAATCTGGAAAAGTCAGGGAATTTGAAATAAGCAAAAGCGTGGCAACCCTGAATTACTATTTTTATTGATATTATGGAATAAAATAATGAAAATGTGATAAATCTGAAGAAATAAAATAAAAATCTTTTCCTACTAAAGCTTCAATGAATATTAATAATAATAAAAGTTAAATTGAAATGTTTTGCAGACAGGAGCTGTACCACTTTCGGGAATGAATAACGACTCAATATCAGGCTCGAGATTAGCAGTGAGAGCGACAACAGATCAAAGATGGAATGACCTGTCGCGCGTGAATCGTTCTCGTGACTCCTCGGATTTTTCATTTGATCACAGTACAATGGATTTTAGGAAGAAATCCGATGACAATAATTGTTACTCGTTGGCAATGTCGCACACGATAACACGTTCCGAGGGTCAAAGTGGCGTGCTGCTTAGAAGTGGAGGGGAATCCACCACCTGCCCGGGGCCATCTGCTACGATGCTTGTGCAGGGGTTGGGAAGTTCGTCAGTTGGATCATTGGCTTCTGTTTGTGGAAGTACATCGACAATGTATCACGATTTTGAAGAAGCAATGGAAATATCGAAAAATCATTGCGATGAAATTGCGGACGACATTAGTTTGTGCAATAAACTTAGTCCAAAAGTTTACGCAGTGTCAAAGTCGTTCGTTCACAGTATGGAGGATTTGAAACCTGGTGATGATTATTCGACGACATTTATGCATTCATTTCCAAATAAAACGGATAAAACGAGACCGTGGTGCAGCCTCCAGGAAATAAGGAAGGTCGAGGATTGTTCCAGTCGTAATTGCATGGTATGTGATGTTTTCATTGCTCTTTAATTATTTTATAGAGGGAAATGAACAGCACATTTTCTTCTCTTTCTTCTTCTTATTCTTCTTGGAAATCATGATTTTATCGTGAATTCGTGAGTAAAGTTATTACTTGCACTGTCACGATATTTTACGATTTACTGTAATATTCAATTTTTACAATGCAACATAAATATTTAAAATACTTGAGTTATAAATTCTTTAATTTTTCTCATTTCAGTTTTTTTCGTAATGAAAGCTCCGGATTTTAAAAGGGCATTTTTACCATTTAAACTCAATGCTGAATGTGCCCTTTTAAGATCCGGAGCTTCAATTGTCTTAATTGATAATGTAAATACAGGGAGACCACATGTCAGTAAAGCTGGCTTCACAGTCTGTCCCCTACTTCCCTAAAAGTCCCTTTTTTTAATTTTGGCCCCTAAACGTACCCTATTTTCAAAATTTTCCCTATTTTTTTCGTCGTAGAAAATCAATAATTTTTAAATAATTCTGCAAAAGAATTCAATTATTTTGATAACCAACAAGATTCTCCCCATAAAATCAATTATTTTAAGGATTTTTAATGAAATTCTTTTTCAAAATTCAATTATTTTGATAAATATAAAAATTCTTCTCAAGAATTCAATTATTGTCAAAAATTTTAATTAAATTCTTGGCAAAATTTCAATTATTTAAACAAAATTTAATAAAATACTTTGCACGTATTCAATTATTTTTATAAATTTTAATGAATATCTCGTCGAGAATTTAATTAGTTTTATAAATAGCAAAATTTTTCGCCAAAAATTCAACTATTTTAAAAAATTTAAATAAAATTCTTTGCAACATTTCAATTATTTTCAAAGGTTTATCTCAATTCAACGAATTTCAATATTTACTATTTTCATAAAATTTATCAACAGTTACAGAAAAAACTTGTTGATACAATTCTACAAAAAGATTTAATTATTTTCATAAATAATAAAATTTCATTTACGAATTCAATTACTTTTATCGCAGAATTTCAAATATTTTTAATACAATTTTAAATAAATTCCTTGAAAAATGCAGTTATTAATAAAATTTATATTAAAACTTGAGGAAAGAATTCAATTTTAAGAAGCATTTAATTATTCAATAAAACAATAAAATTCGTTGCAATAATTCAAATATTTTTATAAGTAACATTTAATTCGTAGGGTAACTGTACCAATTGTCGAGGGTTTTAGGCAACATGTGACTTTGACATTTTTTTTCTCGGAAGTAAATGCACTTTAAAATTTGATTTTTGTATATTTGGACGAAGGATCTAATAATGTTTAATATTCATATTTATTTATTTAATATAAACTAAATTGTTAAGCAAAAAATATATTTAAAAGTCAATCGAGCAAAAGCACCATTTGTCGATGGTCTTGTGCTAATTTCTCGAGGGTCTGTTCCAATTGTCGAGGGTATGACATTTTTAAACATATAACCCAATATAACCTAACAATTAACCTGTACAGATATTAGAAAATCGAGTAGATATTTATTTTTTCGATAAAAATATTATAGAACATTACCAGAAAACAAATATATTTATTTAACTATAATTGAATAATTTATAATATCGATATAAAACATTTTTATAGTAGATGATACAGGACAGAAAATTATTTAACTGTTTTTTAAACTTTTATAAATAAGTTAATTAAATTTAATCAATTTTGTTAATCAGACATTAATTGAAAAAATAAATTAATTTAAGTCACATTAAATTTGTAAACGAATAAAATAAACTTTTATTACGAACTGTAAATATAATGGTTAATTATAATTAAACTATAGTACAAAATTTTTTAGTTTTAAATAATGCATTTTTTTTATTAATTTTTTTCCGTCTTCCTCGTTTTTTTGGTTGATTATTTTCTGTTGGTTGTAAATTTTTGGAGCATTTTTTTTCTTTTTCTGTGTACCTATAAATGTTTGGCATTTATGTTTGACGTTTAGTAAATAAACACTTAACCATCGATAAATGGTGCATCAGCGAAAAAAGTGACTACACCAATTTTCGAGTCATTACCTCGAAAAATGGAACTGTCAAAAAAAAGGAACCAAATACCGATGATTTGCTTTTAAAAAATATTAAATATTTTTTTTTAACAAAAAAACATGCATACAAAATTAATTTAGTTCGTGTACAAAATTATAATAATAATTTTGTACACAAAAAGTCATTATAAACGCGTTTAATTTGCATTTCTAAAAATCTGTTTTAATCAACCTGAAGTATTAAGAAAATGGAGATTCGTGTAAATTTCACAGCAGTGAATTATAATATTAATTAAATAATTATTTTAGTAGAATCGCTACGAAATTTGTATATATAAATATACAGTTGAAAATACAAAGATTATTTAGAAATTTTTTTTGTTCTTAAATATTATATATTATACTATTTATCTAAAAAAGAAAATTATTATCCTCGACAATTGGAGCACCCTCGGCAATTGGTGCAGTTACCCTAGCAGAAAATTAATTATTTTCAAAAATTTTTAAGTAATTTTGCAAAAGAATTCAATTAGCTTGATAAACAACAAAATCGCATAAATTCTTCCCATAAAATCAATTATTCTAAGGAATTTTAATAAAATTCTTTTCCAAAATTCAATTATTTTGATAAATATCAAAATTCATCACAAGAATTCAATTCTTTTGAAAAGTAATAAAATACTTTGTAGAAATTAAATTATTTTCAAAATTTTTGCAAAATTCTTGTTAAGAATTAATTTATCATTATCAATAGAAAGGGAAATTCTTCTCAAGAATTAAATTATTGTCAAAAATTTTTTTTAAATTCTTCTCAAGAAATCAATTATTTTCAAAAATTTTTTAATAATTGTTCTCATGAATTCAATTGTTTTCAAAAATTATTATTTAAATTCTTCTCAGGAATTCAATTATTTTTAAAAGTGTTAATAATAATCATTGCAACAGTTCAATTATTTTTATAAATATTAAAAGTTAAAACTCATCGCAAGATTTCAATTATTTTTAATACAATTTTAATCGAATTCCCCAAAAATGTAATTATTCTTAAAAATTCTATTAAAATTCGTCAAAAGAATTCAGTTATTTAAAAATATGTTGATAACATTCTTTATGAGAATGCAATTTTAAGATACATTTAATTATTCAATAAATTTGTTTTTTATACTTAAATAATTGAATTCTCGTAGAATTTTCTAATAAAAATTGATTTAAAAGTACATTTGAGTTAAAATTTTAGATTATAATTGAATATTAAAAGCATTCGAGCGTGAATTTTTAGAGATAATTGAATTTTTAAATGGTTTCATATTAAAATCTTTGAAAATCTGAGTTTTGTATAATTTTAACTAGGTACCAATTTTGTGGAATGAATTTTTTTGAGAAAGTTTAATTGAGGACTTTTTTTGAAATTATTTGAAGTTTTTATTTTATAATGTATATTTAATTGAAGAATTTGCGAATAATTGAAATTTTGTAAAATTGAAATTGTAAACAAATGAATTTGATAATTAACTTTTTTAAAAGTTATTGAAAATAATGCATTTATAGAAGAATTTTAGTTAAAATCACGAAATAAAATTGAATTTTGTAAAAGTTACAAATTATTACAGAAGTTCAATTATTTTCATAAATAATAAAACTTATCGCAGGATTTCAAATATTTTTAATTCAATTTTATTCAAATTTTTCGAAATATGTAATTATTTTTGAAAATTTGAATAAAATTCTTCGAAAAAATTCAATTTTTTAAAAAAATTTGATACAATTTGTTTTTTAGAGTATAATAATTATTTCCAATTCATTTTTAATTACATTTCTTGAATGAATTTAATTATTATCAAAAATTTTAATTCAATTCTTCGTAAAATTTTAATTATTTCAAAAAATGTTAATAAAGTTCTTTTTAAAAATATTCATTTATTCAATGAATTATTTTTTTTGTATTTAAATAATTGAATTCTCGTAGAACTTTCTAATAAGAATTGATTTAGAATTCAATAAAGTAGAAGGATTCAAATTTTAAATAATTTTATTTCTAAATTTCAAGAAAAAAATTATTCAATTTTAAAAAAGAATTACTTTTGTGATTTTTATATAAATAGTTAAATTTCAAAAATGCTTTTCATTGACACTGAAACTTGTTACCACTCTGATAATGTAAATAGTTAAATGTGTGAATGTTTAGACACATTTCGATTTTAAAAAATTTTTTCCAACTTGCAATGAATTATTAAATTGCGGGAAAATTACCGGTTTGGATATTAGTTACGCCACTCTTTTGCTACTTGGGGGTAAAACAGGATCAACATCCTGGTCTCAATAATGTGTACCTCCATTGTATTCTTAAAATGTGTTCAGAATATGAAACATTCATGAGGCAGGAAGTAATGATCTAAAGATGTAGTCATTGAAGCATCTTTTAAGGTCCTAACCAAATTTAAATTTCTTATTTTAATTCAATTCCAGTTCTATATTTATATTACATTTGAATTTTATTTCTTGTTCTATTCGTTTATCTTCAAACAAAAGTTTCTTCCTCTTTTTTACCTTACAAAGAGTTCTTTATTTTTTTTGAATTTATATTTAATTTAAACCAAGTAAAATAAATACAGGCTTCACAGTCTATTCCCTTTTTTCTTAAAAGTCCCCTTTTTATCAATTTTGGCCTCTAAACGTACCCTATTTGGAAAATTTCCCCTAAATTTCCCCTATTTTTTTCGTCGCAGGAAATCAATTATTTTCAATAATTTTTGAGTAATTCTGCAAAAGAATTCAATTATCTTGATAACCAACAAAAATCTCCCCATAAAACCAATTTTTTTAAGGATTTTTAATGAAATTCTTTTCCAAAATTCAATTATTTCGATAAATATCAAAATTCTTCTCAAGAATTCAATTAGTATTGTCAAAAATTTTAATTAAATTCTTGGCGAAATTTCAATTATTTAAACAAAATTTAATAAAATACT